AGTACCCCTGGCGCCCAGACACCTAGACCCTGCTGATACATTATCGCTACATCTCGGTAATCTACGACCACTTCATTGTCTCGGCTCCTGCTTACTGCCTGCCCATACGTATTATATTGTATCGCATAGCGTAGAAGTCGATTTTAATGGTATTTTTCATTTACATGCATACTTATCCTAAGGTCGCTCCCGCAAGTTTGGGGTATTGAGGCCTTCGCGGCGCTGCTGCTCATCCCACCTTGTATGGGGACGAATAGCAGGAGGAAGACAACGTCCGTAAAGACCATCATCGGGGTGCCAGCATCAGCAGATGTCAGAGGGAAGAATACCCAACACCCTGCTGCAAAGATTGGCTACTTCGCGCAACATCATGTCGACGAGCTCCACCAGTACCCTGCTCTGCTCTCTCCTTCATAGAGGAGAGGAATCCGGAGTGCGCGGAGCAAGCGATTCCATGCGCACCTGGCAAGTACAGGATCAGAGCCAACGCTCTCCAGCCTGGCGCTCCCTAAGCGGGAGCTAGATGGTTCCCATCGTGTTCGCTTTGGCGACGTTCAGGTCGTCTCCCCAGTTTCTTCAAGTTGTCTTGGACGAGCCGACGGACCACCTCAACTACCTGACGACAGAGGCACTTTGGAGATGGAGGCGTTATTGATAATTGGGCACAGTGCACATCGTAACCCATGACCAGTCCTTTGTCTCCAAGGCAGCTGAGCAGGTTTATGCAGTAGGGAAAGGTCAATTAGTGTACTTAGAGGGAGGCATGGAGGAGTACATCATATTGTATCGGAAAAGCGATCTCAAGTGACAACTGCATTGGGCTTGTATGTTATTTTGTGATATGACTAGATGAGGGCTCGCCGATTGCACTAGACAGATGTTGTGTGCAATTACCTACTACCGCTGATTGAGGACGGCGGAAGCTGTTTCTTCGAGCTGATTTACATTCGCCAGTGGCAGGGTTCGTGCCATTAGTCTCATATATTCCGTAGACAACACGATACTATACGTGGACGCGTCAATGGCTTGTATCTAGTGTTGCCACGAACTAGTATGTACGTGCACCCCTTTGCGCTGGCACAAGAAATTCGCAAAAGGCGCCAGGGGGATCTAGCGGCAATCAGCAGTGCCTTGCTTGGCCAGATCATGTGATCCCCGGAGTCCGGCGGAGTCCGCCAGACTCGCTGGACTCAACGGTCTCGATGTTCTCCGACGGGTGGGTCTTCGTCGAGGCCGCTTGTTCAAATACCCGTCATGGCCCGTCGGTATTGTGAAATGATCCCCAGGCTTGAGGCTCATTTCTTTTCCGGTCTCCGAGCTCCTCCTTCTCTCTGAAATTGAGCTCGGCCGCTATTCTGCACTTCCTTGGAGTGTGAATATATCAGGGAGGGCTCTAGGAAGGCTCGCGTTTGTTACTCCTGGCAGAAGCTGACGTTGTGCGGTTCCTTTGGTGGTCGTGTGACCAAGATGCCTGTTAATCATGCAGCGGAGAATGTGCTCGGAACCATGGGTTTGTTTTGCTTCCGCCTCCACTAACTTCAGTAATGACGCTACGCTGACACAACGGATTGCAGGCACCATATGCTGGACCGTCCAGCTGCTGCCACAGCTGTGGCACACATACCGGTCAAAGTCTGTAGAGGGCCTGTCCGAGATTTTCATGTATGTTCTCGTTCTCTAACTTCGACAACGAAATACTGACGTCTTCCGTGATCCCCTACAGGCTAGCATGCGGCATCGCGGGCGCAACTCTAGGAACATACTCTGTCGTACAGAACCTGAATATTCCCCTGATCTTGCAACCGCAACTATTCGGCGTGCTTTGTCTCGTCTCCTGGGCGCAGGTCCGTATCATCCCGCTCATGCTCACGAGTTGAGAGGGACCGGTACTGATGTGCTCCGTTCACCGCAGTGTCAGTATTATGGACACAAACGGTCACGAACAACAGCTGTGGCGATGTACATCGCGGCCGTCGTTCTGTTGGGGGGCTTCGAGGTCGGGATGATATACGCCGTCAGAGTAAGCCGGTTCAAAACGCTCTGCACAGCCCATGTTCCCCTAATTTGAATCTTCAAGCCGTCATATAAAGCTGGGAACATGGGGCCGACCCAGTTTTTCGGCATATTCAGCACTGTGCTGATATCGTGCGGATTGCTGTACGTCGATACCCGTGCGCCCGTTCATACAACGATGCAGCTGACTGTGATACTGATGTGCAGGCCTCAGTACTACGAAATCTACAAATACAAGGAGGTTATTGGGATCTCCCTTTTGTTCATGACTGTAGATGCTCTCGGAGGCGTTTTCAACGACCTCTCGCTAGCCTTCAAGGGAGACTTCGACGTCGTCGCTGGAATCACGTACTCGCTTGTGGTGGTACGTCTGACAACTGACCCTGTGAGCCGGTGCGCTGAAGAAGTCTGTCTGCAGGTGCTCGATGGCGGCATCCTTCTCCTCGCACTGATCTTGAACCCGATTGCGAAGCGCAGACGCAAACGTCTCGCTGCTGAGGATACGGCGGCATCGGACGTGGAGACACCTGCAGATACTAGTGACGACGGTTCTCGAGCGAGGGTGGAACCAACACAACCTTCAGAAGACGAAAAGCAGGAGAGTGCCAACCGCGCAGAAGAAGAGAAGGAAGGAGCGACATCTGTCGAGAACCGTGACGCATGACAGAGCCATTCCTCTTAGAAGATTGTTGACGACCACTTGCGATAGAGACAAGGTTATTTACGGCGACTCGGATCGATGAGACGTCAAGGACGTATCTGGTGTCACGATACGTCGGATGAGTCCATCGCAATAATCGTTACAGCCCCACCAAGGATAGATGGAAGCTCGAGTTTGATTAGCTTGCAAGTGGTGAGGCGATAGTTGCAGAACAGCCTTTCGAATGACTTGACTTCGAAGCTGCTGAGCCTGGACAAACCTAATCATGCAAACAATTTATTAGGGCGAGTGGTCCCAGTGGATGAAGGAAGCAACGTTTGTGTCCGAGATGGCGTCGTGCTACGCAAGGGAAGGCTTGGATTCATGAGTAGCTCGCACAGCACATATTCAGGCCACACTGACAGCCGCCAGCTTGGCTGACAGCGCAATAGGACGCCCGGAGCCTGGGTGCGTTGACCTACTACACCCGACGGCGTTAACGCGCCTGAGGGCACTACGGATATTATAAGATGCAAGGAGCCACTGCTGAGACCGCCACCACGGTCCAGGCTGTACACCTCGCAGCGAGCCCCCATTCCTCGCGCACCTGTAAATGTAGGTAGGACCGGCCATTGGATGCGATGCCCAGAACTGACTGATGCTTCATGGCAAGCACAGACAGGTTGGCGTGCATCGTTGGCTTCTCTCATATCGATGTCCACCACGGGGCTTGACTCGTCCACCGCTGCGACAGAGAAGCCAGTTAGGGTGTACCAAGCTCCAGAGCCTTTGCCTTCGACCCTGGCTAGTCCCTCCGTCTTCCTCGCTGGCACGATAACAGGGACAGACTGGCGTGCGGATGTCATCCGGCGGCTAGAGCACCTCCTAAACACCAATCGAAATCCAATCACCCTTCTCAACCCGTTGCGGGAGGACTGGGACAGTAGCTGGGTGGAGCGCAAGACCGACAAGCGGTTCTGTGAGCAGGTCGCATGGGAGTTGGATGCTCAAAAGCTGGCGGACATGATCGCGATCTACTTGCATCCCGGCACTCCCTCCCCCATCTCCCTACTCGAGCTCGGCTTATCTGCCCGCGACAAAGGGAAGGTGGTGGTGTGTTGTCCAGATGGATTCCCCAGGAAGGGCAATGTGGAGATCGTTTGCGAGCGGTATAAGATCGACCTGGTCGAGACGCTTGAGGAGCTTATCGAAAATATAGCCAAGAAAATAGGCGCTTGTCGTCCGCATACGTAGTGCTCTAGATAGTGCTCCATCTCCGTTCGAGTTAACGCCTCTCCATTGTATTGCATCTCACTTTGAGCCCGCACCGGAATAGCCTTCAGGTGCCCCTCCACTCCTCCAGTTTCATTATTGTGGCAGTGGGGCATGGAGGCGTAGACGTTCAGCAGTGCATACAGCTTCCGCCCCTTGGACCTTCCACGGGAAGCACAGCCTCAACATGTTGTATTCGATAGACGAGTTTCGTTGGCACCTCAGCCCATGTGTCCTGTCTTGTGGCATCGATAGAAGCGATGAGAGCCTCAGGTACGTACTGGCCTCGGCTGTGCATACACACAGTGTCCAAACATGCTATGCAGATCGCCTTCATATAGGCCCGTCACCGTATACTAGAGTTCCGAGTCTCGAAAGGATGACGAGTCACAGATGCCACTAGTTGCAGTGAAATGATCACGCCCCTTGAAGACGGCTTCGCAACTGCGCCTTCGAAGGTCTATTGTGACGGCCTCGCCTCGATGTTGCCAGGGCCGCCTCTTCGCCAACATTCTCATCTCCGCCAGCGCACGTCCGGAACGTGCGCCGGCGACAATAAGTAAGTTTGCCAGGATGTTCAAGTTTGCGATAAGCGGTGCACCGCTTTGGTCTATCGCTGGGACTATATTAAAGTGGGGCAGGTGAGCCATGTCCTTCCCACTACCGCACAACACCCCTCGAGCAGCCTCAGCAATCACATCTCCCTCTCACACACCCAACCTCCGCACCACACAATCATCTCAGTTCCATCCATGACTACTGAAGAGTCTCAGCGAGTCTCCTCGGAGACACCTCTCCAGACCACCAAAATCACGACTTCTCCGGAGTCTCAGCCCGCTGCTTCAGAGTCTCAGCCCGCTGCTTCAAAGTCTCAGCCCGTGTCCTCGGAAATACCCCCTCAGACCACCGAGGTCACGGCTCCTGCAAAAGAGGAATGGGAGACACCTCTCGTGATGGGTCCCGAACTCACCGCGCTTAATGACGTCCTGGAGGAGCTCGTCAAGCAGGACAGGCAGCTCGTAAAGAGATTCCAGGACGCGCGCGAGAAGGCGCTTTACAACACGACCGTGGTCAAGAACGAGGGCGAAGGCAAACTCAACCCCAGACTCTACACCGCCCCCGAGGAGGTGACACACGTCCGCGGCCCCACCGTCTTCCTTGCGGGGTCCATCGAGCAGAACACCGCGGTGGCGTGGCAGAACGAGTTCATCCGGCGTCTCGACGGGATCGATTGCACCATCTTCAATCCACGACGGCCAAAATGGAATCCGAACTTGACCCAGTCGGAGCTGGACCTCATCTTCACGGAGCAGGTCGAGTGGGAGCTCGCATGTCAGGAGAAGGCGGACGTGATCGCGATGTTCTTCGACCCATGGACCAAGAGCCCGATTACGCTTCTCGAGCTCGGGATCTTCTCGCAGGCGGTCGGAAAGGATGGCCAGAGGAAGCTCATCGTGTATTGCCCCAAGCCCTTCTGGCGCCAGGGGAACGTGCAAATCGTCTGCAAAGAATACGGCATCCCGCGGGCGAAAACCTTTGACCATCTCGTCGACTTAGTCAAAGCCAAGATCGTAGAACTACAGGGGCCTCAGGGAGCACAGAAGGAGCAGCAGGAGCAACAGGAAGAGCAACAGCAGGAGGGAGAGCAGCAGCAGCAGGAGGGAGAGCAGCAGCAGCAGGAGGGAGAGCAGCAGCAGCAGGAGGGAGAGCAGCAGCAAGAGTAGAGGACAACGAACAGACTCGCCTGGTGGTTGTAGCCTCGAATGTACGGCGGAGTCAAGATCTCGGACACGGACTGTGACACTCGCATGTAGTAGTATGTGTTCCTTGTACACGTCGTCGGCAGCTCGGTTGTATCAATGAAGATCGTCTTGATTTTGTCTCTATCTGATCGTCCACAATCAATAACATACATATATGAAAATGTCGAGAAAACGCTATATGTGCGACAGGAAATGTACTGCTAGGATCTCTCAACGAGACGCAAGTCCAATGTCCAAAGCCTACCGAGCCCTTAACGAACGTGTGTCGCGCGCGATCGAAGTGAAGGAGGGACGTGCGAAAGAAGGCGCGCGCGACAGGGCTAGGAGAGGCGTATACACGGTGGCGGGAAAGTCTGAATGTGAGTGCCAGCGTGCATGTTTGAGGTATATTACGTGTCGTCGGCGGTCCTGGTAGTCGTGACGACAGCCCGCGCTGCAGTAGGGTAGGGTAAAGATCTAAGCATCCTCTCTCTTGTCCTGTCCTCTCATGGGTATCCAAGTCGTCTTGCTCTCTCGTTAACTCCTCGTCACGGTCGTAGCACATGTACACGCGGATGCGCCCATCATGCGACCGCGACGGCCCGCCTTGGAGGAGCCTCCGTGCGCTGATGGTTGGCAGCGACTGATGCTCGCCTCTGCCGTGGGGTCCACGGGGTGTTAGGGGTTTGGTGGACCGCGCTGGAAGGAGGCGAATCTAATGATGGGGGCGGCGATGGGTATGAATCCACTGGTGAAGCGGCGTTACCCGGTTTTGTCGCAGGCGGGGGAGTGATCTTGATGTGAAGGTTGTGTTGCGGGTGTGACCGGGCGTACGATGGAGGAGGCGAACTGTACTGCCCGAATGATAATGATGAAGGCGCGGGCGCGGGTGGATGTGACGCGCGGGGAGGGTGAGAAGAGAGAGCTGGGGTACGTCCATACGCCGAAGTCACGCCGACCTCAGCCAGCCCTGAGACGAGCTCGGGTGTAACACTCCGGATCGGCGTAGCCTCGCCATCACTCGAGAGGTCTGCCTTGGTGGCGGGAAGTGCGAGGTCCCGAGCAGCCTCCACCCTGCGCATCTTGTGCTCACCCTTCTCAACGTCACTCTTCGCGTTGTTGTACATGTACAGGCCACCGAAAGTCATCGCGATACCGACAGCTTGGACGGGATGGACGGACTGGGAAAACCAGACTATCGCGATGCAGATAACAGCGACACGCTTGATGAGCGAGGCAATAGAGTAGGTGACGGGGGACGTCGAGGAGAGGATGATGAACGCGATGATGTTCTGCGCGAAGTGGACTGTCCCGTTGGCGATGAGGTAGTATATGACTGAGTGCGGGGTCGCATGACCGTGCGTGGGATGCATGACGTGGGTCTCATCCGCGGAGAGGAAGACGGGGAGGTCGTAGTACATCCAGATTGGTATCATCAGGAGGAAGGCCATGCTCGACGAGTAGAAGAGGAGATTCAGCTTGTCAAGCTTGTGTGACGACTGGCCACCATTGGAGGGAACGATCTTCTTGAAGTAGATGTTCTGGGTGACGAAAATGATGGCTGAGCCGAAGGCACAGAGTACACCGACAGCGCTTGACCTGTCCATCTCCATACTGCACGCCAGCATGACTCCGAGGGTCAGCGGGAGTAGCGAGATGTATGTCTTCGTGGAATAGCTGACGCCAAACAGTAGCGCGTAAGCAGCGACAGTAAACAGCGGAGATAGCGCCTGTGCATAGCAATGAGATAAACGTTCATCTCCGGGACAATCATGTCGCTTCCGCTAGCACTGGAAAAGGAACTAACCTTGATAGTGTGGACAGTGCTAACGTGGATACGAGATATGGCCATACTGGAAAAGATATGGCCTCCAACCTGGAAGACACCCATCGGGAAAGTGTTTCGGAAGATGGCCTTATTCGGCATGCGCAAGTGAGAGAAGCGGACCACCGGACTCATGAATAGCAGGCAATACAGCGCGACGAACCCGAACTGGATGAAGGTGAGGGTGACGGGGTAGCGGAAAGTGGTCATAATTGACTTCCCCGTGTTGGACGAGAGGGCGGACGTGGTGTACCAGAGGCAGCACATGAGGATAAAGCGCACCGTGGAAGCCGACGGGACGGAGATCGTCGACTGGCCCTGGGCGGTGAGCCTGTGCCCACTATGCTGTGACCATTCCACGGACGGGAGACGACGCATGAGGGTGCGCTTGAAACCCCTCATTCGCTGCGACAATTCGGTCCCTCCCGACGGCTTTTCGTCCAGATGGGTGGGTAGCTCTGATTTAGCACCGAGCAACCTGGCGAGCCAGCTCGTGCTGCCTGAGCGACGAGGTCTGTCCGAGTCGAAGGAAGCCCATCCTCTACTGTCATGACGCTGTTGCTGGGCCCAAGACGAGTCGACCATAGTGACGAGTACAAGCCGAGGAAGCAGGCTGCAGATTATATTGGCAAAGTATAGTCGTCTATAAGGGCATGGAGATTAAGAGGGGCCGATAACAAGAAGACAGCGAGCGCGGCCGCTAGACGATGGCAGGAAGAAGAAGGGAGAGTGTGCGGAGACGTGCCTGAGCCCGAGCCCTTGTTGCGAAACAGCTCCTGCACAAAACACATCCCAGGCGCCCGCTCTGTTGACTCCTGTTTGCTCCGTTGCTACATACTGCCTCCGAAGACGACAGATGGAAAACATTTCGATCAGAAAACCTCTCCCAAAATCTGCCAGTTCCTTAGTCTCGTGACCAGACGTTCGGAGCTCCAAGCGGGAACGAAAAATCGGAGGTTCCCGAGCACCTTAACGTCTGGTGGCTTTACCCCCGTGACTCCCCGCTCGGTGACCTATGTGACCTCCCTGCCCTCTCTCCGGGAGTCCGAGCTGTCCTTGCGTGCGCGCCTGCATGCTTATCTCCCGCCATCTTTGAGCTGCGCTGAGCCTACTCTGCACTACTTATGATATCTGCAAGCAGTCAATCCCCCTGTAATCCTCTGTCTCTGTTATAGGCAATACACTGTGACTTCTCTTTGTGTGCGCAACCCGATAACATAATGCGTCTGAATTCAGGAGTGTGATGCACCTATTGCCGTGTCCACTGATGCCCGTCACCTTGGGCTTGTACCCCTTTGAGGTTTCCTTCTCTTCTATGGGAGTATCATCACTCAGATCTGCACTCTGTCCAGCACCAGAGTAATATCACCAGCGGTGGTTGAACTCCTATCAATTCCATCACAGGTTGTAGCGGGTAATTTCGAGGGGGGCGGGCATCATGGGAAGAGGCATCCTTAGCAATGATATCATGCATCTCTCGCAGGGTGCTCTACAATACGTGTGGACGAGCGCGCACCACGCAAGGGGTTCATGGTCAGTAGCTCGAGCGACTGCATGGTCGTCTACAGCAGGCCGCCACATCGCACACTGAGGGCGACCTCCGGCTTTCTCGGACTGCCCCAAATGGGTGTCGATATGTCACACAGGTCACCGAGCGGGGAGTCACGGGGGTAAAGCCACCAGACGTTCGAGTGTCCGGATGCCCCCGATTTTTCGCATCCGCTTCACACTCCGAACGTCTGGTCACGAGACTACCAGTTCCTGCCCTTCGCTTGAACTTGGTCGATGTGACACACACAGATGGGGGGGACATACATCGGCCGAGATATGTCGCTAGGCTGCTCATTCAAACTGCTTCCGTACATGCTGGCGCAACGCCCGTTGGACAGGAACGTTCTGCGAAGTTTACGAGGACCACTTTACTTAGCAGCTCGGGACGAGCCCGCCGACGAACGGCCACAAGGCACAGCGTAATGACGGACGTTTCTGGTGGTTTCTGTTTTGCAAGTGACGTAAGACCGTGTCGTTTGTGAGGCCAAGGTGCCGTGCCCAGAACCGTCTTTGCTGCCTATCGCGACTGCACGATCGTCGTGGCTCCTATCTGGCTAATTGAACGGCGATGAGGGTACCCCACATCGACAGTTTACGGTACGTCCACATGCACCTGCCATCCCATGATGCAGCTATCGCGTCGAGTCCACCTTCACTTCCAGCGTCCGGGTACAGAAAATAGTCGTCTTGGTCCGACGGTCAGCGCCGGACCCGTGTTCGGAGAAATGGGAGCTCCACCCAACAGTCTTCAGGGATGGGAGAATCTTCTCAACGATACCACTCGCGAGGCGTTCTCGTTCGTGGACGGCGGCGCCGTGTTCGGCAGTACAGATGACGCATTTGTCGGGTCCGAAGGGCGGAGAGGAATAGAAGCCCGTCCTGGGAGAAGATATGACGACAGAGGCGCATCGGTCGAAGTGGCAGCTGAGCACATCAGCGTCCGAAAGGAAGACACCCAAGAATAGATACTCGAGGTTCTCGAGAGGCTGCAATGCCCTGCCGTAGGCGTTCTGCAGATCACGGCGCAGAACGAGCAATCAACTGCAGGAATGATCGAGAGGGAACGCATACGTACCGCGAGGACTTCAATGGAAGGAAACACATCTGGAACAGGGGAATGAATTGTGCAGCTTGACGACTCCTCGAAGCACAGCCAACAGCACTCTTTGTCCAGTCGTTCAGTAGATGATAGCTCGAGTGTCGTCAGAGAAGGAAAGCGGGAAGCAACAAGAGAAAGCAGAGCCGTGTCAATCCGAGGCAGGCTGGTTAGCTTGAGCACCGTTAGGTCCGCGGTCAAGCTCTTGAACAGAAGCGAGCAGCGGGTCTTTTGAGTGGATAGGCCATCCGAAGAGAAGTCAATCTCCAGCGAGCGAAGAGAGCCAAACGAAGACAAGGCGTCCATGTTTGATTGGACATCAGAGGCAGCAACCCTCATTTTCCTGCATATATGCGCCCCGTTTGTTATCGACGCATAAACCTGCATGCACTCCTCACGCTCACCTGACCCAGTTGAACATGCCTAAAATCCGACAGGACTTGTCCCAGTGTCTTGGAGATCGGACTTCGAGTGTCTCGAAGTACCTCCTGAACGCGATCAGGCGAAGCCGAGACGAGACCAGGGAGATGTTGGCGATTGCACAGAAACGACGGTTATGCGATAGAAGAGAGGTCACGATGACATCCAGTATTTCGACTGGAATAGCAGTTGCGTCCTATAGTGCACAGATAGTCAGATGGCGCATATACCCAGCCCTGCTGAATGCTAGCGCTCACCTTCCGGAGAGCTCGGCAGACTTCAAAGACCATTGACTGGATACAAGGCCCGGAATTCCACCGTCCTCTACAGCTTCACGATGCACGTACAGAGTCGAAACAGATGGCGATGGTTAAAAGACAAGCCAAACGCATGAACACTAGCAATCGAAACGCGACGTCCGCGGCCCAACACGTGACCGGATCGAGGTAGTCCAAAGTGCGATCGAGAACAGGTTGATACATACTACACGCATGGTCTACAGAGAGAACTGGTACTATCGAGACTGGCCTACCGCGTTATTCATAGTACTCCTCATGAAGGAGACGTCATTCTTCTGTGTAGGCTACCACGAGCTAAGGAGGGGAACCGTAGAGTGGGCACGCGCTTGGCGAGCGCCTTTGCATGCTAGTGCTATCTTATAAGAGCGGGTAAGGGTGCAAATTGGACTCCGGGCATGACCTGGTCGTCGCCCTCACACATTTCCAGCAGCGCCTCCATTCGATCGCAGAACATGAGGGGGACTGACCTAAATTCGAAGGTAGATGGCACGCACCATGACACCAGGTGTATCCTGTGTATCTACAGCGCGTAGATCTAGTCTTAGATGAGTGACCTCATGTGCGGCAGAATGGGAGGACGCAGAAATCCTCCTCGCTCAATGGGCGATGCGTCTTGGGATTTTCGATGTGGAGGTGCAGCTAAGATGGTCTCGTCCTGTAAATCAGCGTGCGTAATTCTGGAAGAGACCTATCACACAACTCGGGGACCGATTATCCCACCTACGCACCTGATGCGTAATCTCTAGGATATGCAGTGCCATCAAGTCGTCACACAGGTCTGTCAGCCGACTGGATGATTCATCTGGCGGCTCCTGGTCCTCAACAGCATGCTTCAGATCGTGCATCCCTTGGACGACTTACTGGAGATCGCCATATCAGAGATCTCCAAGCGCGAACGTTGTAGAAGTGATGCAGGAATGTCGTCAGCAATGCGTCCGTCCATCTATGAGTACACGTCTATAAATTCTAGGATATGAAACATATGGCCCCCAATGACCCTTTCAGATCGCGAGAGAAACCCCTGGCTGGGTCGTGCCCGGTGCGCCTGATTCAAAGTCTTAGCATAAGCGAGTGAAATATCCATATTGTAGCATACTGCATTGACGCACCATTTCCCGCACCGACCCCTCCGGGTACTGCAAGTGCTCCACCGTTGGCCATCCCAGGCCTCTCTGAGGTATGATGCGCCTCAATATCCTGCATCGACAGGCCAGGCCGTTCCCTAGACGCAGGTTGTACCCCATCCCCGCCCGCTAACGCTTGCCGTTTGCGACGGCGCTTAGCCATGGGATTCAGTATCATCGCACATAGGACCACGACAGCATCGAGCACCTGGGATCGTGAATATAGAGTGTCAGAACTCCCTCTAACAAGGGACACGGTACGGCGAAGAGCGTACAATGACGAGGGAATACGTGACGCTAGCGACAATATCGAATTTGGCTTTGAAGGCCAGGGACAGGTCGCTGAAGATACCGCCCGTCATGTCGACGATCATGAACAGTATGGACACCCCTATGACTTCCTTGTGTTTGTATATCTCATAATACTGTGGTCTTTCACGACACACGGGGGGTCAGCGCTGACGTGGGCAGGTTGTCCAGGCTCGATGGATGCGTACAGAAGAGCCACGGACAGGAGCACGGTGCTGAACGCTCCGAAGAAGTCTATCGGACCCTTGTTGCCTCTGTTGTACGAAGGCTGCATCGCGATACAATAGTCAGCCAAAGAGGTGCTTCTGCATATGCAACTGGGGCAGTACCTGCACTGCGAAGATCATCCCCGCCTCGAATCCGCCAGAGAGGAGTATGACGGCGAGGTACATGAGGACGACCGTCCTGAGCGACCTCTTCCTGCCATAGTACTGGCACTATACAGCGGAAACGCGCCCGCGAGGGTCGAAACGCGTAGCATGCCCTTAAATCCTCTGCGAGTGATAAGCAAAAGTACTCACCTGAGCCCACGACAGGTACGACAGCGCTGAGAGGACTTGCGGCTGCACAATCAGGGGGACGTTGATGTCTTGCACGATCGCGTACACGCCAAAGAATATCCCGGAGAGACCCCAGAGGAGCCTGAGAGTTGTCGACGATGTGGTGAGCGTCCAGTCTACAGACACCTTCGGATACAGATGGGGCTGCGCAAACTCACATGAGGTACTCGGACAGGCCTTCAGTCGACTTCGAGCGCCAGCTCTTCCAGATCTGGGGGACGAGTTGTATCGTCCAACATACTGTACCTGGTGTCGAGGAGGACGTTGGTACGTTGTGGTGGATGTGATCAACTGTAGTAATCCCATCTCGGCGCAGATCGTTCTCACCGATTGTCCCGAGGACGTTCTCCGCAACAGGATTTGCCGGCATTGATTACCACGCGCTCACTGCGGGCGCAAGGACTTGTATGCTAGCAATCGGACCTGGCACTGGCCGTAGGTATAGAAGACGAGGTGGGGGAGTCATAAGTGATGGCAGCACAGGACCTACTAGCCTGTGGACCATCGTCCAATCGTACAACTGGCTCAGGTGCTCAGGCGTCTGTTAACGAACGAAGCTCGAACTTTTGAAAGTTGAAATCATGCTGCAGAAGGAACTCCGAGATATATAGCGCGCTTGACGGCGGGCCACTGTGCTTCATAACAATGTACACATACAACAGGCGAAAGCATAACATAACCTCAGAGCTTGTTCATGACATGTCCTCCCCAAAGGAAACGAGAGATATCCTAGTCCGCACAAGTACAATAACGATCGTCGGCCATCTACATCCTTTTCCTCATCCCCTCCCCGACGTGATCGCATAGCGAGGCATCGTTTGAGTCATGCTAGCGTCGATTTCTATTATGTGGATTTTGGGTTCGGGTGGGCAAGTACCCCAAGTAGCAACTCGGGAGCGAGACGGTCAACGGAGCCTGCACGGAAGAGTTCACTCAGCGCCATTGACACTACCGGTGCTCGCCGTCGTCACGGCGTATTCGTGCTTGCTGGGGTCCCAATTGCGCGCCCACTCGGGGCGCAGCATCCCAGCCGTGCGTCCGGCACCGGCATCGATGCTGTTGGTGCGAAACATGCTCGCCCCGCCCCGGATCGCGTGCGGACTCCCGTACGCCGGCCGTGGCGGGTAACCGGACACGCTCATGGTACGTTTGCTACAGCCCGAGTAGTCAGAACACGACATATCATGATGACACCGAGAAAGAAGATGTACCTCGGCTGTAGAGTCGGCGATAAACTGAGCTGGGTGAAGTTGCTCGGGAAGAGCGGATGACCCGGGCCGCGCTCCTGGAGGATATCGTAGGGCAAGTCCTTGTCGTTCGTGCCAGCGGGCGAGGCAAACTTCGGTTGCACTAAGGGACTCATGTTGGGTACGGGCGGCAGCGCGGGCGAGCTTGGGGACGTGATGAAGCGCAGGCCCCGGACCTCCTTCTCCTGCTCCGCCTTCTCTTCAGCTCCCTCCGTCTCGTCCTCCTCTCGCAGGTCGCCTAGGGAGGATCCGAGGCCGCCAGCCGGCTCTGAGATGATGGAAGGCAGAGGCGTCTCGTCGGCGAAGACCGGCTCGATGACGATGTCGTCATTGGGGTCCTCAGACCTTGGGACGGATTGCGAGGGCGCGACAGGGGAGTCCGGCTCGAAGACGTTCGAATCCAAGGATTCGGAGGTCGCTGGCCCGTCTAGAAGCTCGAGGCCTTCTTCCTCGATATCAAGCTCGGGCGGCACGCCCAACGCGCCTTTGACACGCTCCCAGATGAGCTCACTGTGGGCGATGACACACCGGCGCGCCTTCCGGATCCAGTGGACGTCGTCTGCGACGTCTCGGTCGACTTGCTTCAGCCAGAACTCGAGGTCGGCGTACGTCCAGTCCTTCGGGTCGGGAGAAGCGTTCGACGTCTCGTATTTGGAGCCCATGGGCGCACGTGCGTCCGGTGGGAACGTTTGTTGGAGAAGAGCGAAGAGCCTCGCATTCGGCTGGGACTCTATGAGTGAAGAGACTTCTGCGGGCCGGTCGATGAATGGGAGGTAGATAGACTCCGGAAGTGGGGTGAAGGATACTGGCCTCGCCTCGGACTGCGCATTGGCTAGCGGTCCGCCAGGCGAAGGAAGGGGCGAACGGGGATTGACCGAGGTTCGGGCGACCTCGATGAGCTGCTCCGGGGAGAGCTTGCTGTGGCTCGGCAGCGCCGAGGGAAAACGCGAGCTATTGGGAGACGAAGGGCGGAAACGAGGCGAACCGGAAGGACTGACTGGACGACCAGAGCCCACACCCTGCCCTCCGGGGGGCGAGAAGGTGGAAAACGCAAAGCTCAGCCTTCCTCCGGGGCCATGGTCACTCTTCCCAGATGCGTTTGAGTTGAGCGAGGCATTGCTTCCATGCCGTCTGTGCCGCCTGGGGGACTCTTCGAGGTCGTGTTGCGGGACGCGGACGATGGTGAGCCGGCTTGTGAGGGAGCGAGAGGGGTTCATGTTGACTTCGTTGTGCGCGCCCCAGGGGTCCGCCGCAGCGACTGAGCCCCTGCGGGTGGAGAGCCTCCGCGCGCCCCCAGCAGCGCTGAGAACTGGGCTCAGCTCAGGGGGGGTGGACACGGCGCTCATTCTGGGATGCGGGCCGCCACGGCGCGAGATGCCTAATTAGCCAAGTGGTGCACATCGATGGGCTGACGGCTTGCGCACTCACTTGGACTGCGTTGGGATGTGCTTTGGGCGGATGCAGGGCGGGCGCAGGGTGATGCCGGGACAGCGGTGGGGGTGCTGGTGGTGGTGGTGGTGGTGGTGGAAGAGAGAGGAGCTGGGCGAGGTCTGCGCGAGGATCGAAGGCGGAGTGCATTGAATCTGCGAATGTACGTCAAGTCTCCCTTGCTTCGGACGTACGTTCTAGATCACATGACGCAATCCACGATCGGGCCCAGCTCTCTCCCCACAGTCGCTGAGCAGCGAAGGGGCGAGAATGCCCCCGAGCGGGTCATCGTTCCCCAATCCTCCCAACTGCCTCCGATATATTCCGATCCTATGTGTCTCCAGACTAGCGACTGTTGTCCATAGTCACGATAGATGTGCTTGATCGTCGATGGTTGCATCGCGGTGTGTGTCCTGCACGTAAAACGCTGCTAATGATTGCTGAAGCGCTCTTGATGAAGCAGTCACCTGCTGGTGTTTGCACTGAGCCTGTACGTTCCTGCTGTAACTCATCAAAGCAGTGTACCTGTGCAGATGGTCAAGGATCTTTGTGACGTAAATCAGGACCGTGGTGGAGATGCTCAGGGAAACATTGATTGAATGTAATCGTCGACGAAAGACGGCGCGGGAGAACATGGAGGCTAGACGGTACTGGACTACAACTCTCACCACTCAGTACGACTAATATCGTACAAAAAACCACAGTAGCTTTGGGCAGATATGGGAAAACATATGGAGAGGACATGCTAAGTAGAAAGCACAGGAGTAAATTACAAGCAGTAGCACATGTAGTGGAACAGCAGTGAAGCACCAAGCAGCGCACGAGTGGATACAATGGGATTCTGGCGGAGACGTACGGACTCCAGTGGGGGACATCTAATGAAGCATTCCCAAACATTCAATAGGATTACGGAGGAAGGGGAGACTGAACTCGGCCGTGACTCGAGAACCTGCGTGACGATAGCGTCTTGCGTGTGGTATAGAGAGTGGACAAGAGGGAAGGTCCGCGAGAAGCAACAAGAGAGCACAGCAGCCAACACGACACTTTTCTTTTCTTCCCCGGCAGGCGAGAGCCCTACTCCACAAGCTTGTCCGCGACGTTCAGCAGCTGGTCGAGCGTGATGAACTGCACCCACGACTCGAGGTCCTTCGCCTCCGTCTGCCACACGAAGCGCGTCTCGCGCGTCCGCCGGAAGAATGCGACCGCGCACTGGTACACCTGCCGCTGGTGGCCCTCGCCGTCCGGGATCGGGAAGCCGAGCTCGGACGACCACACGCGGAACTCCCACCCGCTCAGCGGCCGCCCGTCGCCGCTCGCGGTCCTCTCCGGGATGTTGAACTCGAGGCGGGACCAGTCGAAGCCGAAGGGCTGCCCGATGGCCTTTATGTACGCTTGCTTGAGGGCGAGGAGGACGCAGAGGCGCCGCATGACCACTTCGTCTCCGAGCTCGGGGGCGATGTGCGATTGCTCTAGCGGGGTGAGCTACAGACGGCGTGCGATCAGCCGACATCGTCGCGCGCTGCGGGAGGTGCGCCACTCGCCTTGTGGTACAGCGAGATCGCGAAGTCGTTGGCACTCATCCCTGGCGGAGACACGATTTCCTTGATCCCAATCCCGATATTCACAACGTCTTCTTTCCGGCCTTGGGTCATGGCCATTCCCACGAGGTTGTGGTCATAGGAAGTGTGGTATCCGATCATAGACCGCGCCCTGCTCGCGGCCGCGACGGGGTTGTCGTTCTCGACGTTATGTATCTGTATAGGAAATAGGCGGCGCGCCGCGTTGGTCTGTAATGGGTTCGGGGCGCAAAATGAGAACAAGGAGAGGTACGCGCCTGCTCGATCCAGTGCTTCCCGACGGCGGTGATGTTGTCCTTCCAGCGGGATCGCGGCACGCGCCGATGGCGCATCATGAGCAGTGGGAGGAGGAACGCGATGATCTGTCCTGCGTGGGGTTCAGATCGCGCAAGTCGGTCATCCTGTCTTCAACCGCACCAAGGTGTGCGATACGGATGGAGAATGTAAGAGATAGATGGGCACGTACTCATCGTTTCAGGATCGTTTGGAGCATTGGGGACGTTGACATGGGGCACGCATTCGCGCAGAACATTGTAGCACTTGGCATACTCCTACGAAATAGAACGCGGGTATGAGGGACAAGCCGGATGTGAGTATGTGTGTTATTGCAGACGGCGGTGGGCTCTCACTGTCGGAGTCATCTCGCGGTTCGTAAACAGACACCATACTAGAATTGGGCAGTCCATCGGCGTGCATGAAGCTAGATGGGCTTGATGAGAGGCACTTGCAGGTCAGACAGTGCGCGCGTCCACGTTCAGGCGTCCGAAGGAAGCGCAAGCGGAGATGATACAGGGTGCAGATCAGTGGCGCTTGGAAGACAGGATGGTCAGACGAGAGCAGGAAGCGGGCCGGGTCTGGTCAAGGACATTTATACGGATAGCTGGCGACAAGAATAAGGAGATGTGTGCGTTGGATTTGAACATTGCAGGACACGTTGTGGCGATTGGCGCTCGCTCGAATTCCTCGAGGCCCGCTCAATATCTGTATAGGCGCCCGATCTACCTTTCCTTGTTTGCCGTGACTGCTCGCTTAGATCTGCTCAGGCCACGTTCATTGCACCCACAATAGTCTGTCTCCACCGCCGTCGTCATGCCATATTGTACAAGTCTCTCAACGGGCCACCGATCATCCGGTCCTGGTCTCCGGACCTCTGTGCGCCATTCTCTAGGTCCTGCCGAACCAGGCTGAGCACCGGTGGCCAGCATCATGCCTGTTTGCGCTCATGCCGCCCAGGAGGCACATTGAACCCATATCCAGATATCCAGATCACGATGGGTGGTTCAAGCTATCGGGTGAACGTCCTGACTCGAGCTCGCGTAGGCCCCGGCTCGCGTCACCTTCCTATGCAGGCGTGCAATTGTCTAGCAAGCTGTCACAACGAGACATTCCTGGGTAATTGGTTGGTTGCCGTCTGACGCTTCCTAAGGCCCATCCCGTGACGTTCCCATGGACCCACACATAAGACGACTATCGATGTACATTGGCGAGCGGCCTGAGCTAAACACAAGGAGAACAAGGGAAAAACTCCGACAAGAAACCAGAAACATAGGTGGCCAGAGGCCAGAGCAACGCACAACTGCCTCATACAGGTCGACAATTGCCTCCGCTAGACCTTCAGACAACACGGCGCACCAGCACCTTCGAGACTGCCGATACTGGCTGCATGCGACAATTGGTGAGTTGTCCTGCAGAATTGTTCGGCGTGGTCATGGCTTCATCTGCCCAGAGACAAGAGAGTAGTGTATCGCAAGGTAAACCAGGTATCTATGTGACATTATGTTCAGTATGGACGGTAGATGAAGACTGGGGAAAATGCGCGAGAACATGCCACCACGACCGAGCAACGACCAAGGGACTACACGGCCCCGCCTTCCCGCAGATACCGCGCCCGATATCCTCAGACTTGCACACATAAGCCAAGGACTCGCCTACCAATCACCCCTAATCTCTGCTCCGGCTCGTTCTCCTGCTATGCGAGGATGTCGACGACCCCGAAGCGCCCATTAACGGCCGCCTGTCCTCCGGCTTGCCATCCCGGCTCCCTGAGCCATCCGACATGTCCTCGTCGAAGATCACCTCCCCAGGCCCCTCCGCGCCGACGCCGCCGTTCGCGCTCGTGGAGATACTGAGGTTGGATTTGCCCGGCTTTCCGCGCCGTGCACGTCCTGCCGGGGCGCTCACGAAGTCGGTGAAGCTCGAGAGCGAAGAGGCGGGCGTGTGCCCTCCGGTACGGGCGCTGCCGTTCTGCGGTAGGGACTGCGGCTGCGCGTTCGGCGCACGTACAGGCAGGCGGTAGAACTCCTCCACGTCATCGTCGTCCTCGTCCGGGAGAGCCGACGTAGAGTACAAGCCGCCGTTGGTGGTGCCGTTGGGCGAGTACGATCGCGAGTGGGGGAGTGACCGGTACGAGCCCTTGCGGAGGTGGATGGCGTACGAATACAGCAAAACCGCGAAGTAGATCTGAGACATTTTGCAGCGCAGTGCGTTAGCATGTAGCAAGAAGGAGGCACCGTCAAGTGCACAACATGATGCACACCTTGAGGACCCAGCCCATGACGATCATGGCGGTGGCGATGCCCTTCTCTGCGTTCCAGATAGTCATTGCCGCTGCTGCACGCTCCTCTGCCGTCATGTTGTGTCCCGGTCCGCTCGCTTGGACGTCCTTTTGGGCGTCCGAATGTATTTGAACCGTGCCATCGTGCGGCGTGTAGACCCACCACAGCACGGCGAAAAACACGAGCCAAGCACTTGACAGTATATGGTCTGCAAAGAACAGATGGGCAAAGTAGAGAGTTTGCTTGGGGTCCTCCTGCGCAAAGAGACACATACGTCGCCGGGAAAGGTGTCAGCCAATGACACGGAACAACCCAAGGCAAGACGTACGTGAAGGGTGGCCTTGAGACCCCATACGAGCGCAACTAGCCCGATCACAGAGTAGATGTAGAGGGTCAGCTGAGCGACGGATCCACCTGCACCGGTGAGGAGAGCGACGAGGCCATATACGCCTGCGACTTTGTTGAGGAGCTGCGAGAGTCGCCGCGAGTGTCAGTTCTGGAGGAGGAACTCAACAACTCACACTCGAGACGACTCACGGCAAAGAGGAGGGCGATGGTGACGCCTGTCTTGATGTCGAGAAAGCCAAGAAAGGAGGTTAGTGGCCGAAGCCTCCACTCCGGGCGAAGCGTGAGTTTCATTAGGTACGCGTGCGGGAACGATTATAGTGTGGGTTCGGACATGAACAGCAGACTGCGCTCAACGAAGGAAAAAGAGCGAGGAGGGCCTGGAGAGAGTGCGGGTGGAGACGGAGGAGGAAGAGAAGGAGATGGAGGTGGAGGACGTCGGAGAGGGCGGTCGAACGCTGACTCGCTGATTGCCTTTGCCGCGGCGCGCGAGATTTGCTGCCTTGGAGCTGCCTGCAGTTCGTGACCAACGACGCTCATCTCACGCTCCCGCCCCCGTCCCACCCGAGCACCCTCCCTTCTCGCATTCAGCACCCACAGCTCTCACTTGTAGTGCGTACTACCCGCATCTTTATTCGCTATTGTACATTCCCCTCTGTCGCATCCTTACCCGTATCCTCGACGTCCAAGTATCGTCCAAATCTTAGTCGCCCGCGCGGTCGCTCTTGAATTTGCTCATGGCCGGCTACTTCTCCAACCACTCCCAGTCCCGCTTCCTCGCCAACTCGAACACAAATTCACAGACGACAACGGCCACGACGGCGCAGGCCACCGCCGCGACCAATACTCCTGGCGCGGCTCGCCCGCGCGTGCCCTCTTCTAAGCACTTCTCAACCTTCGTTTCCACTTCGTCTGGAGACGAGAAGGTGCAAGGAAAGGATAAATCCACCGGCAACGGTACCTCCAATGGCACCGCATCCGTGCACCCCCTGCGAAATACGTATGTTCGTATGCCACTGTCTCCGTGCGTTGCCGGTTTCTGACGACTGCCCCTGCTTGCCTGCTGTTCCCCTTGTTCGCTCGCCTGCGCTCATGTGCGTTGCAGTTGGGTGTTCTGGTTTCGCCAGCAGCGCGCCCCAGGGAACAAAATCACAAACTATGAAGAGGGCATCAAGAAGATTTCCGCGTTCAGCTCTGTGATTGCTCACCCATGTCCTGTCACCGTCTCACTTCCTGACCTTGTATCCTATCTCCAGGTGGAGTCTTTCTGGTCCCTCTGGACACATGTCCACCCACCATCTTCGCTCCTCCCCACCACCGACTACCTCCTCTTCCACTCAGGCGTGCGCAGACCTGTTTGGGAGGACCCACTGAACCTCTCTGGCGGGAAGTGGATCATCCGCCTCCGGAAGGGTGTCGCCGACCGCCTCTGGGAAGACCTCATCCTCGCAGTGATTGGGGACCAGTTTGACGGCGTCGTGGATTCTGCAGAGGCGGCCGGCTCGCACACGGACGCAAACACGGAGGGTGTGCCTCCGGGCGAGTGGCCCGAGATCTGCGGGTGTACAATTAGCGTGCGGCAAAACGAGGATATCATATCCTTGTGGAACCGACACGACTCGAATGCTAAGTCGAAGGAGAAAATCAAGTGCGTCTCACGCGAGTGCCGTAAAGCTCCGAACCTGAACTGACGAAATGCGCGTCTACTTCAGGGAGACGATACGGAGAGTGCTCAACCTCCCTCCGTCGACAATCATGGAGTACAAATCCAACAACGGTGCGGTTGTAATTCCCAGTACCTGTGTGCGCTCCTGCTCAACTATTTACATCTGTCCAGACTCGATGCAGGACAAGTCCAGCTTCCGAGTCAACCCATCAGACCGCACACCGCTGTCATGACCCGACGTGAGGTTTTGCGTGCTCTCGCTACGAACAGTCTTCTCGGCTAGGCCTCTCTGCCTCATGGCCCTGATCGCTTCCGTCATATCGGCGACGCGACATATCTTGTAGCTCTATCATTCTATATCTGGAAATCTGGTAATACATACCACTTGGGTCCGGTGCTGGTTTGTTGTACCATCTACTTCATTCTGTGTGACATGACTGCTGAGAGGTTCAGCCATTGCCGGCGTTGGTGAGCCATGCGAAGCTGGACTGAGCATCGGCGATGGCAATGACGCAATGCCAGCGCCACAGGAAAGGTGAGCATTCCAATGGAAAAGTCCGAGAAATTTACTGAGCCAAGCTGTGCATGCAAATATTCTTGACGATCGTCGTATCAAGTTTGGCAATCGACTGCTGGTTCCTGGATGCATGCTACGGGGCGGCGTAGGCATTTCATCAGTTAGTTGCCGGGCTGCCTGGTAGAGTCTTGTACCAAGGGGAATGCAAAAGGCACATGAGTGGCACACAGCCTATGGAATGCAGTAAGTATGCAGGGCAGAAGTCTAATCAGCTCCTGAGCAAGATGTTCATGCATGGAATGCTGACTGGGTAAGATGAACAATCGGTGCAGAGGTTGTCGCTTGGCCTGATGAACTTGCAGCTAGATAGAGCCGAGTAAGCGAACAATGGTGGGCCACGCATGGTGCTTTGGCCCTCCAAAGCCACACGGGCGCTTGTGTCTGCTCTTTACCACAAACGTCCCCGACCGCAGGACAACCACCGCTTCCCAGACGTGTTTGCCCCATCTCACTCAGACCACATCATCTCTATCCCTGCGACACCTCCGTAGCCCGCTTTTTGCCGACGATTACGACCGACATGACCATCCAAGTCTCGACCACTCCGGGCAGCCTAGCCACCGAGCAGCTGCGCGACTTCTTCGACCGTCTCGCCGCAGGAGACTACCACAGCCTCGCCAAAGAGCTCCATATTACTGGCAGACCCATTCAACAACCGGCCGCCGTCCTCAACAACTCCCACCGCGACACGGACAGCGGTGGTTCGGTCGACACCCCCGACCCGAACGCGTCCATACAGTCCATCGACTCTGTCGACTCGTTCAAATTCAAACCAACAGCCGATGGCCTCCACCGCGCCGTCTCGCTCATCCGCGGAGACGCACCTCAACAGGGTGCGGCGACCCCCGAAGAGGAGGACGAGGCGTTCGAATTCACATTCCGGCTCATGCTCCACAAGCTGTACTCTATCAAGGACTTCGCGAAGATGGTCGACGACGTCGTGCGCTCCTCACGCGAGAACTACCAGCCGCTCTCTCCTGCGCTCCTCTCCCGCGGCAGCGGTAGGCGGCCGTCGGTGTCGTTCGCCTTTGCGTGCGGCGAGGACGCATACGGGGATGGGGACTCGTTCGCAATTCTAGGATCGCCAGCGTCTCCGTCCGAGGCGAGCTCGATATTCCCGTCGTCGGATTCTTCGTGGACGCTCGATCGTGTCTCGAGCCCGCCGTTCGAGGACGAGTCCGATGCTCGGGCTGTTAAGAAGAGGATCGTCGGCAGGAAGCTCTCGGTGGTTGACGGCTCCATGGACGAAGAGAACCACGGGCCGGCGTGGGTGTACGACTCCGCAGTTGCATCCGTCGACTCGCCTGTGCCCCGTTACGAGTCGTCCTTCTCGCGCGGGAGGGAATCTCCGTCTGGCCTCGACTATCCGGAAACCGTCGACGGAATGGGGTATGGTTCGCGCAAGCGGCGGTTCTCATTCCTTGCCGCGCGGGCATTGTAACCAGGATGGTGCACAGTGCAGCAGATTCGAAGGCTCTAGGAGAATGCTAATGCTGCTCTGTATAGACGCCTTAGTGCAGCTGGTCTTCCAGACTGCCATGCCGCCTCAACTGCAAGGCTGCATGCCGCGTGTCACACTACTCGGTCGAATTCTCCGACTACTACCTGTGTAAACGTTACCACTCACCTACCACTACGACAACGCTGCATCAGTCCTGGTGTTGTAATCATTGTCCGCCTATTGCATTCCCATAACACTATCTGTCGAGTTTGTAGCTTGTGTTCCCAATCTTCCACTGTTGTTTCGTTCCCGTATCTTCCCTCACCCCTGCAACATATACTTAGCACCTATGCTGACAAGTGCTTTACGTGATTGTACGCCCATGTAGAAACCGCCCGCTGTCGACAACGTTGCATACATTTCTCCGATGATGAGAGCCAACTACAATTCCTATAATCCTGCAGGACATCCTCAAGGGTGTCTTCCTTGGCACATTACTTCCGCCCAAGCAACTCCTTTGACTCGGCGGAGTTCAGTACCTTCTGATGAGCCGCATCAGGGCCGTAGGACTCAACAAGAGGTTGGGTCTTGCCCCGAAAAGCTTGTGTGCTGTACTATGACTACTGCGCATGTGATTCAGCCCCTCCGTTGCTGACGCCCCTGACACCCGATGTACTCACTGAAGTCTTCTCATCTGAATTGGCCGGCTGCAAGGATGAACCTCTGCCCGGCCGCGGCGGGCTTGGTGATGGCGAGTAGGATTGCCTTGGTGAGGTCTTGCCCATCCACATAAGATTCGCTGTGTGGGCAGGCTATCATCGATTCTTGAAACAGTCGGAAGGGGGGAAAGGGGGGTGACTCACTCGGAGGGGCAGAAATCGCCTTTGATAATAGCGTTGTACAGGAACGAATTCCAATGGTCCAGGTGGTTGGCTTTGCCGTCAAACTCGTGGAGGGCAGGCTCCAACACCCAAGGCGGGCAGAGGGAGACGAAATCACATTCGATTGAGCTCTTCTCCTTCTGCTCGCGGTGGAAGGTCCACGTGCTCTGCCCAGCGAGGGTCTTGCTGGCGAAGTACTTGGGCTCTCACATTAGCAGCACGACCTCCCTTCTTCATAGCCTCCACTTCCAGTTCCAGCCAGAATCGTCCCAGACGTTGGGCTTGACGGAGGTGGTCACGTAGACGGCAGTGGCAGAGAAGTAGGAGACGCGCTTCACAGAGGGGGCCTGTACGGCAGAGTTGAGGATACCGAGAGTGCTGTTGACGGCGAGAACGATCAATACGTCTAGGTGATATGTACTGAAATACATGGGGGATGTGATGAGGACCACCACACTCACGCCGAAGAGGGTTTCGTCGAAGGCTCCTTCTCAAATTCGAGCGTCCTGAGCCGCCTCACAATGCGAGGAAAAGAGCAGGTTACCACTCAAGCAGGTCGCCAAACGCGTCGAACTGCTTCCCAATGTACTACGTGGCCTTGCCCTCGTTGCTAATGGAGCTCGGACAGAGAAGCTCACCTCGACGAAAATCTTCAATGCCTTTGTACCAATGAACCCGTTTGTTCCGGTGATGAGGGCTGTTCTGACGGAGATTGCTGGCATGTCGAACGTGATGGAGAGACCGTCCCGGTAGCGGTTCAAGTTCGGTGGTTGTGTATGCCATGTATACTTTGAGATGGCGTCCTATATACCTCCTAAAGATAGGAGCGTCATACTTGCGCTCCGCGTCGAGCGCCTGATTCTCGAGACGAAACATTCCAAGAGGGACCTTGTGAGCATTGCGAAGCCCTCCCGCTCAGGCAGCGTCTCGGGGAGCTGACTAGGTTGACCGGCGTTGGTCCTTAATTGATACAACAAGATTTCCGTGGTCTTTTGCGGCGACTGACTTCAAGATTAGTCACAGTGGGGGAATGATCAGAGAAATATCGAGGCAAAAGTCATGGGAATGACTTACATGGGTTGGATGGCTTGAAGGTGTGTTAATGATTCAAGGGCCAGGATATATCCTCGCAAACCTCATCCACGCCTAGTATGCGTACCTGAACATCCTCGACCGTGTCAGCTTCGCGTAAGACGGTGTAGAAGCACGACATGGTTTCCGGGTCCTCTGCGTTCGACGTAGAGTTTAATTGGCAACTACGGTGGGGAAGGGCAGGAGACCGAGCTAAACACCAGCGGCAATTGCAAGAAGCCACAAATCCACCGCAGGCTGAAACAGTATGCATTAGCACAGCATCATAAACGCCCATGTCTCCAACAATTTTCATCTTCTCCTTCTCTACCTGTACCGTGGTAAGATCCTTTTCGCGTCGCTCAAAACGAGTAGACATATGGACACGCGACCCTCATATATTCCTGGCTTTTTCAGGCGTACGGGGCCGCCGAAAATGTCGTATCTCCATGGTATCCTCGTCGCTTCCTTTGCTAGCACTAATCAAGATGTCGATAACAATATCGGTAGGCCTCCTTCCTTCCTTGGGTTTCTCCTGCATCACAATAAACAGCTTTGCAGCGATGCATGCATGCGCAATGCACGGCGACCTACGCAACTTAAGGACGCCCCGATTGTTATGATCGTTGCTTTCAATCGAGTCAGACGCAATACGCCCTCGTGTTCGCTCAGAGCCCGACTGTCTTAAAGAGCCTCTTTCCCCTCAATTGCTATACCACCTCTGGGAAGCCCATTCTGGTTGTGGGGAGTATTGAACTCATACCGCGCACACCTTAAGCATTGATTGTTCGTGAACAACAACATGGATGCGTCGTTGTACGTTCCAAAGACTCTATCATCTGCAACTCACGTAATGACTCCTCTGTACAGCGTACATGTTCTCGCCGAATGGAATCCGGCTTTGGGGCCGCCCAGCCTGCTTCGAGAGCCACAAACCGACTGGTTTGACCTCAAGCCCAGTCGCCGTAGGACACCATCCATATGCTTCGACGTTCTCGTCATGCTCTTTGACCTGCTCCACACGCGCCCGGACGTCTTCGCCCTTATGTGCACTTGCAAGACCCTATACGCCGCGGGGGCACGCCGCCTGCTCCAGTTTGAAGTGCTCATCAAGAGCGATCGCGCGCTGGTGTCTTTCGGGCACTTCATGCTCGACGGAATCTTGGGCCGCGCACCCCTCCAAAGCTTGCGGAGACTCGAACTTGAGATCTGCCTGCTCCTCCGGAAGGACGATCCAGACGAGAGCTCCAGCGAGTCGGAGTCGTCGCTCCTGGACGCGCAGCCAGACCTCGAGTATGAAGCGGATGCGCAGCTGTATGAGGAGTATCTCAAAGAGCGACTCCAAGGGATGCCATTCCTCGTCGAAATCTTGCGCGGCGCCCCGCTGCTCAAGGTCCTGTCGATTTTCGAGGCCGAAGAGCTCCTGGAGCGGGGCGAGGGCATGGAGCTGGCCAGCGCCATCGCCGGACTCCAGACGCTCCGTAGCCTGCGCATACACTCCTTCGGCCTCCGCAGCCTCGCGCTGCTCCAGCGGATCCGTGCGCCGCTCGTGGAGGTCGACATCGACTACTGGTTTCCGTGCAGCCACTACTTCCGTCCAGACACCATCGAGCTGCTGGCCCCGTTCTGCGACACGCTCGCGGTGGTCACCCTCTGGTGGACCGAGTTCGCCGCAGAGCCCGTCAAGCGGGATTTGCGAACGACCCCGCAGTTCCCCCGGGTCCGCTCGCTGGTCGTGCGGGGGTTCCACGCGGGATGCGACATCGCGCTCCTCATGCACCTCTTCCCCAACCTCGAACACCTCGAGATGACGGATCTGGAGGACTGGCCGGCGATGGACCTGCAGGAGGTGCACGACACGAACATGGACGTCCCCGCGGAGCACGTCTGGAATCTGCTGCAGCACGTCTGCGGAGACCTCACCGCCCTGCACGTGCTCGGACTCAACAAGCACGTGGAGCGGGTCGACGTTGCGGACGTGCACCTGCTGCTCTGGGCTGCGTACCACCTCGACGAAGTGCTCGACGGGCTCCGGCCCTCCAAGCTGCTCATGCGCGTCGGGTACAGCCTCGGCCCGTACGAAGACGTGGAGCACGATGCCGAGCAGTTCTCGGAGCTCTTTTACTGGGAAGATCACGTGAAGGAGGGCTTGACACACCTCGCTCTGGACGTTAGGGATCGCTTTGCGCGGGAGCTCGGGGTCGACTTTGTGGTGCGCGCGTTTATGCTGATCCGTGTGGTGTTCGGTGCGGGGGATATCACTGACTTTGGCCCACCAGACGATCATCCTGGGGTTGCTACAATCATTGCCCGCGCTGGAGTTCTTCATCCTCCGCGTGCGGCCCAACGCGCTCGCAGGCAGCCCAGAAGAAGACAAGCGGGCAGAGGCGCAGCAGGAACAGGGCAACGGCTCGGCGCTTGTGCAGGACTGGGACGCGTGTTTGCGCGAATTCGCAGCCTCGTGCGGCCCGCTGGAGTTCATCGCACTCGATGTTGTGGGAAGGGATCCGAGATACGCGCGGGCGGTGGAAAACGAGGAGGGATTCACTTTGGAGTATCTCGACCCGGAGGAGGGGGCCGCGATCATTGAGGAGGAGGATATGCAGTGGTGTCGCCGCGTGCCTTTCCCCCATCCAGCGCGACCTCGCTGGGGTCTTCAGGCTGGCGAATGACTGACGGGCGTGCTTGTGGCACCGTATGGCGAGTTTCATTCTGTTGACGTTAGTACAGATTGTCGTCTGAGACACCGTATACAGCGAACGGCCGTCGCAGGCTTCCTTAGCATCTATCATGTGATGCTCGTACTGATTTCCTCAACCTACTAAAGGGGGCGTCGCATTCTCAGTGTAGCGAGTGACCGTTTGCGAATATACGGTTGATGCAGAAGCCATGTGGATACCTTCAGGTACGACAATCTTGCATGCGTGCCCTCTGCACGTTCTGTATCGCTGTTGTGTCTCGCTTTGGTCGTGGGGTCCTGTTCGATGGCGTCCATACAACCGTCTTAAGTGACGTCCGTAGCTGTCGGGAAGAATATCAAGGGACATATCGCTCATCCATTCACCGGACCGACGGGCAGACGCGGACGTGTTCCATACGATGCAGGAGACCCGGAAACCGAGATTGAAATTGTCTGCGATGTGGGGCCCCAGATCGGGGAGACGGCTTACTGAGTAAACGGTGTTCCGACCGGCTTCCCTCCAATGGCCCCGCCGCGATGCTTGTTCAACCACAGTCACCGTAGGTTTGTTGTACACTGGCATTGCTTGAACCCAGATGTGTTCAGGCATCCGCGCCGGCCTATGACAACGGTCGCGATCTCGATATGGGGCCCGTCGTGGTCAATACTGTAGGCTATGACATGCAATGTTTGTTGCTCGACTGGTCCCGCCCACTGCGCAGACAAAAGCAGACGAGCTAAAGTGGCTGGAGCGGTTCCGGACTGTGTCGACGAGGGGCTGTGCACGACCCCTATCGCCCGGAAGACGCTCTCGTTAGGCTCGTGTTGAGCGGTGTATCACGTCGAACGACGATGACAGAACACACATGCTATGTCAGGGCGAAGAACGGACAAGAGTAGGATCTGGTGCGCATCATGCATGGCCTGACAGCCGGAAGGGGCGTGGAGCGGCAGCGGTGAGCGCGGCTGGCATCTGGGCGGTCTTCAGAGCGGAAGCCGTCATCTCTTAGTGCTCGCCCGATGGACTCTGCGAAATCGTGCGTCCAGATCGCCCCCGGCGTGGCTGCCACGCCGGGCGCGCGCGGAAGTCATTCAGGGAACGAGGGTCTGCTCGGGAGCATGTATAAAATGCTGCATACCTCCTGTCGTGCGGCCCCTTGAACGACACAACCCGCCTCAAACATCAAGTATTCAACGCGTTCACTATGCCTTCGTTCCACATTCGCTCTCGCTCCCATCCCCCTGTTTCCCCCGAGCCCGTACGACCCGCGACGCCGCAGAGCACTGCGTCGAGGCCCAGTCCGCCGTCGTCGCCCGAACACGAGATGCACCTCAAGGGTGTGAAGCGCATTGTGAGCGGCCTCAAGCGACGGATCAGCTCGATTTCCCTTCGCGGACATCGCCACCATGACCACGACCAAAGCGCCGAAGACGCTCGCCCCTCTTCCCTTCTCCTCGACATCATCCCGGGAGACCACCCCCCTCCCACCACTCTTCCCATCACTCCTCGCTCCGAGCCTAGTATCTACACTCTCGACACGGGTGCTCCAAGGAAAGCCTTCGAGCAACCCAGTGAAGCAGAGGACAGCAGCTCCGAGTTGCACTCGCGTTCCACCTCGGACGCTACCACCTCATCTGCCGCGTCTTTCCACGAGGCGCACTCGGAAGCACACCCGCTAGAGACAGGTTCGTCGCCATCGTCACCCAAGCAACCTCATCTTGCCCTCGCACCTGAGGAGCCGGCGGAGCAGCCTGTGGAGGAGCTCGTCGAGGAGAAACAGTCGAGGTCTAACGACTTGTCTGCTCGCTTCTCCCCTTTCGAGTCGCTTACTGCGCCGATCGAATCTCTTTCACTCAAAGAGGAGGAATCTATCTCGTCAGAACGTTCGCGCAAATACTCCCTTCCCGCTTTTGAGTCGCTCAGCGCGCCGATTGAGACCCTTGTTCTCTCCGAGGACGAGGTCGGTCCTGCCCTTCAGGCAAAGGATACATTGAGCGAAGCGTTGGGGATTCCTCTGCCGGCATCGCCAGTTATCGAGCCCTGGGAGATTGCCCTCCCAGAGTCGCCTGTCATTCAGCCTTGGGAGATTGCTCTGCCAGAGTCTCCTGTTATTCAGGCCTGGGAGATAGCCCTGCCGCAGTCATATCTTGATCTTGAACCCCCTCCCCCTCTCGTCATGGACCCTCTCGGAGTCTCCCAACCAGCATCGCCAGAGGCGCGTGAGGACGTGCCCGCTGTATCGGTGGAACACGTCGCTCTTGTCGAGGAGCCCATGACCTCCACCCTTGACTCAGAGCTCTCTTCTTCTATGGAGGTGAAACGGGACACCCCCCTCCGTATCCCCACCTGCACCCGTAGGCGAGCCCGAAGTCCCCAATCCCTTCATCGAGGATCCCGACGCGAGCTCTTCCGATGACGAGACGTCGGATGCCCCACAGGGGCCTGCACAAGGCCTGGCCGAGCAGTTTGCTGCGTCGGAGATCGAGCTCGCACTACCAGTGACCCCCCGGACTCCCGTCGTTCCCGACCTCAACAAGTCAGTGCCTCCGACTCCGGCACTGCCCAGTGACGACGAAGACGAGGAGGAGATTCCTGAGCTGTACTTGCCCAGCCTCACGCTGCCGACGATGTTCTTGCCGATTCCGAATGTACGCGCTCATCTCTTCTCCTCGCTGACGTGGTGGTATTCGAAGTTTGATTAATTATCCTATCTATTCGCGACGTTGTTGTATCATTAGACCGACCCTCTGAGTACGCTGTTGACAAAATATATACCGCCTGACAAACGACCACCGCGAGACTTGACGGGTGACTATGTGCGTTCTGGGGGCGAGATTCATCCGCTGGTTGTGAGTGCGAAGTGTCCCGCTACGTGAGAGACTCGAGTTGACAGTCTGTCCAGATGACGAACAGTTGGAGGGCAATTGCAAGGCAGGCCCGGGACCGCATAGTCGAGGCCGATCCCGAAGAAGTCTCGTACATCCTCTCCGTGAGTAGTCGCACGACCACCCCGCTCCAAGGTTAACCAAACCTGAACCACTCATTATCCCGACTCTGCCCCCCGCTGGTGTCGCGCAGCTTTGGTACCTCCGCCTCTCCTCGCTCGCGCGCATGCGCCTCTTCAACCAGACCTCGGCCGAGTGCACGAACCTCTTCACCGTGCTGCACGCGATCGAGCCCCCCGACGCGCGCGCGTTCCTCTTCGACCGCGTGCTCCCCTTCGAGCTCGACGTCCTCTACGCGAAGCTCAAGTATTGGGCCGGCGACCACATGGGCTACCTCGACGCGCTCGCCGCGCTGCTGCAGCGCTGCAAGCGCAAGGCGCGTGCGGCCCGCGCGGACGCGGCGACCGCCGCGATGTGGACCGAGCGCGGGGCGCGGGTGTGCCTGATCATCGCGTCGCAGCTCGTCGAGATGAAGGTCCGTCTCTCTGTCTCTGTCTCTGTCGTGCTTCCGCTGGCTTATGGACAGCGCGGCTGATGTGGATGGGGCTTTGGGTGCGTGCTAGGACTTCGCCGCGGCCGCGAGGATCCTGGAGCCGCTCTGCGTCCAGAAGGACGGCCTGACGTCGCCCGCGCTGCGCTCGGCCGTCGCGCGCGTGTACCTCCAGGGCGGGCATATCTCGATGGCCGCTCAGCACCTCGCGGCGGTCGCGGAGGACCCGACGGCGGACCCCGCGCAGAAGGCGATGAACGCCGCGCTGTTCGCGTCCGCCGAGGGCGACTGGGCGCGCGCGGAGGCGGAGCTGCGAGGCATCCTCGCGGCCGACCCGGAGAACTTCGTCGCGGTCAACAATCTCGCGGTCGCCTTGCTGAACCAGGGCAAGCTGAAGGAGGTATGTTTTGTCGGGCGCAGGACGGAAGACTTAGGCACGCATGTTCACGACGCATCGCAGGGGATCGAGGCGCTGGAGGCGGCGCTTCGCGCGTCGCCTGCGACGATCGTTACGGCGGAGCCGTTCCTGTTCAACCTCTGTAAGTCGACGTCGTCCCCGTCTGCGCTGCCTTCTGTCTCATGACTGTCGCCTCTCACAGCTACTCTGTACGAGCTGCGTTCCGCTGCCGGAGCGGACAAGAAGCGCGACCTCCTCATCGAAGTGGCCAAGTGGGCTGGGGACGGTCTTCGCACCACTTGTTTGAAGATGCCCACCAATTGATCCGGCATGACATATTCTGCCACACGGCGCACACAATGAAGAGCACACCACACGTGGGACAGTATAGCGCGAGGCATGTTGCATAACGAACGTGATAGGGTGAACATACGCCAAGGTATTACACGGTGCGAAACCGTGGAAGAGTAATTTCACTGATTATCGTCCTTCCGTCCATCTCATCCAAGACTTGCAGCTTCACCTCCCTGCACCTCCTCATTCCAGATCCCTTCCGACAACAAGAAACACACGCAACACTTCCCTTCACGCTGCGCCTTGACGGGTCATAATGTAGAGTCTGAGGTCTTGCCACCCTGTGTACGTTATGTATCAGTATCAGTATATTTCAATTCCCCCTGTTCTCCCGGGAGCAGCGCTGAAGCGCCGTGGAGAAATGGAAGGGGAAAGACACACACCTCCACCAACACGGCACATGACCTTCTTGGTCGTGCCTTTGCCGGAGCGCGTCATCGTCGCAAGCTTGCAAGTGACAACCTTTCTTCCGAGCTGGTTCGAGAATGCGTACTGAGCCCGAACTTCCTCACCCTCCTTCGGGATTTGCTTGAGAGGCGGATCAATACGCTCGACGATCATGCTGTGCGGGATCGAGTTCACGATCGTCGCGACCTCCATGTCGAGCGGGTCCCGGTGGTTGCCGGGAGCGTAATAGTGTACCGGCTCGCCATGCCAATCCGGGGTCTCTGCGCCGGCGCGGGACGAGGGGCGCGATGCAGGTGTGCGAGGAGATGTACCATCTCTGAAGCTGGAGGGTGGCGCCCGAGGTCGTGGGGTCATACGCGACAGGCCTTCTGGCGTCGCGGCGCGAGCAGCGGACCCGCAGAAGGAAATCGCACTGTCGGGGCGGTAAGACATTGCTGTGCCAGGCCGTGATGCGCCCTGAATGTGAACGCTCGGTATGGGGATCATCGAACGGCTAGGGGGCCGAGCAGGGAAATTGTTGAGCTGCCCCGAGATTGACGTTGTGGGAGATAGTGCACGCGATGGGCTCGAGTTCGCAGAGGATACAGATGAGGATAGAGACCGGAGGTGGGTCGAAGGGGTGGGGATGTGACTAGGCGTCTTCGGACGAGTGCGCGGAGGTGAGACCGTTGTGGTGTCGAAGTAAGACAGACCTGGCGTGTGTGAACGCGAAGGCGGGCGATACATAGAAAATGGTGTGGTCGAGGACTGAGCCGTAGAAGTTGATGTTACAGGCGACCACGGTCGAGAAGAGGCCATAGAACTTCGCGATAGACTCCGTTTGTACATCTGTGGAACAGGGGGTATATCGTCCGATGACATACGTGGCCGAGTAGAGGATACGGAGGGACGACGAGAGGACTGCTTGATCGTCGCAGAACGCTCGTCGGGCTGTACCTTTGTAGAGCTATTCCACGCTGGACGGTTCTTGAGCGTCGCATTCGCGTCCACCCCTCTCTTCGATGGTGAGTTGTCTGGGGTGAGACTAGCACTGTATTTGTGGGAGGGACGATCGGGTGTCGTTGGCGTGAGCGGCTGACCGCCATTGAGAAAGGTGAACATCGATGTCCTATGTCGCAGGGTGCGCGCGGGTTCTGAGGACGGCATTCGGGAAAGCGCAGGGCTCTTAGGTGGTAATGGAGTGACGTTGCCTGGAGAAGGCGACTTCGTTCCAGAAGCACCTTTGAGCTTGCGAGCGATCTTGCGGAACGGTGAGATGGATCGCGAGAGGGTGTTCGTGCTCGGTGAACGACCCTTCTTCTCGCCGCTCGGAGGGGTGACAAGATACCCGTTCTTAGACACCGACAAGTTACCCGAGTGGCTAGATCCTCCTGAACTCAAAGCCGAATCGTTGGGGTGCAGGAAGAGCCGCCGCAAATGTTCCATATCGGAGTCCGTCCTTGATATCCGTTCCTTCAGGTTGCGCCAGCGCTGTGTGCACTCAGCATGTCGTCGCAAACACTCGCCGTTCTTCGTGACACGATCTTGAACTCCTTTGTCAATGATGGACAGGACTTTTGTTGTAGCGGGCATATAATGCCTGATTCAGATTTGAATGATGGTGATGATACTGAGATAGAAGGGAACGCACTTTTTCTTCGCCTCAAATGACTCAAGAAGGGCTATGAACGTCTCGTAATTAAGCGACGCTCTATCAGAGCGTCCCGATGACGAAGAATTGGATGCATTTAGGTTCTCGTCCAGTCCTCGTTTCTGCACCTGCCACATGAAGTCCTACCACCCAATTGATTAAATTCACATCCTGATCAAAGGGGTGGATGACCTCGTACCTGACATCGATTGACTGCCTTCTCCAGGCTGGACATCATGCCATCCGCCTGGTCCGTCACGGTGCGGAACACGGTCAACCACTTATCTTCCTTCAACTCTTCTCTCAAAACTTGGATGTCCTTCTGAACCGCCTCCCAATCTGCCAACAATGCTGCGTGGACACGCAGGATAGCCGCTTCTTCTTCCTGCTTAGGGTTAACCAACGTCGGCGTTTGTTCTGCACGACCCAAGAGAGGCTCCAGGGACTCGTTGACGGTCTTTATACCCGTCGCAACGGATGCAAGACGTTCGTCGAGGGCAGCCAGCGAGTGATCAACACTTGTGGCGTTGCTCACGTCGCCAGAGGACTGGGTCCTGTGTCGTAACTCTTGTATTTCTAGAACATTTATCAGTTCGAGCTATTCAACTAGATGTGATGATATCGGACGTCACTCCGTGACCGCTGAGGCATGTATAGACGGAGGAAGCTATGGTTGCCTACCGTTGATACATGCTCGGAGGCGGAGATGCGCCACTGCACCACGTCAGAAGTGAAACTACATACCGAAAATGCGAGTCTGAATATCCGAGATGGCGTAGGTGAGTTCCGTCATGTATTGTTGCGCCGCGAGGATCCGGAGATCCCTGCAACGCGTTCAGCAAACCTGCCTAGGACGTATAAAACGGTGGTCGTACTCTGTGCTCTTGTCCTTCCCCTTGAGCATCTGGGATACATTGGACATGATGGATGCGCGTTTGAAGGTGACGGTAGCGTCCTCTGGTGACATGGGCGGATGCGCGTCAATCGGGGTCTTGGGCAGCTACAAGCGAAAGCGTGGAGAACGTACCATCGTCGGCTCTACTCATTCGACCACTGCTGCTGGACGAGCTCGAGGTGGATGCTGCGGAGACAGATGACGATGGCGAGGGCGGGACGGAGGGCGATTGTGATACATGAGTGATAGAGTTTCTGGACGAGGACGAGAGTATGGTAGAAGACCGAGGAGACGTGAGAGTAAGAGAGACCATAACAAGGAGCGAGACAGTAGAGTTGCAATAGCGAGAGCAGTGAACAGGGAACGCGATGCCAGGTCTGGAGTGAGAGATAGAAGAGAAAGATGGGACGCAGAGAATCGAGTGGACGAGGTTCGTGTGTGCCTTCAGAGGATCCGCCGGTTCGAACTAATGTCGCAAGTGATCCAGGAAGGGGGTATAGGCAACAAGTTGCGGGAAGAGACACGACGGATCCTCTGTTCGTCAACGACCAGCAGCGCTGCAAAGGAACAAAAGAGTCGGACAGTGGTCGTCGTAGGGGTGAGATGAGCAATGCCCAACCAGCCGCCCTAGCAGCGAGCGGTTACTTATCCACAGTAAAGCGTTCTAACAAGTCCACTATAGCATTTCATATTATGCGACTAACTCCGCTTAGCTTTCTATAATAACTCGCCAACAATCACTCCGTCGCCACATGACGGCGGCGGCACAGTCCGATAGGCTCAATACATGATATCAAGCAACCTGTTGTTCTCATCGTTGCGGCCAGTACAAGCAAACAACACGACAGGAGTTCACGAATCGACTACCATGGCTGCGTCATTGTCTCCTAGAATACCACTCCAGTTCACATCCGGCTTCGCTTCCGGAGGGTGCAACCTCTCTATCTTGGTTTCCTCCCACCGCTCGCGGAACCGCTCCCGAGCTTGCTTGTCAGCCTCCTGCAGCATGATCACCCGCGAGGGTTTCCAGTGCCTCGGCTCCATCGACTGATGCACTCCGGGCAGCAGACCCTCCATCGCCCAGAGATGTCGGTTCTGGAAGTAACCGCCCTCGCTGTCAGCCATGTTCAAGGCTTCCTGGACCGTGTCGTGCATTTGCGGATGGTAGAGAAGGCCGGGGTAGTACCGTCCGCTGATCAGACTGAGGTTAATGATTACCTCATGCCCCGGCTTCAGTATCGGTCTGAATCGGAAACCGTGCGGAGGCGGAGGAAGAGGGTACGGTGTCGAGAGTACAGGATGTGATAGCTGTGCGCTCAGGCTCCGCGCCTTCTTTGACTCCGCGGCGCCGGCGCCGGCAGCTGGAGATGTCTGCTCGAGGATGTTGGTGGCAGTCTCTGCTATGGGAACGGTGGGGTCGGGATTGGGAAGTGGCGGTGGCTTGAGAGGCGAGGGCTGCGTCATAATCGGCGGCGCGTTCGGGTCCTCAGAGTGCGGATGGTCTGATTCTGAGTATGTGTCAATACGCATTCCTTTGAGCAGGACGGTGCACCCACTCTCTGTAGACTCGCTAGCCTTGCCGTTACCCTTGTCTGTCTCGGTCGCCTCATGCGCCTTGTTCTCTTCAACCACTTCTTCCCAGTCGTGCTCGACCAACTCATATAACACCCCACTCGCCCGGCACTCCTTAGTGGTGCCATTCCCATCTGCAGCCGGAACGTCCACGATGAAGAGACCCTCCAGCACCATGAATAGCCCCTTCTCGCTAGCCCCGAGTTTGTCCATCGGTATCTCCGCGGCGGGCGGATTTTTATGCAACTCGGCCAGCGTCGACGCGGATGGCCCAGCTGGAGGGTAGATGACGTCCGTGCCCTTCGGAGCGAACTGACACCGCGCGATTTTAAGCCGGACGAGCTCGTCCGTCCAGATCCGTTCCGTCCCCCACCACAGGCCCTGGAAACGCGTTTGCTTGACGGAATACTGTGCGGGCGCGGCCGCGCGAGGGTGACGGCCGACCATGCTGATGCTCTCTGGTTCATGGACCTGCGCAGACGCTGAAGAGCTGGCGTTCTGGTTAAGAGACTGCTGAATGACGGAGTGCAAAGTCTCGGGCTGGGCTTGAGTCTGTGGACCAGTAGAAGAGGGATGAGAGGGTGAGTGAGGCCGCGAAGCAGACGCAGACTGTGATGGGGGCGGCACTACGAACGTGCATTCCCATTCGTCCGTAGGAAGCCAGTACAGCGCAAGGCTCGCAGCTATCTGAATGGCGAGAGTGAACGACGGCGAGGCGCGCTGGTACTTCGCGAAATACTCTTCGCCTTGCGGCTCCGGCTCCATGGGGTCGAAGAAGAACATGTTCTGTTCTAGTTCGCGATCCATATGCTCAATCGACACTGTCTGGAAGTAGTGGTTGAGTGATTCTTCGGCCCGGTTGAGAACGCTGTCAGATGGCGCGTAGGCCAGGTATGGCAGGACTTGCTCATCGATGACCAAGAAGTTCACGTGGGTGCCCAAAAGCTTCACCTTGTACTCGTAGTATTGCGAGACAGTCCAAGGCAGGAGACCTGGCGTCTCCACAGGGGCGGTTGCAAGCAACCCGGTCGCATCGGCGACAGGGGGGCTGCCAAGAGCGGGGTTACCGTCTGCGGCCTCGGCGTATAGGTGCGCCATGTCCACGTCGCCATCGACATGGGCCCGAGGGACCGACACTGTCTTGATATGAACGTCGTCGACGAGACCGGGCCAAAAGGAGATGTCCTCTTCAGGAGCCCGTCCACGAATGGGGGGAACAATCCTACACCAGATCAGCTCTCCCTTCCGAAACCATCGTGGTCGCTGGCCCTCTCCGTAGCTGAGGGAAGTGCGAATGTCGAGGTCTCGTTCGGGAGAAACGTATTGATCCGGCCCTACTAGCGTCTTGGGTGGCTTCGGAGCGCGGCGGACGGCAGCGTAAGGTTTCACTACTGGCGGACGCTGCTGCTGTTGTGGGTCACGAAGCTCGCGTGGCTCTCGACGGGGCCGGGTGGTGCGGGATGATAGGGCACCAGGGACAGACGCAGATCGACCCTGGGAAAGACCCATGTTGTCTGAGATGATACGTTGCGGCTGCTTGGTGCAGTACTTGCACAGGCAGTTTGCACGATTCATAGTCTCGTCCTGCATCAACCACAAGGCGTGCGGTATGAACTCGTTAGTGGAGCGGAAACGATTGATATTGGTGGACCCTGGCAATCGTTGATCAGCATTCAGCTGGAGAACAACCAGAGTCTAGGAGAACAGGCATGACCTGCGAATTCTGAGGACTATCTGCCCAGTACGAGTAGAAGAGACATTTGTTCAGCATGGCACATCTGCAGCAGTGATGCGTGTGATGTAGGCCTGCCGCCGTGCGAAGGTAAACCTCCACGATTGATCTCATACACAAAACAAGCACATATAGGGTAGGACCCTCCGGGCAGTCCTGGCCACGGTGACCTGGGTTGCATTTCTGCTCCACCGTTCGGTAAGGAGTGTATGCATCCGGGCATCAATCAGTCGGGCTTGCGCCCCCCCTCAACTCGTCTGAACCACCTGCGCATAATATGGTTGAACGAGCTGGCACAGACCCACTGGCACCACCTCTAACACAGGCTGCCTGGGTAATCGTGTTCATAGCCTTCTGCGGGCGGGAGCTGTAGGCCGCCCCTCAAGCATCAATGAAGTTGTCATATTGCCAGTGATTTCTTTCCCAATGGGGTTCGTCGCGGGCGAGAGGGCTTCGCCCTCCCTTTGGCCTTCTCAACGCCGCTAGCGCAAGCAAAAGGGTGCCAGTGGTCCCTTGGGATCCACCTTCTACACTCACGGCAGGGATTCGGATGGTTCCAGCTGGAGAAAGGTCTCTGAACAGGGGAGGCGCGATAACCTATCCGTAGATGTGTGGCATTTCTGAATAAAAGTCTTTGAAGAACGACGGGCGGTTGCCTTTTGCGTCCCCATTTCTGGACTTTCCTCCATTGAAAACATCTGATCCCCTGCTGTGACTTGTAGACCTGAAACGCGAAACCACGCGAGCTGACACCCCCCCCCCACACAGGCTTGCATATACTGCAGAGTCCTGGACCGCTAGTGGCCAGAAATTATGCACATGAGACATCTCCATGTATGATCTCACTGAACAATGAATGTGGACTCATCCTTGGGTCCCTTGTAGCCAACTGGCGGTGCTCCGAACGACTTGTGAGCGAACAAGTTTGCACACATACCGCAGAGATATGGGTCGTGTCGCGGCGCATTGGCCGGACCCTTATTGTGATCATATAGCTGGTATCCTTCTGGAAAGCTCTTCAAGACATACTTCGGGCCCTCTGATGATAGAACATAATCAGTTTATATGCGCGAGATGATTCGGCTGTACTCACCAGGAAGCTGCATGCGGATGGCTAGCTGGGAGCCTACTGCAACACGCCACATGATTGAAAGGCTCTCATCCACGTCCACAGGCCTCATGTAGTTCACTTGGCCCTCACTATCCACGACCTTGGTCGTGTTCTTGGGCAGTGCAGCGGCACTTCCATCGCTACGCGGGAACTCGATCCATGACGGGTTCTCGGGAAGAGTACGGCCGCCGGGGTGTCTCCTGGACATTCAGAAAGCAATTGAGACAGAGTAGCACGTAGCCTAGCTCAAGAGTGATAAAATGGAGGCAGACCGGGGAGCACAAGAAGGTGCGGCGGCATAACCGCCATCTCGAGCGTCGACCCTCGGTACGCCGGCGCTAACAGCCGTTCTCATGGGCGGGGAAGCAACGTGAGAGCAGCTTACATCAGCTAGAGGATATAACTTATTGGACTGCGTGACACCGAAGATGTTGACCGCTCCTCCCCGTCGCTCTCGGTGTGAATGCATCCTGTGTTTTTGATGGCTATACCGCTGCAATGCTCGACATCTTCATGTGTCACTGCTTTTCGACGTCGCCGCAATTATCTACGTCTTATGCGGGCATACATTCCACCGCTTTGGCGTTAAACTGTGCGGCAAAATTACACGCGTTCACTTAGTGTTCGCTCGTCCCGCAGATCGTCCTATCTTCTGCTATAGACTGGATGTTTTGAAGGGGTGGGACATTCCTTCCTGTATGTTCCTCATTGTCCCGATCAGCAAAGACGATGACGCCGTTACAAGTTTGTCTGCACATGTATGATTTCTTCGCTGTAGGAAGATTGTCAAGTTTCTGCCGAACACTCTTCACTGCATGACTCCACGATCTCAATCCATGCAGTTCGCATTGAGCCAGCGAATATTGGCCCCCGGGGACCTGGCACGAAGCACGCGGCTCCTGTCAACGTGGAGACAGTAAGCTGGCTCCGGCACTGTCAGGTAAGTGGTGGTTTTCTTCCCATCGACATCAGACGTGCAAGCTAGATGTCCATCGGCTTTCAACAGTCCCGGTTCCGTTTGATACCATCAGCCTATAGCGATACCCTTCCACGCAGACTACCATTTTCTATACACAAATCCTACGTGCGAACCTTGAAGTTTGAAGCGTCAAGTCGATAAGGACGTGATTTTAGGTTCGTAGCGCCCCCACCAATTTTCGGCCGACTATCTGACTTCCTGCTGACCCATCGCGTAATGCAGCCGTGAAATCGTTGGAGAATACACATGAACTCATGGGAAATGCTCCTGTGAAGACCGATCGGCGTACATGGCAATGTTCTAGATGCATGCGCGATGGCGCATGCATGGTGGGTTTCGTTGCAGTCCCCTCTCACGCTGCTCAGTATCTCCGCTCGGAGATAGCATGATTTATGTAGCAACGCTCAATTGTGGCTCTGAACACTAGCCACGAAGGAGGTACTTAAGGAACGACAACGATCCCTGGATGGATAGCCTACACAGCTATTGCGTAGCTTACGCACACCATTCAACTCACTCGATATGCCAGCCATCTCAACCGGCAATGTGCTCATGACCGGAACGAATGGATTCGTCGGTTCATGGGCGCTGAAGGTGTTCCTCGAGTCAGGCTTCACTGTCAGAGCTCCCGTCCGTAGCGAAGGCAAAGCATCCTACCTAAAGAAGATCTTTGGCGCATATAACGACAAGCTCGAGTTCGTAGTCATCCCAGATATCACGAAGGTACGTTGTTGCCTCTACCTCACTAACATCGCAAGTCGAGGAGACTGATATGACATCCGTCATCGTCCACAATCCTCAGGAAGGAGCTTTCGACTCGGCCACTGTAGGCGTGGACGCGGTCGTTCATATCGCTTCCCCCGTAACCCTCGACGCAAACCACCCGGACGAATGGATTATCCCTGCAGTCAACGGTACCCTCGGTGTCCTCCGCTCCGCTGCAAAAGTGCACTCGGTCCAGCGGGTCGTCTATATATCCTCCACCGCCGCCGTCATAGATCCGACCGCGACTGGGCCGAGAGTATACGACGAGAACGACTGGAACGAGCACGATGTGGGCACCTGTCAGAGGGAAGGCCGTGCGGCTCCTCAGGTCGTCAAGTATCGCGCAAGCAAAACACTCGCGGAGCGCAGCGCATGGGAATTTTGGAAAGAGAACAAGGAAAGGGGCGTGATCGGATGGGATCTGGTCTCGCTCTGTCCGCCTTGGGTCTTCGGGCCAGTCATCCACAAGCACGAGGGGGGCCCCAACGACATGAACGACTCGACTAAGTTCATTTATGAGGCCGTCGTGAAGGGCCAATACTCGCCTGTTGAGTGAGTAGTTGATCCGACCGAGAGAACTCAGCAATGGGAGACACTGAAGTAATATTTGTAGCCTTGCGTTTATCGACGTACGCGACTTCGCGCAGGCGATCCTGCTCGCAGTCACTAAGCCGGCTGCGGGCGGTGAGAGGTTCATCGTTGCTGCTGCCCCATTCAGGTGGGAAGATCTCAGTGAGTACCTGAAGCAATGGCCTCTTGCCTGGCATGACGTGCTAACCACTTCGCAGTCATTACAGCGCACGAACTTTCAGGGGGCAAGACGTATCCTCCTGTCGGGTCATACAATCCCGATGCTCCCTATATGGGAAGGACAAATGTGGCGAAGGCGAAGGCACTCCTCGGACTGGAGTATCGCACCCAGGAGGAGACGATCAAGGATCTGCTGAAAGAATATGAGGAGCGAGGGTGGCTCTAGATCGGGAGAATAGTACATCATGCAATGGGTCCGAACGACGGATGTTTCTACCCAACAGGTCAAAGTTATGTAATATGTTGTATGGTTAGAGTACGGGTAGCGTGTCATCGACCACCGATCATCTGAACCCCCTAGGAATGGCAGACCAGGTAATTTGGTATGTACTATCTCCTTGGTCATTCGGCGGATGCGCCTGAAGCCAGCACTTCGGCCTGGTCTGGGGAATTCACCGACCAACCTACTGCCCATTTCTAGTTCCCATTCCTTCGACGCAGATTTGAATTCACAGCCGTCTCCAACGGAACGGTGCCCATGACCAGAGCCACTAGGTTCCTCGGGTCGTGGACAGTGACGGCGTTCCTCGAAGCAGGCTGCTCCGCCGTCAGAGCGGCAGTACGTGCTGAGGGCAAGACGAGGCATCTCAGAAAGCTCTTTAGGAAATATGGCGACAAGCTCGAGTTCATCGTTATTCCGGTCATACTAAATGTATCGTCATTTCGTTCACTCGCTTTCTGTGCACCGCCAGAAGATCGGATCTCACCTACATACCAGCGAACAAGAGTACCTAATGCGAGGAAGACATAACAAGCTTCAGCCAACGATACCACTCCATATTTTCTACCCGAACGATCCTTACAGCGTCTGCAGGGGAAAGCCGCTACACAACGACCCCGTTCCCCGATTTCACAACATGCAAAACAAAGTATAGGCCATCCATAATATCAAGGGAGACGAAGGACAGAGCGGGCTTGCTGCGTGCGATGCGGACAGCGTTATTGTGCCACAGCCTGACGATGTTGGGTGGTACGGTCTTGAGATCCACAGGCGCGTCGTCGTCGCCATGGTTTTCTGCGAGCTCTTTCTATTGCACACGCAAGGCGAGGAAGGAGAGGCGGAGAAGAGGGCGATCCGAATGTGTCCTGTTCGCAACGGGTCAGCATCTGCGATATCCGCCGTATGTGGGCTCGTATTTCACGCATAGCAAACTGCTTCGTATTCGTCGGGTATGCCGCGTTTGCAGGGATGTCCAGGACGAAGGGGTGATGCCTACGGCCTCCGGGATCCGGGATTCGCAGAAGAGTTGGAAGAGCGCTCAGTTTTTGAACTCGACCTCGATGGTATCCGGCGTGAAGCAGGATGTGGGTCGGCGTGGCGCCAGAGACCACGGTGTGGAGGGGTGCAAGCGACTGGGGAATTAGATGGATGTCGCCGATGTTAACCTACCGCACGTGGCGTGTAAGCCCAAGAGCGTAAAGGAATGGCAGGTTCCCACTGAGATGATCAAGGCAGTGCAATCGTCATCGTCATCAATAGCTCTATTGCGGATGTAGTCTTCCTGCCCAGATATCTTATTCCCCTCGATTCCCTGATAGTCCGTTAGGTCGAGATGCCGGAGTTTGGCGAAGGCAGAGAGGAGGATATCGGGATCGAGGGCCGTGTCAAGATACCGAACCTACAGCGTATGCACGAGAGGGAAGCGACATGCGACTTCGTTAGGGGGGTCGACGTTCCGGAGATCGGCCCACCAGACGGTGAGCTTTTTGAGGGAGCACCCGAAAGGTGCGAGGAAGTCGAAGAAAACGGGGGAGGTCTCCATCCCATCGTACCATAAGTGCACGTCCGCTTCTTCAATAGGGGCGACGATCCTAGGGAGGACCGATAGAGCGCGGAGTGCGCGGAGTCCAAACGAGGTCGTGCGCAGTAGGGTAAAGTTTGAAAGTCGAAATAATGAACCCGGTGTTTATTAACAGGTTATTAACATGTTAATTAACGGTTCAAAAGCCCAGGGGTCTATCAGCCCGGTTATATATTGTTCAAAAGTCCAGATGGAGGCAATACATAGGTGTTTGAGCTGGAACCACACACTGCCAAAAACCTCCGTGAAGCACTAGTCTAAGACTTTGCTGATAAGCAAAATATACTAACATCATATGCAACTAGATATGGACGTTAACCTTGATCCGAGGTCCAGCGCCGAGAAGACAAGCAAGAAGAAGCTGATGACGAGCAATTCTTCAGGAATGCCTTGCACATGCTTTTTTGCAACCCGGATAATGGAGACAAGGATTCCGATGATGATAGTGTGGCAGATGGCAAGCCTAGCAAGATACTGGAGGGAGAAGGGACGCATGGTGATCATCGATGGGATACGACTGTTAATAAACCACGGTGGTGTTAGAAAATGTTCTTAACAGTTAATAACACAAGAGTTAATAACAGTTATTAATCCTGGTTAGAAACGGCCTGCTTCGAGCGCCTGTTCATAACTCTCTGTTCAAAACCGAATCCTTTTCTAACCATACCCTATAGTGCGCAGACGGCATGTCAGTGCATCTGAGACCTTGCTCGCGCTCCAAGAGTTCCTCAAAGTAATTAATGTTGACATCTCGGAGGCGTGTCGCCGGGCAAAGTACTGTTGCCAGATGAGAGGCACCATTGAGACGTGATCCGGGCTGGTCAACGCCCATGTTCTCGTCTTCGAAGTCATCTTCTGAATCGGTGTCGTCTGCGTCAATACATGCGAAGGGGTGGAAGTTCGACGCTGAGGCGTATCTGCCTGAGGTGGGGCACGAGTGGTGAGGTCTCGAAGCATGAAGCGGCAGAAGGATTAGAGAGCCCTCTCGCTCGTAATTGGGACCCCGAGGCGGAGAAGGCGGATCCACTGGCATGTGACAGAGTCTGGCAAGTTCTCATCAATGCCATAGTGTCACATCACTCCTGGAGAATGTCGTAGACTCTGGAGAGGACGCGGGGAATGTTCCAACTAGTGGGTTTCGCGTTGAATCTCGTCCTGTTGAACAGCGGTGGTCTGAAGTCAGTACTGTTAGAATCACACCCATTTGTCTCATGTGGGACATGCACCAGACAGTGCCAAACGCCTGTCATGGGAACAGGGATAGGCATGTCGGGTCAAGGGATTGGCGGCGGGCCGCTCGACATTTCTGTCTGCGCTCACCGCATTCTGAGGCAGGCTGCGTCCTGACAATGTATAAGAGCAAAAATGACTGTCATATCTGGTGCAATGGCCGGTAGCACGATCTGACAACATATATAACACAAAGGGGAGAGACGAGTGGCGCTGCCTCGAGCCTATTGTCGCCTACAGGATAGTCTCAAGCTTATATAGCGACCAACAATGCACTCAACATGCACACGAGCAAATCAGGCAGCATTCTTCTTTTCCTGATACGCTTTCAACCTGTAAAGATGTTTCTCAGTTTTGTCTCCTTCGTCATATACCCCAGTGTAGACTCACCTCTGATAATCTCTGTCAACCTTCGCCTTGATATCCTTCTCACCACTAACCCCTTCGCCACCTCCCGCCTTCTTTTTGTCCTTCTTCGCTTTCCTCTTCTTGGCCTTTTCGGCCTCCTCGCTCGCTGCCAACAGCTCCTTGATCGAGGGTATCGCTGATGACGAGAGCGGCTGCAACCGTATAGGCCGTTCCTCCTCCATCTCGCCATCCTCCTCGTCAGATGGTGGATGGAGAGGGACCTCAGGTCTTCTCTGCGGAGATTCCGAACGGGCTGTAGACGTGCCCTCGCGTGCAGGCGACGGAGGAGACGTGGGTTCTCGTTCGTCGTCGGAAGTCGCGAGCCACTTCCCGGGTCGCAGCGGTCCGCTGTCGTGCACTTCGCCGTCCTCCTCGTCTTGTGGTTTTCGTTCTGAGGGGCGAGTAGCTCCTTCGTCGTCACTGGCTTCGTCGTCGTCGCTTAGGTCGACGCCAGTGTATTCACCTGCGTCGGCGAATATGTCGAAGTCCTCGTCTACGGGCTCTGGTTCCGGTTCTCCCGCAGGCGGCGGTTTGGAAGGTGGTACGGCGGAGGGTCCTGCAACAGATCGCTCTTCCTGTATAGAGGTTGCAGAGACTGGGGGCGCAGCAGCAGCCGGTCCCGCCGACGTTTCCGTCGTCACCTTCCGCTTCTTCTTCCGCTCCCCGTTCTCCTCCACCTCCCCAGCCTTCACCTTCTTCTTCCGCTTCACCTTCCCGTCGCCCGTGCTGATACTCCCGACTGGTTTGAATCCTATGGGCTTGAACTTGCCCGCCTTCTTCGCTTCCTCGAGAGCTTTGTCTGCGACCGAGGGTTGCGCCGCAGACGCACTGGTCGTACCTCGCTTGCTCTTGAGGTCACGAAGGATCTCCTCGCGCGTGCGTTTCTTGGGCTGCGCAGACGACTCTTCGAAAGCCTGCTCAAGGAAGACGTCCTCGGTCACTGCAGCTTCGGCGGCGGCCCGCGCGCGATTCTGCTCGAGTAGCGCGAAGTCGAGGCCTTTGACTAGCACAGTATGTTGGCTGTCTCCACCTAGGTACTTGCGCTGCTCCTCCACCTTGTACAGACAATGGGCGAGTAAGACATGATGTGGTCCGGGACCTGGGGACAAGACGTACAGCTAGTCGATCTGCGTTCTCCGCAGCCCGACGCTCGAAATCCTCCGCCAAGGCCTCAACCTGTAAGAAAGTTGAATCATGAAAAATTGGACTTGTCTCCTAAGAGAATGCACAAAACTGTGCCGAGCCTCCGACACATCGACCCAACAGCCGCAGAAACAAAAACCATGGGAGGGGCACGTACCTGTGCGTAATCATTGTTGGTCCCCAGTCTCCGCTCAGTAGCACGGTCGCGATACGCCTCCCCCTTCGCACCCTTCTTCAGCGTTCGTGGTTTGAATGCTGGCTGGGAAGCATCAACGGTCTTTGCCTTCTTCTTGCCCGCGGTGGCGGTCGCAAGCAGAGAACCTCGGACGTGCGCAGCGGTATTGCTGGGAGGAGAAGCAGCGGATGGCTTTTGTAGTAACTGACGGAAGGAGTCTTGGTCCATTGGGGTAGGTCGCGCGTCGAAAGCCAGGCGAAGTCACAGCCAATATCCTCCAGACTACAGGGTGGACGACCACTCCAGCCACAATGCACTCTCGGCGCTAGTGAACAGTTTCCTGCCGGGTTCCCGCGCCGGTGCAGCGCCTCTCCTCGATGTCAATTCTGCCAGTGGACATCGGACAGGACAGCTGGACTTGTGAAAACGCCAATATGTATGTATGTATGTATGTATACGCTCCGTCTCTCGTGGCGTGAAGGCTAGGTTACAGTCAGGGAGGAGCTCAATGTACAACAGATTTGGTTATCTGCATGTCTGCAGCCGCCGGGGTATAACTATAAGTACAAGCATCACGAACATCACGGAGCACTACACGGATTCGTTCAAAAAAGTCATCTCTACCACAATGTTGGACACCAACTCCCTCCCTTGAACTACCACATCTAAGCGGCGTCAATGAACTTAGTCTCAAACACAACCTGCGTTGGCCGTAAGAGAAGTCCGGGGCAGCATTGCACAATATGCACCACTTACGTTGGAGACAGCTTTGTCAATGGTTTCACCATATTGCTTGAGGAACGCAAAACCCCATGTCAAACGCTCAACCTCGGAGCAAGGGGGGACTTGGATATTGGTAGAACAGTGACACTTGAAGGATACCAGTTTCTTGAGAAACGCTTGCCCAGCAGGTGACGTTGCAGCAATCGAGCTGCCGAGAGGCTTGTCCCTCACTGCGGCAGTCACCTCGCTGAGAAGATTCCTCAGTGCTTCCGGAGGGATGGCGTGCAAAGTTACACTTTCCCGGAAATATGCCTTGCGGGAGCGATTCAGCCATGGGGAGGCGCACGATGTGGCCGGTAATGACTGGACAGTGATGCCAGAGGTGGCTGCTTTGACGCACTGGTTAACGTAAAGCAACAGTCGATAGTAAGCAGCGTTGGGTATTGTCTCCATGCTGGGGATATATAGAGAATGGATCGAGTTCACAGTCTGAGAATGCTGGATGAGCCCGCGAGCACTCTCCAGCACCTCGTCCTTCCAGCGATACTCGACGGCTGCGAAGTAGAATCGAAGAGGGTCCAGATGTGCCATCAACTTCCACTGGCCCCTCATGGCCGCTTCAGCCCCCTTGAGCTGATACTTCCGGACGGCAGAGAGCACGGCAAGAAAATGCTTGGGATCGTGTATGTCGTTCGCGCTACTGTGCTGGATGGGGTAGCAATGCCGAAGAATGTCCCTCACGACCAGGACACTCTCCGGCATTTTGTAGATAGGCACCGGGATTGATCCAGTATGGACCGCGACATCATTGTCGGCCACGCTTTCAAGCATGGAGAGCATTGTCGGAGACGCCAGTGTAAGAAGCACGCGATGGACGTAGAATTCGTGGTTGTCGGAGCTCCTGATGATCACATCAGAGGCAAGGATGGGGTCCGATGAGACGACAAATGTGGTCTCGATGTCGCCTCGCCGAAACTTGGCACCGGTTTGCCGGTCGTCCGTCTCATTTGCATTCCGGCGAAGTGGTGTGAAGCCCGAGAAGACGGCTTCCAGATTGGACAAAGACGATGATGTACGTGAGCGTTCGTAATCGCGCTGGAGGGCAAGTAGACGGTGATAAGCGCCAGCCGGGATCGCGTCGAGCTCTGGACAGGTGCCAGTAACGCGCGATTTGCGCACAGCGAGTTCAGCTGCCATTTTCGCCTCGTCCGCCATATGGAATAGGCATGCGATCGCGAAAACGCGAAGAGGGTCGTCCTGCAGGAAAGACGACTCGGTCAATTTCTTGCGTGCCAGCGCGATGACGGCAGCCGCGTCGTACTTGGTCCCTGCGGCGAGCACCGAGTGAAGGTGTTGCAGGGACTTAAATTCGGGGTCAGGGATGGGATAGATGATGCGGAGAAACGTCTCCATAGCCTTGCTGTCCTCCGAGATGTCGACATGAGGTCTCGCAACGTCGGTGCCAGCTGGTTGCGGAAAAGAGAACATGTTCTCGAACACCGTCGAGCCTAGGGAGAGCACGACGCGGTGGACATGAAAGTCGACATTATCTCGAGTACTGATGATGAGATCGGCATCCTCTCTATCAAAGGGAGGCGGAGCCTTGGTAGCGACTGCTTTCTTTTGCTTGTCATCTGTCGCGGAGACATCGGGAGAGCGCGAAGAAGACATTGAGCGAGTGGGCGTGCCAGTTGCTTCAACCTTCAGTGTCAACATAAGCCAAAATCTTCGTGCAAAAATGTTGATACCCACCGCCAAAGTTCAGTATGCTGGTACAACAAACCGCGTGTACAAAAGGCGGCTGGTCCTGTGAGGGATTCGTGGGAGGAGCAGCGAACGATCGCACTATATAAGTACCATGCTACCGCAGCACATTTAATCGAGAATCACGTTCGCACGGAAACATACCTCTAAGTACCGAATGACTATAGATCTACGAAAGTTCACAATATTTTCGATAACTCTTATCGCCATCGCAGCTTTCCAACGCATGTCGAGCATCCGGCGGACCGCAGCTCAAAGACGTATTCCGACGATTCGAGGCGGTCATTAATCTGAGTCCCACCCACTGATTGACTGAGGCGACTGGCTCAGAGCGACTGTCGACCCAAATGTGCGTTGCATCGTACACGAGCGCAGGACGTTTCAAGCCTTCCTTCGAATATACATTCTTCTCTTCTACTTAATAACTGCCACCCCCTTCTTTGCTTGTATGTACGGAACACGAGGATATATAGGACACGGATGATGAGCGCGCTAGTAAGATGAGGGGAAGCGGGAGAGGGAATGATACAGACGTGGTGACGGACAACGACGTGAACGCTGCGAACGAGACGCAAGAGCCAACCGGGGCGAGCCAAGGGAAGACGCGGGAGACGCAGGAGGACACACAGGACGCACGTACGTGGAGACGCAATCGCTGCGGCGCCCGGGCGCGGGTGTACGGTAGGTCTGAAGACGGATGGATGAGGTCCGATGCGAACGTGGTACACGTGCGGGGATATAAGGGAGTGTAAGGGGCGATTAGGAGAACATGGAGTACACTGAGCGAGAAGCCCGGCACGCCGGGCGTATGCACGAACGGCACATCAGTGCGCATATATAGTAGAGGGTCCGGAAGCGGAAGAGGGACTGTGGAGGACAATGGAGAGCGGCCAAGGCTAGTCGTTATGCAGGAGCGAGAAACGATGTAGTGTCAGTCTGTGCTCCCCGTCTGTGCTCCGAGGAGGCATCTCGGTATCTTAGTCGTCTGTCTGGACTCTTCAGGTGATGGCATGTCGCGCAGCAAGACGAAGGTGTTGGATGGAGTGTGGTCGTGCATGAGGACAAGCGTATGGGTGAATAGAAGGATGGGAGGCGTAGAGGTGATGGGAAGTAAGGGCACGGAGAGCATGGCATGTTCATGCTCATGCCGCACTGTACAAGAAGAGGTTGTTCGTTGCGGCGATCTGGAAGAGTGCAGGCCGTCGTGAGCAATTGAGTAAACAGGTGTCTCATAGTAATTTACTCGCCGCTATGGTGTTTTCCCGCGGATGCCAGCTCGCGTGCAAGATCTTCTTGTTGAAGTCCAGCGTCTCTGATGCCATATTCTCCCTCATTCCAGTTGGCCGTCCGTTCTTCAAGCCTCCCTTGTTGCCCGGCAGAGGACCTCCGATCTTCTTCGCTTTGAACGCCGACTTGTCCGCCTGAAGCACGACGTCATTCAGGGTCTCGACATCAAATATCCGGAAGTAGTTGTGGTATGACCCGGTGAGAACGTGCCTGCGAAAGGAGATCACAGTAAGTAACCATAGACGTCATACGACCCACTCGCCAACGAAGTAGCACCCGGAGCACACGAATTTCGAACTCACTTGTCATCGCCACTCCATATGCACTCAAACTTGTCGAAGATGCAGTCGTTCTCGTACAGATCGCACAGCTTTCCCCGGAGGTGGTCATGAATGGGGATCGTCTTCAATGGCCGGTTCTCCATGTTGATATCCCAGATCTTGAGGTTGAGATAGTCGCGCGACAGAATGTATCGACCGTCATGGCTGAATTTCACGTCGGATATGGACGAGATGATCTCGGAGAAGAAAGACCGGTTTGTTGGGTCCTCCTCTTCCTCAAACACTAGATGTAGGGCACCGCCACAAGCCTAGGTCAGCATCAGACGCGATACAGGAGTGATGTCACGTACTCTTTGCGTGCTTGTCACACAGGGCAGAGTCTCGCATGTCCGCGAGCTTGATGTTACTCTTCGAGCTGCTGTACATAAACAAGTTGCACTGCGTGGGATGGAACTCGGCCGCAGTGATGACCTCTGTGAGCTCCTCCATGTTCGCGGGTTTGATATCGACAATGTCTTCGGGAGCGTTAAGTCCTCTGTCAAAGGAGCTGTACGAACGGGCACTCACTAAAGCTACGGTCGCTGATATCCAAGTTCCAGAGATTAATCCGGAGGTCGTCCGCCGAGATATATGTCTCCTGGTCAGAGTTTACCGAGATGGAGTGGATGTGGTATGCATGTGCGTTCGAGTACACTTTGCGGGGTACTGCAGCAATGATGTTGTCTTGCTGGGTCATGCGGGGAAGTCTCAGGTGTTGTGAGGATATGGGGGCGGGTAGCGATCTCTGGCCATCGAGCAGATTGCTCTCCGACAACACTCGTAACTGCTTCTCAAACACTTTCCATAGCTTGATCGTTTTGTCTGAGACGGATAAACATCAGACTAGGATGTACCAGTAGCGTCCTGGGACCACGCACCGTTGGTGGATAGCAGGAAGTGTGCGGAGTTCTGTCGTTTGCACCACTTGATCTTATTGATCTTCTCCTCGATCTCCAACGACTTGAGATAGTCGAACTCTGGTTCGTGCGACTGGAACTCGGTGTAAAACTTGTATTCGCAATTCTTTTTCTGGGACGGAACACGAGCGCGGGAGGGTCAGCATGCCGCAATCGCGACAGCAATCAGAGTGACGGGCAAGGCGCGCGGCGCACCATCTCATTGCGCTCGAACAGGACGACACGGCCTCCCTTGTCACCGGTGGCAAGGTAGTTGCCTGTCGAGTCGAACTCGACGGTTGAGATAATATCGGCTGTGAGGCGAGATACACGAGACGTTAAGCGGGGGATTCGGTGGCTCCCGACGGGCGCGCGACATACCTTCTGTGATGTCCTCGACGTCGCCCTTGTCGCCGAAGCATTGCGCAAACCGCCATCCTCCTGAACTGGACGCGTCCTGATCCATGATCGAGTGGGGGAAGAGTATCGTACGATGGGGAGTGTGGAGTGGGGTACTCGGTGGACTCAGGTGCGTAGTTAGCAGACAAGGGTTCGTGAGACGGACACAGCGGAGAAATGGGCGTGTGTGGGGTGGCGTGCGGAGGGTGCGTGGTCTGGGATGCGAGAGACTCTGCGGGGCGATGGTACCGTGACGGAGTCGATCAAGAGGGCGAGCGGGGACTGGAGCAGTGGCCAGCCCAGGCAGTCCACGATGGGCCCGCCTCCCTGTTGACGCGTGTTTGGCTCGTGGCTCTCCCTCTCTTCGGCGTCTCGCTCGTGTTCCTCATCCCGACTTTGCCCTCGCCGTCGTCGTCGTCCCTTCCCCGACACCAAAACACTACCATGTCCATCGCACCCATCACCGGAAAGCTCAGGAAGCGCTTCTGGCTTGACCTCACCACTGCCCTCGGCCTCGGTGTCAGCGCGGGCTACGCATTCTGGTCAGTCGCATTCGCAATTCTGCCCTTCACGCGTCATGCGAACTCACCACTCTGTAACAGGTATGGCGTACATCTCAAGCGTGGTGAGCATCCCGTACATCTTGCAGATCCTCACTAGCGTGACGCTGCACATTCGCACATCCTCCAAGTTGATCACCCGTTGTGTCTGACTATCAATCTCCCATTTACAGTTCAGCAACAGGAGGAGTACTACCTTAAGCTTGAGCGCGCCAAGCAGCAGGAGTCGCAATGAACCTGGGATAGTAATGTAACCCATTCGCAATCTCATTGCTTGCCACCGTCCCCACCATGAGCGATTGCGAAACACTGCGGTATCACACGCGTCTATGCCGAGTCGCGACCGCCTTCTGGACCGGACCCGGCGCGTCATGTATCTGCTATCCAACCTCAAATAGAACAAGAACGCATAGAAAGGAATAAATACACGATTGGAAAGTGTATCCTGAGGGCCTGTGTCAGAAGTCATACAATATGTGCCTTATCCCGTCAGTGCGCATGGGGTGATGATGACATGGTACTGCTACTTCAACAAACCCAGCTCCCGTAGCCTATTGCAACTCTCTATGGGCTCCGCTTCGATCTTCTTCACCTTCTCCCAGTCTGTACCAATCCCAAAGACACCGACCTCCTGCTCTTTCCTCCTCTGCTTGTGGTCTATCGCTCGCTGACATTGCACGAACAAGTCGTTCGTATACGCGCGCTCGATGTTGGTCTCGAACTGGCGGAGCTTTGGTCCCGGCTGATTATCACTGCGTGCTAGTTCGGCGGCGATGGGATGTCCTGAGAACTCCGCAGCGTTGACATGGTATTTCACGTTGAGGCCGCCGGTCGTACGCTCGACGTTGTATCGCGCAGAGGGAGAGAAAGAGAAGCGAGGATCGGGTGTCGGTGGTGTGCTGAACAGACTGGGGAGAGCATTGAGAAGGGAGAAAGCGAAGAGGAGGAACAGAGGCATGAGCTGCATCCACATCGAGCGGGGCTCTTCTTGCCGCTGCTCATTTCTTCTTGGGTTCGCACGCATACGGGTTGTCCGGAATCCATCAGGACCAAACGTCGCAGTGAACACTAGATGCAGACGTCAAAATGAGATACGAAAGGAAGATGAGGTTCGCGCTCACTTGGTCCGCCAAACGGCCCACCGCCGAACGATCCGCCGTTCATTTGCATACCACCACCACCGAAGAACATGTTGAACAAGTCTTCGGGGCTGATCTCGCTTTCGAACGCCTGGCCACCGCCGCCACCGAATCCACCTCGAGCGAACGAGGGACCTGACGAGGACATGCCACTGAATCTTGACTCCGGATCGGACCCATGCTGATCGTACGCCGCTCGTTTCTGAGGATCTAAGGAGTCGTGTAAACGAGGCGTTCGACGCGGAGTTCCTAAGGAGTTGCTCACCTGACAGAACTTGGAAGGCCTTCGAGACCACTGGAGATAGTGATGACTTAGGCTGGCTCGTAGGACGGAGGTATTTGCGGATACTCACTCTTGAACGCCTCATCAGCACCTGGTGCGCCATTCTTGTCCGGATGCAACGCCAGAGCGAGCTATACAGCGGATCATGGATATTTCAGCATGCAGAAAGTCAGAACGGTCCTAAGCTACTGACCTTGCGATAGGCCTTTTTCACTTCTACCTCCTCGCAGTCCCGCTTGAGCTCAAGAATCTCATAGTACTCCGTCACCTTGCAGGCCCGTACTCGGTTGACGACAGCGAGGTTCTCCGGGGTATAGCTCTTCTTCGACGCACTCCCTCCCGCAGCGTCTCCGTTCGCCTTGCCATCCGCTGTATGCCTTTGTCGTGCGCCCGCGGCCGACGGGTGCGTCTCCGCCGCGGACGAGCTGGCGCTCGCGCCACCTTGCGACCCAGACGCGCCCGATGACTCTGCGTCCTTCGCCTCGGCTTCGACGACCTCGAGGAGCTTTACGGCCTCTGCGGTGGAGAAGAGGGAAATAGATTTCTGGCAGAAGCGCTTGGCGGAGGCGTAGTTGCCTGCGTTCCGGTGCTTCTGCGCGATCGCGAGGCACTTGAGGGCTTCGTCCTTATTGCTCTCCATTATGGACTGCCGCCAGGTATTAGGAAGGGGGCCAGGAGCACGCCGATTGGGGGCGTAACGTAGACGGGAGGGGTAGTCCAGGTGTGTCGTGGGTGAAGAGAAGCTGCAGTGACGGAAGGGGGAGGTACACGTCCCTGGCGCTTGAGCTTCCTGTGAATTGATGCATTGACTTGACTGCTTATATCATGTTATGGATTGTTCGAGTAGTTATGATCTCCTTATAATAGCTTGTGGATCTTCTTATTATTTGGTCCAACCCATCATCTATGCGGGTTCTTATAACGCGGAGCCGCTTCCAGCTCTGTAATCAGCTCGTAGGCATAAGCGCTTAATGGCTTCTAACCGCTTGAATACGTTCCACCATCTTGTCTGCTCCTATGCAGGGTTCTGTGAGCGCTGTCGCAGCCGAGGATAACGAGGAACTTGCGAGGTTCAGACGACAATGGCTCGAGGAGGTCTGGAGCAAGAAGAAACCTCAGGGGAGCCAAGACGGCGCTGCCGCCTTCACACCCACTAGCACTTCCGCAGAGCCTGCAACGCAGTCCCCTCCTCAGTCTCCCCCTGCCCACCGGACCACGCACAGGCGGGCATCTCACCACAATGAAGCGACCTCACCTGTACTGGGCGCGAGGAAGGTCGGGCCAGCAAGTGCCACCGCTCAGTTCGGGCCATCTCTCCAGCGCGCGGTCGAGGTGTACCGGAAGGCCGTCCAGCACGAGCAGAAGAGCGAGCTCGACGACGCGCTGCGCTTGTATCGCAGCGCATTCAGGATGGACTCCAACGTCGATCGCGCATACCAGCTCTTTGAGGAGGAGCTACATAGGAAGGCTGCCGCTGCTTCCCCAACCCAGAAGGCGCAGCAGCACAAGAAGACGCCGTCCGGGACCGCCGTCGTGGAGGGGCTGCTGTCGGACATGCAGGCTTTGGACCTGGGCCCGAGTCGCATCCCTGTCGCCCACGCGTACGGGGAGGGGTTTGTTACCGGGACGCTCGCGAACTTGATCTCGTCATGGCCTCCGGAGCTCACGTTCGAGCGGGATCCTGAGAGTGAGGAGGAAGGGGTGCCTATCAGGATGCTACCAGACGAGATTCTCATAATTATTTTGAGACGGCTCGACCACTCCGCATTGGAGCGCTTTGCGAGGGTAAACAGAAAGGCGCGAGTCATTACCTTAGATGCGTCCATCTGGAGGTGAGCCGCACATGCTGTTGCAGTCCGCACGACCCCTGATGCTGTCTCTTCAGACCAAGGGTGCAAACGATATACAGGCCGCCGCAGATACCTGACGAGGAAGAGCTCGAGGCGTTGGTTGTGAAGTACATGACGGATTACCGACGGATCTACATTGAGCATCCCCGAGTGCGCTACGATGGAGTTTACATCGCTGTCTGTCATTACATGTACGTACTTCGGTCATCAATATCATCGGTTCTTTTGGTTGAGATGGACGACTGCGTGTCACAGTCGTAACGGAGTTGGCGAGAATGTTTGGGTCAACGTGCGTACGACCCGTACACACGCGCTCTGTTATATTGGACCTGACGTGCTTGCGATTTACAGTACAGTCACCTCATCACATACTACCGGTACTTGTACGTCGCCGATGATTCACAACGTCCTCCATCGTGCTCACGTGCACGCACTGCAGGAGATTCTACCCGGACGGTCAAGTGCTCTCTTTGCTTGCGAACGAAGAGCATTCTCCCTCTCAAGTCATACCCATCCTCAAGCCCACGCTCCGCAAGAAGGTAGGCTCGTCTTCAGCGTCCTGTCGCGCGTGATGTTTCACCGAGTTCCCTTGCAGGGCTTCTTCATCGGCACCTGGTACCTCGACGGCACAGAGCTCCACATCGACGACCTCCTGCCCAAGGAGCCGACCGCGGCCGAAACACGCTACTCGTTCCAGATGGTCCTCGACCTGCGCTCGCGCCCGGTCGGCCGCTGGAACCGGCTGGATTTTCGCAGCTACGACTCGGTGCACATCGCCAGCGGCGAGGCGACGCCGCTCGCGCTCAAGAACGAGAGGTCGTTCTGGTTCTCGAAGGTGCGGTCGTACGTGTAGACGGGGGGAAGGCGGTGGTAGACTGGACATGGGCGCATGGGAGTCGGGGTGGACACTTCCGAGATGGGAACTTACTTGTATCTTATAGCGGATCATGGGTGTCGAAACGGATGGTTTGTTGGAGATCTAGTGGACGTCATGGAGGAATTCTGTTCACAAGATTGACTACACGGGTGGTTTATATGATGGACGCATTGCGGCGCATCACACGGAGACAACGTGAGAGGTGATGATACGCGAGGGCGAGGGCGAGAGGTACAAGACAATCTGCATACGCAGCGAAGATATATGCAAGGTATCATGATGAAGACGAGACCTTTGGAACGATGCCCGCCCGCTGCACGAACTTCTCGAAAGACAGTCGGGGGTCGTCGTCTTCTTCGAGTGCTCTGCAAGGGGTATTGAGCACTACAATCCGAACACGGAGCTAGCGGTACGCACCGACGTTTCATCTCGCTCCGCCAGGTGACTTCTCGCAAAGAGGGACTGCGGATAGTGGCCCCTACGACGGCCAGCACAAGAGAGATTGCCGCCTCCACGACAATCTGTAACACATAACGCACAGTCAAGGCTCTTGGTCCGCAAGTCTGACATGCGAGGTTCGCTCACGTCATTTGGCAATGCACCCTCTGGACGGCCCAGAGCCTTGAGATGCGACAAGTCTACGCCGCGGATGCCTGCCATCAGCATCCGTCGTACAATTGATTATGCTACCTTACGTTCGTATGTCGAGTACGCAGCTACGAACAGCCATGAAGACGCGTCCTTGTCAGCGCCACGGATGCGACATCAGAGTCTGGGAATGCACGGAGCCTGACCGTGTAGGAGCGCGATCGTCGCGACGAGCAGCATCAGTCCACCGAGCATTGTGCAGACGGCGAGTACCAGTAGTGACGTTAGGAAAGGCGGAGACGGCGCGGATATGACGGCGGAAACCAGGCTGGACGCGGCCACTGCAGACGGCAGTGCAGGAGCGGGGCTGCGGGCGCGGCACGTGCGCGGGCATACATATGGCGTGGCCAATCCGGGCGGCCGGACAGCTCCAGCGCGCCCCCCCCGCAACAGCCGTCAAGCGATAAATCCCCCCCCAGCACGCCGAATGTACTTCTGGTTGTCCGTGTTCGCCCTCTCAGCATTACTGGTAATGTGTGCGTATCTCCCCCTCCCACCCCCTGCGCCATTTTGGTGGAATTTAATCTTTTGCGTTTGGGACGGGATGGCATCGCTGCTGAATAACTGACTGATTGGCTGAATCCTCGTCGTCGTCGTCGACGTTGTGCAGTGACGTTCCGGTACCGAGCTGCGCTCCTCAACCCCGTGCGGTCGTTCTTCCCGCGCCTCGGGCACTACCAGCCCGTGGCGACGTTCGCGGAGCAGGTCGACGCCGGCCTGACGTCCTCGACGTTTGACATCGAGGCGAACATCCGCGACGGCGACTCCAGGGCTGGCCTCGACGAGCGCGGCACTCAGGAGGTGCTGGACATCATGCGCCGGGAGCGGGTAAAGTGAGTGTTCTCGTTTGTGTCTGCTCTGCTCGTTCGCGTCGCCAGTGGGGTTGGTACGGACGGGAGGGGCTGGGACGGTAATTCGCAGGTACTGACTGCTGTGGCGTCTGTAGCTTTGACCAGGCTCGGTTGATCCGGCAGAACCAGTGGCTTGCGGCCAACGGCATCGATCCCTCAGGCAAGTCTTGCTCGCAATTTATCTCGTGCAGTGTGATGAAATCTCGCAAATGTAGGGATGCCGCTGGACGCAAAGGCTGTAACGCGCCTATGATTGACCTGGTCCTTTCCCTTTTCATCATCTTAATTCCTCCCGCTCACCTTGCTATCGTTGTGTTCTGCGATCCGACCGTTTCTCTTTCTCTACTTGTTGTTTTTGCTCGCAGTTTCCTCGCATACAGCGGTGCTCGTCGCGTCTGCAAATAGCCCACATTCCTTGTTGTTGCTTTCTGTTTCTTTACCTCGCACCTCCTGGGTTCCGTGTAGCAGTCCAGTCCCATCTGTACCATCATCAATATAGCCGCTGTTGCCGTGAGGCACACAAGTACTTGTGCTCAATCGGCCTTCGTTCAAGCTGGACTCCGTCGGTATCGATGGTGAGTTCTCAATTTCAGTCAACATGTTGCTCAATCTTGACCAGCACAGCAGGTCTTGGAGGCGTGTGCCACGATCCGCAGCGGTCAAGTCGGTGAGGAATATCCTCGCGAGTATCGTGTGTCCACCTTGCATCTCCTATCGCGGTCTATACAGATGGGGTCGCTGGGGACCCCTTTGTATCATTAGTCTGTAACTCTTGTATCCGCGTCCGCTGATAGCGCACTCCGAGATCGGCATCAACCATTCACTAAGCTACTAGTAAAACAAAGGCAGTCGAAAGCGCTTTAGCATGGCACAGCGGCGCCTTCATCAAAGGATGCTCGCCGCAGGTACCGGCCATTCAACCTCTCCGACTACGCACTAAGGTATGCATGCCTTACTCATTGAACGAGCCGTCGGTGGGGACTGACAAGTCACTATAGCATGCAGCTCGATGACACACCAAGTGAGCAAGCGGGCAGAGATCACCCAAAACGGCGATACGACGTCGCCGAATTGTTCCTCCCCGAGCACTTGCGCCTGGGCGCGGACAACTGGCCCGAGTTCGGATTCGCGATCGAGACCGTCCTCCGCCTGAAAGGGATTCCGCTCGGGCACCTGCGGTGCGCCGGGTGTCCGTCGGGATCGGCACGCCCCCGGATGCCTGGTCCAGTCGACGGAGCCGACGGGGACGGGTGGGCGGCGGACGACGAGCTCTGCAAGACGTTGCTCGTGCTCAATGTCAGGAGCGACCACGTGCGGCTGGCGGGGCGGGCGCACGACGGGTGGACTGCGGCGCAGATGTGGGCGTTGCTCGTGCGACGGCACGAGGAGAGCGAGCGGGAGCGGGAGAGAAAGGTCGCGTGGCTGCAGTGCGTCGGGGTTTTGGCTCCATGGGTGTTCCTTGCGGTTGTGTGTACTGCGTCGCTTTTGGGTGCATGATCCGTGTTGTCGCTTCATAGCTGTTGGTAAGCCTGGTTTTGCAAACATTCCCTAATGCCCCTGTGTGTTGTGATGCTGTTGTCAGCAAGAGACAAGTAGGTATAAGTTGCGGTGGACCGGATGCGGCGGCCGGGAAGACAAGAAGAGTGCTGACGAGGCGGAGTGGCCGAGATGTCTATGCAAGGCTAGGTGGAGATCACGGAAGCCAAAGGACTCGTGGTTGAGGCGTGCGAGCGAGAGTTTTGTCAGAGAGATGACGGATTGGGACGGGATGACGTCGTGAGCCATGTGTGCGCACGGGCGCCTGTCAAGTCCATACTTACGCTGCTGTGCGCATCGACGACTCACTTGACCCTGCTTCGCCGCTAAGCCATGTCTTCCTCGTCCGGCTCACATTCAGCCTTGCCTGCGCTTGCGAGCGCGAAATATCCCAATGGCTCCACTGCTTCCACCACCGTCATGGCACAGGGCACCGTATATGTCTCTCAGCCCTATCGCTCGTCCTCGCAGAACAAGCTCCGCGCCATGGTCACCTTCGCCCCCCGCAAGTCCCTCTTCGACATCTCCAACGAGTCCACTACGTCGAATCAGTTCCGCGGCTTCTTCACCCTCTTTTGGCTCTCGCTCTTCATCTTCGCCGTCCGCACCTATGTCCGCAGCATAGAGCTCAACGGCTGGCCCCTCAACTTCGAGTTCGCGTCCATGTTCACCAGCGATGGCCTCACACTCGCCCTCTCCGATGCCGTCCTCGTGCTCAACACCGGCCTGTGCGTGCCCTTTGCGAAGGCGATCGCGAAGGGGTGGATCAGGTACTACCCCATCGCCCTCGTCATCCAGCATCTCTGGCAGTGCGCCGTGCTTGCTCTCGCAGTGACATGGACGTTCAACAGGTGCGTGCGTGCTTTTTGACGTGACAGTCTGCGCACTCAGAATGATACCAATGCAGACACTGGCCGTGGGTCCAGTCAGGGTTCCTTACCCTCCACTCATTTGTGAGTACTCGTTGCAGCCATCGCCCCCAGCGACGAGTCACTCGCTCGCGTTGCTGCGCTTGCCCGCCCCTTGCACCGTCTTCTTTGCGCGCTCCGATCGCTCATCTACATCCCGATGCCAGGTCATGATCATGAAGATGCACTCGTATCTCAGCACCAATGGCGAGCTCGCCCACGCGAACAGCCAAGCCGAACGTGTCCTCGACCAGCTCCAGAAGGCGACCGAGTCCGAAGGCGGTTGGGACACTGCGCTCAGGAAGGCAGAGGCCGCGATGGTCCACTCGGATGTCCCTATTCCGGCAGGCACGCCCGACATACCCGAGGACGCGCCCGCAGGCAGCACCACCTCGTACGTCGACGCGCGCACCGCCGTCACCCTCCGCCAACGGCTGAAGACCGCCGCGGCGGAGAACGAGGGGGCGAACGGCGGGCCCGGGGTGAAGACGACGGGCACGCGCGTGCTGCCGCTGAACCCGGCGGGGATCGCGACGCACCCCCCAACGCCGTCCGAGATCCTGTCGCACCACCCCAACGCGCAGATCGCGGCGCTGGCGAAGACGCACGTCGAGCTGGAGCGCGAGCTGACGGGCCCGGTGGAGGGCAAGGTGCGGTGGCCGGCGAACGTGTCGCTGCGGGACTTTGCGTGGTACCAGCTGACGCCGACGCTGGTGTACGAGCTCGAGTACCCGCGCACGGAGCGGATCCGGCCGCTGTACGTGTTCGAGAAGACGGTCGCGTTCTTCGGGACGTTCGCGCTGCTGTACACGATCGTGGAGACGTTCATCATCCCGCTCACGCCGACGCCGGACCAGAGCTTCGTAAGGAGTTTGTTGGACTTGTCGATGCCGTTCATGATCTCGTACTTGCTGCTGTTCTACATCATCTTTGGTGAGCACCCGTCGACGTCTCGCGCCCGGCGCGTGCGCACGCTGATGTCGGTTTAGAGTGCATATGCAACGGCTTCGCGGAGCTCAGCTAGTGAGTCGCTCGTCTGCCTGCCTCGCGCCTCGCCGTCCGTTCTTTTCTGACATGCGCACATCGGTGCAGCTTCGCGGACCGCAACTTTTACGACGACTGGTGGAACTCGACGTCGTGGGACGAGTTTTCGCGCAAGTGGAACAAGCCGGTTCACACCTTCCTCCTGCGCCACGTGTACGCGTCGACGATGAGCTCGTACAAGCTCTCGCGCCAGAGCGCGATGTTCCTCACGTTCCTGCTCAGCGCGGCCGCGCACGAGCTCGTCATGGCCGTCGTGACGAAGAAGATCAGGTTCTACTTGTTCGTCTTGCAGGTGCGCGCGGCTTTGGAGTTTCGTTTGTCCTGACGGGCACTGACCGCTGGGTGTTTTGGTGTAGATTGCGCAGATCCCGCTCATCGCGATAGGGCGGATCCCCGCGATCCGGCGGAACAAGCTGCTCGGAAATCTAGTGTTTTGGCTCGGGCTGTACGCCGGCTTCCCGCTGCTCTGCGTCGCGTACTGCGCGTATTGAGCGGGGCGGGGGAGGGGCGTGCGGCGAACACACATCCTACTACGCTTTTGCCTTTGCTAGGCTCTCATCTGTCTATCTCACACGCGCAATCTCAAGACGCCACACACACCTATCTTGCATACGGGCACCCCGCGCAGGGACGGGAGACTCGCGACTATGACCGTGACGAACAGAGATGCAGATACCCTAGCGAGCCCCTTTGGTTCCGGTGCTCGACATGTTATTTAATTCCGGTATCCTTCACATCACGTATCTGTACGTCCTCGATGTTGGGAGCATAGCGTCCCTCCCCCCTTACCATACTAATTCGAATAATATTGCTGGTCGCGCTCTCCAATCTTTCTTGTCTCGAGACGGCGTGGAATTGTGTCAGTTTCGGTTCTATATACCGCGGCCTCTATAATACTCTCTGGAAGCGAGGATCTCGACTTCGCTGGGATGTCGTGCATGCTTCGAGTCCGCTATTATCCGGGCGGTCCATGATCGGGACCGCGGGAGCTTGCGGAGAACATCTATCGTGTGTGACGATTCGGTCGCAATGGCTGCACTTGGAGTACTCGGACAGGCGCAGTAAGTTAGACAAGCTTGAACGTAGTCTCTTGTCTGAAGTGCTATCTACGCAGGTTGAACACCAACCTCTCAGGGAGGTCGTATTGTCCTGATGGACTCAAGAGCACATCGGGGGTCCGCTCATGCATGTGCCTCAGCTGATGCAAGACTGTTTTGAACTCAGGAGCAAGATGGCTGGCTGAATACAACCCGGTTCAAGACATGCCTCAGAGTCGATTCAGAAAACCCTCCACCGTCAGCGTCAAGTCGACTCGCCGCCTCCGCGCCTCAGATTCCTCGAGATCTCCACAAGAATATCCTCGATCCGCTTCTGCCTGTCCTCGATGCTCGCCAACCGACGCTCCCACTCCGACCCCTCCGAGTTGCCCTCGCTCTCCACCTGGGCCGCCGTCTCGTGCGGCCCCGGGGACCGGCCTCTCTCCGCCTCCTCCGGCTGCTCTGACAGGCTCCCGCGCCCGTCGTCCGGGCTCGTAGACAGCGGAGCAGCCGCGTACAGGCCGAGATGCGAACGCGACTGCGGGCTGCTGTGGGTTGGGAACCTTCGGAGAGCGGTGCTGCTCTCCCCCGTTGCGCCATACGCGTCCGGCCTGTGCACGTGCGGCCCGTGCGCCGCGACGGAGTAGGTCCGCATGCGTCTGGGCGGGGACGGCGCTGCGTGCAGCGACATGAGCCTGCGGCGCGTCGCGGGCCCGTAGCTCACGAGCGCGCCTGGGGCCGGGGCAGGCGCTCCGCCGTGGCCCTCGCCGGGGCCGGGGTGTGCGCCGGAGCCGTCGACGGGGATCTGCGCCTGCGCCTCGGGGACGATGTCGTCGTCCACGATGAGCGGCTGGAAGATCTGCGCGAGCGGGCTTGCGGCTGCCTGCGCGACGTCGAGTCCACGCGTGACGATGGAGTTCAGCCGCGCGCGCGGGAGCGGTATGTGCTGCGGGGGCTGCTGTGCTCGAGTTTGGCTTTGTGGCGAGGTTGAGGGACCTGGCTCCGGGAGCTCCGCTTTGTGCGGGGAAGGGGAGCGAGGTGGGGTGGAGTGGCCTGCGGACGATGGGGTTCGGCGCATCTGGCGAATAGATGCCCCGGACGGACGCCTGCGTGATGCCTGAGAGACGCGACGAGGGGTGATACCGATGGGCGGAACGGAGTCGGTTTCCTCCATGTCCAACGCGCTCTCTTCAAGCTCTTCCTCTAGCTCAAAGATCTGTCACTCACTAGTGGATTAGGAAAGGCTGAGGGTAGGCAAGCCATACGACTCCTACCGCGTCAATGTCAGCATCCGGTCCTGATAAGCCCTCGAATAGCGCTGTAGGGGATTGTTGGTATGAAATGTTTGATTGAACAACAGGGAGGCCTACTCAATCGCTTGAGGTGTCTAGGCAATGTGTCGAAGAGTTTCTCAGCTGCAGCGGATACCGTCTCGTAGAAGGTGAAAGTTCCAGTCTGCTTCGCTTGTCGCTCATAGATCGCGATACAGATGAGGATTGGGAAGCTCGTGAGTCGGATCATAAACACATTGACCTACACAAACTGCATCAGACGGGTCATTGAAAGACACAAGCGTACATACCTTGTGGAACCAGCGAGGTGTGAGTATGTAGCTCGCGGGATACATAAGGCAGAGAGCGACGAGGTTGACTGGTGGTTGGTAGGAGAATAGCGAGTCTGCCTTCACCCTATCAAAGAAAACATAAGGCCATGCAGTAAATAAGACAAGGCAATACGGGGGTCTTTGGCTTACCCTTCAATCGTTGACACCGCGCGACGAAACATTGCCTAGCGTCTGTTAGTACGAGGAACGGAAGCACGCAGTAGTTCGCCGCACCTCCGCCGATGCATCGTCATTGATGGTAGAGAAAGTGTGGGATAGAATCTACCTAGGACGTGAGACCACCGTACTCCACTTCGCAGGAGGCGATACTCACAGACACCAACACTAGTTGTAGTCAATGTCAGTAGAGTTGTAATCAATTGGGAACCTGGGAGAACATACCGGTCAGGAGTAGAGTATTGCTCAAACACGCATATGTGATCATCAGGAGTGGACCGAATATTGGATGGAAGTGGGCTTCGAGCCTGTCAATGGGTGTTCAGCTGGACTCTTGACAAGAGTATGACGTACAGGCGTTGTCAAAGCCGCTAGCGTCCAATCCGAACCACAGGTCAAGCATCCACCAAGCCACAGTCCTGCAAGGTCGCCGATGGTGAGTGCGTCTGGAGTAGAACTAGGGTCAGCCAAACTCTTACCCCGCACTGTATCTGGTAAGTTGGTGACATGATCAGTCGATGGACCTCTAAGGCGATTGAGGACACACACCCCGCATTATCCTTGCCCAACCTACGAAAGCGAAATTAGTCAAATGATGGGTGAGAGAGACTTGACTGATAGCGATATCAACTTACGTCCACAATGCATACAGAAAGCCTCCAAAACAGAACGCCGCGATCATCATGAGGACGACAAACTGGATTATCATGGCACGTAATGACAGCACCATGACGTTGTCCTTGAAAGTCACGAACGCCAACCTGATGGCCGTCTCATCAGCGGCCGGAGCAGACGACAATCACGAGGGGAGGGGAGAATATGACCTCGGGAACATCAGCACGGCTATCAACGCAAGACAGTTGTTGCCCATTTCCCTCGCCCAACGCCCTGTCGCAGGAGAGGCTCAGCTGTTGAGTAGGACGAAAGGGTGACTACATACTGTCGTCATACACTCCAACCAATCTCATCACGGCGTAAGTGCAATATAGCGTTACTGTGTTAGAAACGGTGACAGTGAGCATTGATTCGATGATATCGTTCAGATACACTGACCAAAAGCGAGATCGAAGCCGTTCTAAAGCACGAAAGATGAGTCGTCAAGAGCAGGATCACAAGATTCTTGCACTGACCCATGTACCCTTGAAGTATACTACACCGACATGAATAAAGAGCACGGCAATGGTATTGAATGGCATGGCGTACCTTTGATTCCATGTTCTTGCATAGCGGCAACCTTCTCCAGAGTGAAACCTAGCGCATATACCATAAAGACTATCTCGGCTGTATTTATGCCATCCAGCTCATTGAACTCGATAGCGCATATAAAAAGGATGAACAGGACAAGGAAGCTGCGTAGTGTAGTCATGAAAATCTCGCTCGTGGGATCTGTGGTCCACTCTTACTTCGTGTACTCTAGGACTGAACGTATTGCGGGTACTTTGAGTCTGAGCAGCCGACCATTAGCGCATACGGAGGGCGACGAGTTATGGACCCTACCGGTAATGGTCTAAGAGGGGTGCCTTGTGCGGGTCATAGAAGTGTATAGGGTTACGCTTGTAAGTCTTTGGACGGACCAGATCATTAGTATATATCACTGCTTATCTGCTAAACTCTACAAACATCTGAGAGGATTGAACGAATGCTTTCCGCCTGATACACGATTTTCCCGCTGCACAGGCATGTGAGTACGTTGCATTCCAGAGACCTAAGATTGAACTCACCTCCAGATACCATCAATGACCTTCTGGCATGGCGAGCTTTTGATGAAGCGTTTCGCTTGGCTCAGAATAGCCATCTCTATGGCGTTTCCGACACGATCCTCGAGATCGTCGTCGTATTCTTCACGTGCGCGGTCCAGAACAGCCGATGGGGCACCAGAATATACAGACCAACTCGTAGTTAAAACGAGCGCGAGCTCCAACATGTCCTCCGCGTGCTCTCTCAGCGCACGAATGGCTAAAATCTCGCAGAAGTCGGCCCGCGTGCGAGAAAGAGCAGCGGTAGCCAGGTGTCCGTCGCGGAAGAAGTAGACGCGGTTCAAGAGTAGACAGAAGACCACGGACATGTTCCCTTGTCGCTGTATGGTGCCATACTTTTCAAGGAGAGGTCGAACCAGGGTGTAGGTCAGGTCTGGAGCCGTAAGCTATAATCCCGCATGGAAGAAGCGTAAGCTGAGCAAGACGGGACGGCTCAGACATCGATAACGCACCGCCTCGTGTGTCAAAGGAGTATCTTCAGGGTGATCAGTTCACTGCAAAGAGGAGACACTTTCCCAACGTACCTATGAAATGCTAGATGAAGCCCATAAGGACGACGCGATGAGAACTTACGCGTGAGGGCCGACAGGAAGAGAAGACCATACCATGACGTCCTTCATAAATTATCAGGCATGCAGTAATGTGACCTCTGCGACCACTCACATGTCTAATCATATGAATGACAGGATACACCTCCGTTGCAGCGACATGGACGGAATGGAGGAGCGGTTGACGTTCTAGTGGCGCTTCAGTGTCTGCCATGCTGTTCTTCGAATTTGTTCACGGTGTCATCAAAAGCCGTGTCAATTATCGTAACAGCAAAGGCAGCAGAGGGCACGCAGCGATGCAGCAGCGGTCAAAGGAAATGGGTGACTGAACGAGAGCGACAGTGTCGCGGGGTCGCGCTGGGCTCAGCCACACAACAGGCTACATACTGTGAGGACAATCTTATCTAATCTAACTATTGGCGCCCAGTCGTCACCTGCGTCCTCCGAAACCCGCGGACTTGGCATCTTGCTAATCGACACTCTTCCCTCGTACATAACCCTGGTGAGTAGCAGTCGCCTATAGTTAATGCCCTTCGTGAGTTTCCGCTATTCACTGTCTCACCTCTTGTAGCCAGCCCCTCCATGAACTCCCAAACAAGGCTGCCCCACGATGTACTCCTCATCATCGCTTCGTTCGCCGACAGACACTCCCTGCTATCCCTCCTGGCCACCTCCCATCAACTTCATAAAGACTGCGCAAAGTACCTACTCAGAAACACCGTCTTTCTCGATGGTAATCAAGACATAGTTTCCTTCATATACTTTATGCGTCCCAATGGCCGCAGGAGATGGCGTCACCTACGTGCCCTACACTTCGGTAGTGAATCACCAAGTCCACGCATCGCAGAGGAGCTTGCCAGGGTCATACCACGTGCGTCACATCTCCAATCCCTCGAATTCGACAACGCCGAGAGGACACTCGGGGCACACCCCGGCCTCGCCCCCGCTTTCGGTGCCATCAAGACCGTGAAGTATGTCGCCATCGACTACGGATACCAGCATGCGTGCAGAATGCTCGAGGCCATGCACTGGCCGCTGGAGACCGTTGTGCTGCATAACGCAGACTACGGTGGTGGTTGGCCGGACCGGGATAAGCTCGAACGAATGCATCCTGCCTCGTTGCTGAAGAATTCCCGTGCTACTCTCAAGACTCTCGAATGCGATTGCTGGCGGGAATGCAGCGACGTACTGGATACGTACCCCGTATATCCTCAGCTGGAGAGCCTTCATGTTGAAGGCGTATGGTGTCCTCGCAGTGCGCAATGGGCCATCTCTTACCCCAACCTCAAACGGCTGTCGGTACATACTCTCGAGGGCCACTTTATAGAAAGTGGGGAAGAAGATATTACAGAGCTAGCCGTTAATCGGTCGCTCAATGTGGAAGAATGCTTGAAGCAGGTGCAGCGTTGGAACGAACTGGAGCATTTCTCCGGAGGTGTGGCAGACCTCTACTTGCTTGGCTTGCCCTGTCGAATTCGGAGCGCGCGCATCGCCATGTCTGCTCGATCTTCGCAGTTCTTCCCCGCCGCCATGAAAGCCGCGCGTCCTACACAGCTCACATTGATCATTGACGACGAACTCTTCAGCCAACCAGTCCCGACATACCTGCAAGACCCCAGTCTCGCGGATCTCCAGAGCTTGGAGCTCGTGATACGCATGACCCCAGGGCGTTCGAGAGGGATTGCCGGAACAACGGAGGCTGATGTTGAGCGCTTCTTAGTGAGTGTCATGTCCTCATCCATATACTGCTTCAGGGCATCCTGACGTTGTAATCATCGATCCTAGGGACACGTTCTCGACGCACTACTGCGTATCTCCGCTCGCGAACTCACACTGGACATCAATTGTGACACTAATGTAATTTACCCCATCTGGCCTTCATCCTCCGATGGGTCGGACGGGGAAATTGCCTGGATTATCAGTCGCCGCCCCTCTACCCCCATTCCCCCTACCGCTATCGAAACCTGGTGCAATGACGTGGACGTTCATGCTCTGACGCGTCGATGCCTCGAAGAGGCGCCGTCTTTAGAAAGAGCTAAGGTCACGGTTAGCCGGTGGGCCTCTCGCTGCCGGAAAGTAGCCGAGTGGTCGAGGAAGCGGGGACCAGACGGCAAACTGCAGCCTGCATGTCAATCAACTCCTCAGGAGGGATGAACAATGCCATCGATTCCTCGCGCTCATGTCCATCTACCCTGGTGAGAGTCGACACTTTCCATGCCCGGTGGACTGGCCAACCAACTGCTGATGATCTTCCGAGGGAGATCCAAGTGGTTTTGCTCGTTGGCGATCGCATGATGTGCAGGCGATGGGTCGCTGGTGAGTGCTATCGTTGTATTTGGCAGCAGCGTGTGCTCATAGAGAGTCCTTGCAGATGGCCAGCCTGCCGACCGACATACCCGCTGTGAAAGACGCCGCCTGACGTCCACATAACCCCCATCCCCGCAGTATTGCTCGCTTCTCATGGCTGCACCCAGGTTTTGTAACATATATGAAATATCATGCACTTTATGAACGTGTGCTATATGTCCTACGTGAGTTGGAATTGGACCTCCGGATACGTGTTCCGAACATGACAAAGCACCTAAGGGCAACGAGGGATTGATCGTTGATCCTTTGGCGAGACCTGTTCGCTGATATGCGATGATGACGGACTATTGTCTATGTAGATATCCAGAGCAAGTTAGGTTCATAGAACTCTTGGCCTTGAAAGCTATTCATGGTTGCTTTGTTTTGCCCTCTGCCCGTGAATCATGCCCTGATGCCGGCTCAGGCTTCTCAACTCCCCTTCACAGATCGGTTAACCATTGTACCACCCATGCGCATCTCAACATAAGGACGAAGAACACGCTCGCATAACTTCCAACCATTCCTCTAAAACCCATATTGGAACTATCGTACGTCCCGGACACCTCCCTCTAATATCCGACGTTTTCGCTGACCCTAGACGCACTTATCTCGATAGAATCTAGGTGGATAGAAACATGGAGCGTGACCAGAACATCCCCGACATCTTCTTCCCCGAACATCTCCGGCTCAGCGCGGCAGCAGGCAACTGGGCCGAGTACAAGCACGCGGTCGAGACTGTGTGCCGCCTCAAGGGCGTCGCGGACAACCTCGCGCAGGCCCGCGCCTACGCCCCCCCCGCTCGCTCCCTGGATGGAGGACGAGCGGGACGACTGGCGGTGGCGCGAGGAGGTGTGCAAGGCGATCGTCACGCTCAACATCAAGGACTTTTCGCGGTACGGCGTGAGCGCCGGAAAGGACGTGCATGCGCGCACGGTGTGGACGCGGCTCGTGGAGATCCACAAGCCGAGGAGGAGGTGCACGGGGTTGCTGGAGCTCTTCAAGCCGAGGCCGTTCACCAAACTCGAGCTTGTACTGCTCGCAGCGTTGGTCTTGCTCAGGCTGTTGCTTAGGCAGATGGAGAAAGCGGTGGTTGAGTGTCAGGCCGGTGCCGATCCGACTATTCGCATTGCTGGTGCTGAGGCAGGGTACTACGATGACCTGCTCCTTAGCTCCTATATTCGAGGCTATTAGAACCCAATGTATGTCATAGCCCCTCATATATAATGCATAGGACGCCCAAACGTGTATTACCAGACTCTGATTGCGTGCTTCCTCCTCAAATGTTTCGCTATGTACTGCCTCGGGGCTCGGGCATCGTGCAGCACTCACATTGGCATTCAGTAATCAAGGAGAGCACGTAGCTCCCGCCATATATTATTGCCCCCCGCAAAGGCACTTTTTTCGTCCGCCATGAGGGCGACTAGGTATACAAGAGCTTTCAAAAATGCGAGGGGAGGTATATACCATAAAAAGTCGTGCGTCATGCATCGCCATGACTCAATCGTTCCAAGTCATGAGCCCATCCGTAGACCCATGAAGCCCAGCGGAAGAAAGATCAGCATCGCGCATCGCGCAAGCAAATCAGTAGACGCCAGGAATGAACTTCCACTTGACGATGGAGCAGTATTTTTCCCAATCCTTGCCATACTTGATTGCGCACCGCTCGAAGTCGCGCCCGCAGCGATGGATGAGGACGACGATGAAGAAGACCGAGTAGAAGTACGGGATCGCGGAGCACGTGCCCTGGGAGAGACCCCACGTGAGGCTCATGACCCAGTCCGCGACGTAGTTCTGCGGGCGCGCCGAAGCGGATGCAATGTGTCAGCACTTCTCTTCTCAGCGTGAAACGCGGATGTAATATGAAGAGAAGCGAAGAGGGGGGAAGAGAAGCGAGTACGTACGGGCTTGCGGGAGTAGCGCCACCAGCCGTCGGTAAGGAGGCGGTTACCGTGCGCAGTCTGGATGTAGCTCGGGTTCTCGAGCGTGCCCCAGGGGAGCTGGGGGAACGTCTTGCGGTAGGTGGTGATGCCCTGCGTCTGCATCTTGAACCGGCTCTTCTGCGACATGGATGTGTCGAAAATGTAGTATGCGGTGAGAAGCGTCGTGTAGAGCGCGATGTAAGTCGGCGTCGAGAAGCGATAGTTCGAAGGGTCGTGCGAAGCCATATAGACGACGGAGTAGATGTACGACTGATGGTTCGCGTCAAAACTTTGGGAAAAGGAAGCTGTAGGTGATAGATGGAACGCACGAAGGGGACACCGGCGAAATTCCAGAAGATGACGAGGAAACCCCATTTCTCGTGGAACATATCCCAGGTTTGGGGGATACATTCTTCACCCTTGCCGCACGCGTTGAGGTAGAGCCAAGTCGCCAAGACCATGAACGCCATATTCTACGATTTCGTGAGTCAGCATGTCCTAAGCGAACGGAGGGAATTATCGTACCGGAGTAACATAGCCGAACTGCTCGTACTGCTTGCATGCACCCGAGACGGACATGAAGAACACGATGACCCACGGGATGCGGACCTCAAGCCACATCTTGAGGTCGACCGGGCCAATGCGAGGGTTCAAGCACGCGCCCATGAAGACGTCGTAGATGAAGCTGCCGGACATGCGGATCGCGTTCCCGGTGGCGACGGTGATGAAGTACATGAAGAAGGATACTCCAAAGCCGACAATCATGGCGACGGTCATGAGGTGGCCGAAGTTGTCGATAATCTCCGTCATGCGGAAGATGTTGTAGTAGTGCAAGAGGGCAGCGGTGATCATGGTAATGTAAATGCAGCCGATGGCGTTACACTTGTATATGAGAGTCTTGTAGCCCAAAGAGGGGACGGGGAGGCCTTCTTGCATGTAGCCGGGGACGACCCATGCGAGGAAGAGCTGGTAGACGATGAGACCGCCGTAGACCTTCCACGCATACGCGTTCGGACTGGCATCCTGGAAGGGCAATGAAGGTTTGTGGATAAGACGGGAGCAGCAGGTAAAGTCCACGTACGACACGAATGTGCTCCCACATGCGCCAGAGAAATGGCTTGATGTCGTCGACGGAGGTCGGGTGCACGAGGGAGCCGTCGTAGAAGACGAGGCAGATCCAAAGGTAGTACATCAGAATCGGGAAGCCGGTCATGATGGAGAGGACACCCCAAGGGCCACCGAATTCATACCTGGGAGCAGAGCACGTCAGCAGCAAGCAAATGAAATAGAGGACAGAGAGGGACGTACTCGGTGTGCTTGTCGAGTTCCTCATCGCGCTTCCTGCCCTCCGCGGTGGGGACGTAGACCCGCGCAACGGTGAGGTCAGGCTTGCCGTTGCCGTTACCGCTGACGTTGCGTTGCCGGAGACCGTTTTGACCATTTTCCGCGCCTGCCATGGTGCTCGAGATGGGAGGTCGGCGTCGACGAGCGCAGGCGGGGGGAACCGCAGGGAATATTTAAATACGCCCATCGCACGACTCGACTGGGAAGCCTCCGCGTGGCACGCCTCTGCCCGGGCCTCCGATCAGCGTTTTGGCGCGTAGGGCGTCTGCGGACGCGTGTCTTATGTCAGCATGCCTTCACGTGTGCGTGCCGTCGGACAGGGGAGACTTCAAGGGTCTCCGACAAGCTCCGACTCAATCTACTGGGGGACATTAGACGCCCATCACTCAGTGCTATCCAGAGCCTCTTCATAACACTCCACATCGTCCAGCGTCCTCCCTCCCACTCTCTTGCATATCATCTCGGCGTCGCTCTCGGAGAACACTGTGTATCTCTAGAGCAGCGGGCGGGCAATCTATTGTTTGTCACACCATGGCATCGTCTGTCTTCTACAAGTTCAGATCTCAGCGGGATGAGTCCCGGGTGACCTTCGACGGCACCGGCATTTCTGTGTTCGATCTCAAGAAAGAGATCATCATCGCAAACAACCTCACTAAGGCCATCGACTTTGACCTCGTTGTTCTCGACAGCTCTGGGGAAGGTCGGTAGGAGTGCTGTCGGTGCTATGTCGGACTGTCCTCTCATGCTGGGTGTATGCGCAGAATACAAGGATGATTCTTCCATAATACCTCGCTCGTCTTCCGTCATCGTCAAGCGAGTTCCTGCGCGCCCTGGAAGGGGTGCAGCAAGGTACCTTGGCACTACTGGTCCCGCCCATGGGTCGTCTGACCCAGCAGGGAAGTCCGGAGCTGGAGGTGGCGGTGGTGGGTGGCGATCTGGCGGTGGACATATGTCGAAACGTTTCGATGGGAAGGAGCCGAAGGAAGAGCCTAAAGCAGTTCAGAAACCCCCCGCACCTGTACCTGTATGTCCATTCCTGAGGCCAATGCGCTTGAATCTGATGGGTTCGTTAGGTTCCTCAAGACGAGGCAGAGGCCATGGCTGCTATGTTCCAGGCTCAGACGGCCAACTGGGAGGAGACCCAGGAAAAGATGTCACAGTTGGTGTCGCGCACATGCGCAATTCCTTGTTCACGTAGTATACTGAGATCTAATGAACTTCATTTTGCACCTGTTATTGTGAACACTGTTCGTATAGTGCGATGAAGGTCTACAGTCAACCACGCGGCGGGGCTCCCCGAGGAGGAAAACCATATCAGCCCTCACATCACCATTCCGACCGTCCATTGCCTCCAAGTTATGTATGCTATCGTTGTGGACAGAAAGGTGCGTTCGTCAAAAACTTTCGGAGAACATGGCTTGAATTGGCTGCACTGCTCTCTTGCGCAGGCCACTGGATCCAAGACTGTCCAACAAACAACGACCGCGAATTCGACAACAGACCCCGCATCAAGCGTACTACGGGTATTCCGCGAAGCTTCCTCAAGGCCGTCGACAATCCCACCACCGGTCCCCTCGGAGCAGGAGTCATGGTCACGCCTGAAGGAGGTTATGTCGTTGCGCAACCCGACTCGTACGTCCCTATAGAATATCAAAGACATTGTCTCGCGCTAATTCCACTCACAGAGCGTCATGGCAAAAACAAGTCACCCGGCACAAAGGCCTCACCGAGGCCGACATCCGCGAACGCCCGCCGACCGACCCCTCGCTGCAGTGCCCGATGGATGGCAAGCTCTTCCGGGACGCGGTGAAGACGCCCTGCTGTGGGACGCTCTATTGTGAGGAATGCGTGCAGACGCACCTGCTCGAGCGCGACTTCCTCTGCCCCAACTGCGCGCGCAAGATCCCGAGCTTGGACAAGTTAATTGTCGACAAGCCGACGCGTGCGCGCGTGCACGACTATGTGGATAGCGAGATTGAGAGGAGCAGGCAGGAGGCGGAGAGGGCGGACAGGCAGGAGCGGGAGAGGGCGGCGGGCGAGCAGGTGGAGGGCGGGGGCCCAGATGGGGACAAGGTGCGTCGCATGTTCTCTGTCCTGTACTCCCCGCAATCTCGACTCATGTAAACAAACTTTGCGTCCTCAGGACGGCCAGAAAGCGGGCGAAGGCGCGCTCGGCGCCGAGGGCGACGAGAGCTTCTTCGCGGAAGGCATCGACGTCGCGCAGATCATCGCCCAGCTCCAGGCGCAGATCCAACAGCTCCAGAGCATGCTCAACAACGTGTCCATCCCCGCCCAGGCGCGCCAGCAGGCGCAGCTCAAGCACCAGCAGCTCCAGATGGAGCTCCAGCAGGCCCAGGCCGTCGCCGCCATGGCCGCCGCGCAGTCGTTCAGCATGCCCGCTGCGATGGCGGGCGGCATGGGGAACGGGATGGCGGGGAACATGGGTGGGGGGATGGGTGGTCCGGGCATGGGCGGAAACATGGGCATGCAGGGCGAGTTCAGGCAGTGGACGAACCCATTCCCGAACCAGCAGCCTGCAGGGCAGGACTCAGCGTACCAGCGGCTGCCTGTTAACAACAGGAGAAGGCCTCTCAAGAGGGACCGCCCTTCAGACTTCCTAGAGATTGCGAGCGCACAACAGGGTGATCCCAAGGCGGCGCGGTACTGGGAGTGAGCGGGAGACTTAGTAGGCAGTTCCGTATTCCTGCCAGTCCTGCTGAGCACCTGGTCGGATGGACATGAGACCGTAGTATAGATTGAGAATTGTTTCAGAAGCTCTGGTTCGCACATATGTATAGTCGTTCAGGTATCAGACATAATGATAAAACATTACTCCATTGAATGCTACGACAGCAGAGAACCAAACATGAACAATGATCCATTCCTCATGAAGCTGACACAGAAACCGGGGAGTCCGGGGGGCGCTGCTGGCTTTGCGGCGCGAAGCGCTTCAGTAGAGACTGCTGGTAGCTCTCCCATGACGCGATCAGCTGTGCGGTCATGAACAGTTTTTAGATGGATGTAACCTAGAACCGTGCAGAAGGGGTCTACCTGTTTCTGCCGCTTGATCATTCCTTCAAGGAACGCCTCCAGGGCGTTCTTGAAGTCCTCTATACGTTCCTGCTCGAAGCGCGCCACCTCGGATTTCACGAGGCGCGAGACATGGTCAAATTCCTGCTTCGCGTCCAACGCACGCCGCTCGGCTTCCCCGACAATGGCGAGCGAGCGGCTGAGCTGGTCTGGCCCAAGGCGCCCTTGCGCGCGATTCGACTCGTGTGTTTGCTTCGTGCGTCGGAGATGCGCGTCTGCACTTTGCCAAGCGTGATATATACGAACGCGGGAGCTGAAGGCGAGCTGTACGTACGATCCTATGTGAGCGGCAGGAACGGGAAACAAAGAAAGAGACCGACCCGAACAGAGTTGATTAAGCGTGCATATTCGTCCGCTGTATACTAAATCAGTAAATGTTGCGGTCAGGTCGAGGAAGCGGAGGGGACCTGTAGCCAAAACAGTCATGACGTCTTCGCTTGCTTGGATGTTCTGCAGCTCCTGGGCCTTCCTTTCAACGTCTGCGAGACCAGATAGTGTTACTGCCAGTTGGCTGCCAACATCACACGCTGCAAGGTCAGCGATAGCTTGGGCGAACTCGGCAGCGGCAGCAGACACCTCTGTACACAGCTATGTCAATACATGCTAAATTCGAGGGTGAAGAGACAGACTTACCAGCCCGTTGCTTCGCCACCGCGTCAATCGCTTTGACGAGCCCGCGCAGCTGAGTCTCTAGGCTGTCTAGGTACGCCTTCTGCCTGTCGAACCACTGTTGTAGCAATACTGTTAGTACAGTTATGACGATTTCAAATGCAGTTCCGAGTCACCTCGTCTGTCTCGTAAAAGCGGGGGCCAGCGATAGTTTGGCCGAGAGCAGCCATGAGGCCGCCCTTCTCCTGGGCTAGCTCAGCTTTTCGATGTTTGATCTATAGAGGGGACAGTACGATGAGTGTCATCCTCCGGTGCGCGAAAATACAAGCACGGACGTCAAGTGCAAATGTGTCGCTCTCCAGGAAAAGCTTCAAGTCGTGGTCCTTCTGGAGCACAGGGTGGTTGGCTATCTTCTGGATGCACTTCTCGAGGGCGAGCCGTCGCTGCTGCACAAAGTCTTCGTCAAAGCGAGCGAAGGGGTTCTTGTCTGGGACTGGGGGGACGACCACCCCAGGATTGTTCAATGACAGCGTCTCGTACAGCCAGAGGAAGTCGGAGTACCGCCGCAGCACCGAGAAGCTGGACTTTTTGTACATGGGCGACGTTGTCTGCGGGTGACCGATCAATCACGCATGTACCTACTCCGAGAAAGTGAAGGGAGCGTACCTTGGTATGGACGGTGTACATGGTATATGCGCGGATAGGGTCCCCTACCCTCTGAGGGTCGTCGACGGTGATCACGAACACAGGCTGAATGCCGTTCTCCCTCTTTGCAGGGGCAGGCGTCGATACCGACGTCGAAGGCTTCATGTCAACGTAAGTCCCCTCCTCCTAATCAGCAAACGCGCAACACGCACCGAAGCCGACCTCGCAGCCCTCGCAGCCATAGTCTCCGCAATAGGCCGGTCATCGTCGTCGTCGTCGTCCGATACGTTCTGGTTCTGCGCTGCCGACACCGCAGGCCCCGGCACGCTATACGACGTCTGCGTCTGCCATCCGCCGCCCGGACTCTGCCACCCGCCCAGCGCCTCGCCGCCAATCGAGAGCCCCGCGATGGAGCGGTTGAGCGAGGACGCCGGCTGGTCGAGCGGATTGAACGACGCCGGCTCCACCTTATGCGAGGACGAGAAGGACGCGGTGGAGGCGCGCGAGCCGTGCCCAAGCGTGCGACTCGGTGCCGGTACGTCCGTGCGACGCTCGGGGGGCGGGGGCGGGGAGGAGGGTTTCGGTAAGGGGGGCTGCCGCTGCTCGGCAGGGGGCGTAGGTGATCGCCTGGGCTCGGGCTCTGCGAGCTTGACGGGCTCGTCGGTCTCGGTGGAGATGCTCTCGCGGAAGCCGCGCGACTGGTAGGTCGGCAGGCCTGTGGGGAGCCCTGTGGACGCGGCTGCTGCCGCCGCCTCCTCCGCCTCCGCTACTGCCTCTGCGGCGTTGAAGGCTGCAGTGTCCAGAGGGTCTGCAGGGCTGGCCGGCGCCTCCTCTTCATGAGGCTTGTTTTCGTCGACCTGCGTATGGGGTGGTTCCTCTGACCCGTAATCATGGCTCTGGTAGTCCTGCGGCTCGTGGTCCTGGAATCCCCCGACATCGGCGAACGCGTTGTGCGTGAGCGTCGTGGGCGAGATGCTGTTCCCTCCAAACGCGAGAGACTCCTCGTTGAAAGAGGGCACTGCAGCGGCGGTCCCAAAGCTCGCCCAAGGGTCCGGCGAGCTCGACCTGCCTTGTGCGAAGGGGTCGCCGAAGGGGTTATCCATGACGTCTCGTGAGGGTGCGAGCAGGTCGTCAAAGCCGTTGTCCATTGTGCTCTGACTCCAAGGTTCCGTTCAGAATACGGGGGTATATGTGAAAGGCTGGAAGGCGGATTAAGAGGAAGAAGAGATAGGGATAGGCCACAGTCGTGCCAGTGGTGTGCATGGGCGCTTACAGTAGATCGACCGACGACGCTCTATCTAATCTTTGACATACTGCGTATACTCTGATGACCGTTTGAGTGCCAGAATGCCAGGGAGGACCCATCAGGCTGCACGCATGAAGATGCAAGACATGAAGCATTGACGTAGTGCATAACATGCAGGTAGTATAAAGAGGGTATCCGATTACGATGAAAGAAATCCATGGCACAGTCCACATACTCGCAGTAAACGTGGAACTCCAGCACTCCGTGGCCTTGTCCCCAACACATAACACGTTGTTTCCCGCACCTACGTCCGGCTTGCTCACTCCAGCGGCATAGTCTCGACCGCCGCGAGTAACGACGCCCAGGTCGACACTGCCCCCTCCGAGAAGTCGTGCTCCTCGCGCGCGAACGACCGCACGGCCTGCGTCAGCAGCGTATTCTCCCGGTTATGCAGCACGACGCGCAGCTCGTGCCACATGCTGCGGACCGTTCATTATGCGATCTCCGGACGACAGATGACAGAAAGTGACGTACCAAGCGCGGATGAAGACGCGGCGGGCGAGCGCAGCAGCTATGGCCGCCTGGTCCTTCTCGATCAGCCCGGCAATCTTGTCGGCCTCCTGCTGCCAGCCCTCTTTCTGCGCCTGGCGGATGCCCTCAAGCTTGTGCGAATTGGTGTCGACGCGTTTGCGGAGGCGGTCGACTTGGTCCAGGGAGAGGCGGTCGTGCCGGATGAAGAGGTCGCGCATGGCGACGTAGAGATCGCGTTGTGCCTGTGCAGTTACGGATATGTCAAGGGAGGTCCCGCGATGAGGGAAGCAACGCAACTGACCTTGAGGGCTTCTAGCGTGGAGTAAAGCATCGTCCGTGACTGTTCATAAGGTACATCAGGGTCTGCAGCTTGCGGAAGAGGACAATGAAAAGGAACGTACGCGGTGCTCGAGCGCGTCCGCGTGCCTCTGCGTGTGCGTCGAGACGTGCACCAGCCCCTGTCTCACGCCCGCACAAAGCTCACAGTCCTCCCCGCGCCAACAGCGCTCGTTGCTCTCCACCAGACTCTTCATCGTGTTCGTCAGGCGCGCCAGGTCTGCCTGTCCGTCCAGAAGAGTCGTCCCCCGCGCGCCAGAAGTGAGCCCAGAGAAGATGGACGACGAGGAATCAGCGTCGCGGTCAGAGCCAGAACCAGAGCCGTATCCGTGGCCAGAGGAGGATGAGGCCAAGGCGGAGGAGGCAGATGAGGGAGAAGAGGAGAGCCCGCCGAATGAGGGTAGGGGGAATGGGAGGTGAGTCGGCAAGAAGCTTGGCCGCATTACAGGAGTCAGGCGTACCGCTGCTGCCTCCCGGCGCCGGACGATGCGCTCCGTGAGCAGGCAGATCCGCTGCCAGTGCTCGATGAGGAAGCCGATCTTGCCTCGCACGACACTGGTAGGTGAGCGAGCAGATTTAATGGCTGGTGAAGTGATTAAGGTGACTGAGGGACATACGTGAGCTTGTCTTCTAGGTCGCTGGGGATGGCCATTTCCTCAAGGCGATCGACGCGCTTGCTTGCAGACTCTTCTTCGTAGGATATCGCAGTGTGCTTTCGCCACTCCTCGAGAGACGGCTCGGTTAAGAAAGATTGGAGGACAGCATCGTCTTTGATGACCGGGTGATTCCTGGGAGGGAATGAGAGACGCGACTAGTCGTTGATATTGGCCACTTACACCACGAAATTGATGAACCTGGCGAGTCCTCGCCTGCAGTAGGTAGACATGGCTAGGTAAGCAACCAATGCGGTACCAGCATTTTCTGGACCAACCTGCGCTGTTCGAGGAACCCTTCATCGGCTATTCATGAAACGTGAGTCTAACTAGTTCTACCGTCGCTCAGGTGATACTTACGGCCTATCCGCTTGGGAGGTAGCGCGGGGAGCAGCCGGAAGGGGTATCGCTTGACCAGTACGTCCCACAGAAAGACGAACTCAGAGTACCGACGAGGGACAGGTGCTCCGCGCTGAAGCCACAAGATATGAGTGCCACCACAGAATTTCGAAAGATGATTCACGCACGTCACTGGATACCTCGTATACAAGGTACCTGTTTAGTATGAACCCTTGTTGTCCTAGGACGTTAACGAACACCGTTTCCTGTTTCTTCCACCACTCCCGCGGCAAGCCCGTCCCGGAGATACTGGAGGGCGCCCCATTGGTGTGATTGCTAAAGGCAGGTGGCGGCTTGGGAGGTGCGCTTGGGGAAGTGAATCTGGATGCCCAAGGGTCTTCGGTCGAGTAGCCACGTGCGGGAATAGGCGGAGGCATTTGCATGATGTCTTGGAATGTGGAGTTGGTGGGAGGCAGTGAGTTGAGGTCGAGAGCGGGCTCGGGAAGAGCATTCTCTTGTGCGAGGGCAGCTACGCGCTCGACACTCACGTCTGGTCATGGCCTGAGTTGGGGAATTACAGGGAGCAAGGCGTCTCGCGCACCTTTGCCGGATTGGGCTAGTGCTGCCAGTGCTAGAGCTACAAAGAACTCCAAGCGCGATACGCGTGGTCGCGAGCTGACCAGGCTGACGATCTATTGCGCCCTCCTCAGCATGGATTGTGTAGCCGCCGGGTTTGCGCTAGACGCACCTTGTCGACAGTAGACGCGGGAAGCGATGAGGTACCGAGGACTCTGGACAAGGCGTTGACGGAGGTTTCGCCGGTGTTGGAGGGGTCAACGGCAGAGAAGGCGCGATTGTAGATGAGAGGCAGAGTTGCGTCTCCTGTGATGCAAATGCAGTTACTGGGAATGTCGCGCAAGTTGATGCGCGCCATAACGTACCGATCACCGAGCTGAAGCCAGAGGAGGTAGAGCCAAATGAAGGCAATGCTGGGGGTGCGGGACTGGGTGAGGTACTCCATGGGTCGAGTCCATCGTCGTATACTGAGCTGATGAGAGGATTCTCGGTGACGAAGCTGGCGCCGAACTGGGAGGAGGAGCCGTAAGCTTGAACTGGGCGAGGTGCGTTGAACATGGTGAGTATATCAGGAACAAGGCCACAGGCGCAGATTAGGTGGTCGTGAGCGTCGTGCAAGAGGAGAAAGGCTGAATACGGGCGTCGCAGACTGTCGTGTTACAGCAGAGAACCGTCGTCGTAGTCGGAGCACGGACAGGCCTGCGTGCGCAGGCTCGAGGTCGCAGTCGCCGTCGGAGCAGAGGCCGAGCGCGTCAACGACGTCAACAAGCCACCGAGTGCGGGAGGCGCCCGGCGCTGGGGATGGCAGGCGTGACAGTGACAGGGGACGCGGTCACAGGATCGCGGTGGTGACGGCCACGTGGGGCTGATTGGGGCTCCGACGACACGCCTGTGAGCGCGTCTCCGCGCGCGTCCGTGCTCGCCCTGAGAGCGTCTCCGCTCCCTTCTCTCCTCCGTCCCTCGAGCCCACCATCCCGCCAATGCAGCCAATACAGCCTGCTCAGCGACTACCTGTTCAGCAGCCGCCCCCCGTCAAGATATACAATGCCGTCTACTCCTCCGTTCAGGTTCGTCCCGCACTCCACTCCACCGCATATAGTCTACTCACCCAACGACACGCGCAGGTCTACGAATGCATGGTCCGCGGTATCGCTGTCATGCGCAGGCGCGCCGACTCCTACGTAAACGCGACCCAGATTCTCAAAGTAGCTGGCGTAGACAAAGGCCGACGGACAAAGATCCTAGAGAAGGAGATCCTGCCTGGAAAGCACGAAATCGTCCAAGGTGGCTATGGAAAGTACCAAGGTACCTGGTGAGTCTTGCGCCTCAGCTTTCACGCATGGCGTTGCAAGACACTTGCACGCGTTGGCTTTGTATTTCCTCCGTGAGCATTGGCCTCGCATTCCGCTCCTTCGAAGGATGGTACCCTTCTGAAGACCGTGGCGGCTCTGCCTTGAGCCTCCCTGGATGCGAGTATCCATCTCTTGGACCTCTTGTGTGCCATGCCTGGCAATCCCATAAATTTGCGTCCGTGTTCTTTGAGGTCTCTTCGGGCACGCGCTTCGTGACAGCCAACGCTGCTTTGTGGGCGCGAGATACAAGGGAATCACTTGGCTTGGAAGCGCTAGGCGCGTTTCTAGGATCGTGACACTCATGAAACGTACGAGAGACGCATACAGACGCGTCAATCCAAGCTCTCCGACGCGCCTTCGCATTCAATCTTGCATATGTGGCCCTTCGTTGTGTAAATACTTCGTGCTCGCCATCCTCTTGAGAATGGACGTTCTCTCCGCGGTGCGCGACATTGCTTCTTCTGTCACTCTGTTGCAGGTTTTGTATGCTGGCGGGCCTGTGTCAAATATATACGAGGTCGGGCTGCGTCGTAATGTCACGGTGATTACTGAACTGAGATCAGAGGGGCCTATCTTGCTCGTTCGATCTCCATGACACATCTATTACCCTACCAGATGATTGGCTTCATAGCACTCAGCCAGAGATGCATAGACACCCTTAGCTCGTAGACGTTGAACTTGTCGCCACATCACATGTTTAGCGCGCCTACTGACACCGTCGATATAGGATACCGCTAGAGCGTGGACGTGATATCGCCCTACAATATGGCGTCGCCCCACTCCTCGCTCCTTTGTTTGACTTTGTTCCGAATACCAACCCAATGGGCAGTCTACCGCCCTCCCTAGCTAGTGTCCCAGGTACGTGGGCCTCGTCTCCCCCCAGGAACAAGATGAATGATCAGTCGTGACCCGACGTCTCAATAGGTCTCGCACCACCACCCATCATGCCCGGTTCCGCGCTCCGTTTACTCAACCAGGGTAGAGCTCAGGGATTATTCACCCCTTCTACATCCAGTATGTCTGCTACTGCTCTTGTTCTCGCTGCTTCACTGGGCCCACATCTTGCAGCTGGTTATCCTCCTGGTTTTCCCTCCATCGGTCCAGTCTCCCCGACGCCCCCACCTCTCGTGCACCCTTCGCTGAAGCGAAACCACTCTCAACTAGACCTAGACCACCCAATGCCCCCTGCATTGACACCCCAGACCGCCCCTCCAACACTGGCAGCATCTCCTGACATCCAGATGCTGGACCGCTCGCGCCCCGCTTCCACCGCCCCACAAGCAGGTGGCGGGCCGTCGCCAAGCAAGCGAGCGCGCACAGAACCGCCCGTCCTCCCAGACGCGACGGGACGCGTTTCTCCCGCTGCTGTCCCCCTACAACCCCACGCGACTATGCCGCCACCAGCTTTTACAAGCACCGGCCATCGGCCCAGTCCTTCTGCCGTGAACGGCCTTTCACGGCCACCTAGCTCGCAATCAGTCGTTGCCAATGGCAAAGCTCCCGAGATGAAACCTGAGCCGCAGCCACAACAGTACACCATCCGCTTCGCCTCCAAACCCTCCATCCCGCGCACAATGGATCACCACGCGCCTGCACGCGACACGCGACGCGCCGCGATCGTACAAGCGATATGTGCGCGCGACGATCCGAAACCCGTGCTTGACATGATACGGGAAATTCCGCCAGACATCCCTGCACTCGCCACGGACGTCGATTTGGTGCTGGATGAGCAGGGCCACACTGCGCTGCACATCGCCGCGAGCACAGGCCGACATTCTATCGTGGAGGCCCTCCTTGCGGCCGGGGCCGACGTCCACCGGGGGAACTTCAACGGGGAAACGGCGCTCATGCGCGCGTGTCTCGCGACGCACTGTTTTGACACGCAGTCGTTCCACACCCTCGTCGCGGCGTTGCATGCGAGCATCCGCACGCTCGACACGGCACGTCGGAGCGTGTTCCACCATATCGTCGCGACGGCGGGTGTGAAGGGCCGTGCGGTTGCGGCGCGGTACTACCTAGACCAGGTCAACCTGTGGATCGTCAACCACGAGCGGGCGGACTTCAGGTCAATCATTGACATCCAGGACGAGCATGGGGACACTGCGTTGAACATCGCGGCGCGCGTGGGGAACCGCAGCCTTGTGAGGGTGCTTCTGGATGCTGGCGCCAATAAGCTGCTGGCCAACAAACTTGGGCTCCGGCCTGGGGATTTTGGGGTCGAGACCGAGGTGGGTTTTCTCTTGTCGTCGCCCTAGATATGCTCCCTAAACTCCAGGCTCCCATAGGAACTTGGTGGCAGCGCACGATCAGAGGACATCCTGTCATCACTACGCTCCGTCCCCTCAGTGCCCATCCAGAAGAGCCAGGATGTCATAGCCGGTGAGCGTCCCCTTCCCCCGCCTCCGTCGCCGACGGCGATCATGAATTTACCGCCGAAATTCCGAAGATATTACCAGCATGATCCATGGGCTCGGCAATGACTTCGCCTCCGAGGTCAAGTCCAAGCAGGACGCGCTCGACGTCACGCAGGTCCACCTCCGCGCCGCCACACGCGAGCTCTCCGAGCAGCGCAGGCAGATCCAGCACTGGCAGGCGCGCTGTGGGGAGCTCGACCAGACGACGCAGCGCGTGCGCAATCTGGAGCGGGCGTTGAACGACGAGGACGCGTTCGACTGGACGGGGCGGACGGAGCTTGACGGGGCGGACGCGGGCCCGAGTGCAGGGCCGGCGTTCCAGGCTCGTGGGCAGGGCGCCACGGCGATGGCGGGCGTGGGTGGCGCGGGAGACGTGCCGGCGAACTTGGACGTGGACCCGACGGTGCCGCTGGGGGACTCGGCGGCGACACTAGTGCGGCTGAGGAGGCTGAAGATGTGGTATTCGCGGGTGGAGCAGTTGATGGAGACGCGGATGCGGTCGCTGCAGGGCGCGAGCGCGGAGAAGGAGTTCCAGTGCAAGAAGATCGTCGCGTTGTGCACGGGCGTGCCGATTGACAGGGTCGAGGAGGTGAGTGAGTGGTTCTGACCGACGGGGCGGGGCTGCGTAAGGGCCGGCTGCGTAGTCGTGTTTTTCTTGCTGTTCGTTGTGCGCTTTTGGATGGAGGCTGAGCGTGCTTTCTTGATTTGCGTGTGGTTGCAGTTGCTCGAGAACTTGGTCGTCGCGATGGAGAGCGAGGCGCAGGTCATCGATATCAGCCGGGTGTCTGGGTTTATGCAGAAGGTGCGTGTGATGTGCCCTGACACCGTCGGGCCGCGACCTGACCTCTTGGATTGCAGGTGCGGAACGGTGTTATATAGTCATATGGGGTTCTCTCGGGTGTGGGTGATGATTATGGTTATGGATCACCCTTCTGCTCTCTCCTTCTCGTGTGCATGTATGAATGGTGCAGGCTTGGACTCTGTCGTCTTCGCTGTCGTAACGTTTATTATTCCGTAGCACTGTACCACTATGCATACACCGTTCTCATCAATCATCGAAGGCTTTGGGTGGTGTTTAGCGACATATCGCTGAATTCTCCACCTTGTGTGTCCAGGTCGCAAGGTAAGACAGCGTCGAGCGGGATATACAGTGATTCTCGATCATGGAGTAATTGAGTACAATTCATTGTAGCCGAACACCGGAAGTAACAGGAAGGCATATTCTTCAACGTGACTACTTGATCTGCTCCTTGGGCCAAGTGAACTAAAGACTCAGTCGACGAATGTACACACAACCATCGTTCCCACCCGACGCCAACACATCCCCTGCAGGCGGGAACGCTACATGCGTTGCGTGGCCTCTATGCTCGCGGAAGATAGCTACGCATGACCCGTCACATACTTTCCACAGTCGAACAGTCTTGTCTGCCGATGCGGATGCCACAAACTCGCCATTGGGAGAGAAGGATGTTGAGTAGATCCAGGAGATGGCCTTCTACTAGAACGCTAGAAGGGCGACCACTCAGAGGATCCCACAGGTGCAGCGCACAATCACCGTAAGACGACGAGGCTATACGACCTCCGTCCGGACTGAAGGATATAGTCGATGCACGGTGGTCATGCTTGTAAACAGCAACAGGCTCACCCGTGCTTACATCCCGGATCCGGACGGTCATATCGCTGCAGCTAGTAGCCAGGTGGTGGGTTTGAGATGGAATGCAACAGAGAGTATGTCGCACCCATGAGGGGGCTCCATAGTACGGACTAAATGGCCTGTAGCAACCTCCCAGACACGCCAACTCTGATCTTTGAGGGATTTGTGGACCACGACAAGTAGGCGGTTGTCAGAAGAGAAAGAGATGAAGGACACGATCCTTCCGGCACCTGGAGGACGCAAGATAAGCCGATCGCGGAACGCCCCGGCATCCTGCCAGAGGCATATGATACCCCAACGCGATCCTACTGCCAGCTTTGTACCGTCCAAAGACCACTGGCAGCATACGACTGTGCCAATTTCCCGCCAAGGTAGCTCCAAAACATCGGCACTATCCGCGCTGCTCACATCTTGGAGCGTTATGTGCTTGTATCCGGCCACTACCGCTAACCGAGAAGCGTTGGGAGAGAAAGCGATCTCCTGTCCGGTAGAAGAGCCTGGACTGCCATCAGCGTTGCGCATGAATCGGGCTACAGCGGTGTTGGTCTTGACATCCCAAAGCGCGACATCATCTAAGGCCATAGTGGCAAGGTGTTGGCCTGTGTTAGAGAATGTGAGAGCTTCCACATGCTTAACATGGCAATTGGTGCTGATCAGCGTATCTGTGGGGTCGATTAATTCATTGCTAGGTTTCCGTAGTGTAGCAGTGCACTGGCCTGGATCTGTCCAGATCTTGAGTAGCACCTTCTCTTCCAGCCGCGGGAATGTTTCACGAAGGCGGACGGCCCAAAATGAAGGAGTGCCTGCCGTGCTCTTCCTCGGCACAACGAACGTGACGTGTTCCACTCCGCCAGCGAGCGGTCCATCCATGAGCGCTTTCTCTACTTCTCGGAAGGACTGTTCGGCTCGGCTCGGTTGTTGGAATCCTGGTGGGGGATCTTGGCCTTCCCAGTCACCCAGCACGATCTCCAGACGGCGGAGGCTCGGCATACCGTGAAGCAGCAGCAAACGAGTCAAAGCACGCAGCACATGGTGATTCCAATGAACGGTTCCCAGCAACACCCTCAATGAGCGGACAGAGAACAGCCAATTTGCGTCGATCGGCACTTGTCGATGTTAGTGGACGAGCATTGCATATAGTATCACAGCGGATACCCACCAGACTCCCAATCAATGTCTACCTCGATGCTCAAGGTGAGCTTTTCGATAGTTGGCTGGTTGATACGCCACAAGAAACTTATCAACCCGTTCTACCTAGGATAGGAGACGAAGTCAGGTTTGAGGGGCGCAGAATGTGTATCAAACTTACAGACAACGTGTGCAAGCGAAGCCGTCCTAAGTGCGGCTCCATTGCAATCTGCGGAGGAAATCCATCGCATGGCATTCCACAAGTGACGGCAACGCATCGTAGATGGCGGATGGATGAGAAGGATGTCAGGATTCTGGCCAACTGCGCATGGTTTGTAAGCTAGTCTGGAGAGGGAGAGTTCTTGTACGGAAGAATAGGACTTGAGGCAAGCGATGTTGGCTGACTTCAGTGAGACCGTACAGTGATCCATCATGTTGGCCATGAGCGCCTGGCTATTGTATGGATAACCGGTGAGGTGGAGGGAGTGTAGTTTCGGCAGTTTGAGTGCTAGTTTCGCGATACTGCCATCGATCACGTGCTCGGATCCATGGCCACGGGGGAACACAGTCAATGTGTCCACCAATTGGCCCAAAGTAGGATAGCGGAGACCAGAGCGCTCAGTTGTCCACGACCGTTGAGTTGGACATTGCGAAAAAGATGACAACGGCTTCGTGGCAACTATGCGCTACAGGTAAGACTGCAGTTGCAAAGCGATGGGGGATCGTCCTTGAGATGATAGATGATGGCCTCGACAACCTCTAGTGGGAACGAAGGCATCGGGGAATCGTCAAGGGATGCATGAGAAACCATTTTAAGGGAGGTGTCTCTTGACTTGGGGGAGTCCTGGGATCGATGCGATGGGGTAAGAGGACGTTATCGTGAAATCCCCACGAAATAAGAGGCGGGCGCTACAATCTTGGGCCAGTGGGAACAGATGGAATCCATGTGTTGCAAGATATCGCGCGGCGCCCAGGATCGATGGGTCTGAACCGCCTGAGCGAGCGGGGCTGTTCTAGGGACGAACCTTCCACGGTCGGTGAGTGGGGACAGGGGAAATGTATCCGGAAACACCATCTAGACGCAGGACGTACCATACCCGCTGTAGGTGCAGTTTGTTCACACCGCACAGTCGCCACGAACATGCCCGTGAGCTATGTCGTATACTCATAGGACGAGTATGGGCTTTGTAAGGCCTCTGTAGATTAACATAGTGTATCTGCTAGTTTTTCACAAGGCCGGAGGTCAAGATACTTCGAAGTCTCACCTCCAGAACAGCAACAGGGCGCCATCAGGCATTTAAATTGACGGTCTCCATGAATGCCAATACGAACTTTGCAACAGCGCGGAGATACATGAAGAAACTCAAGGCAATCGCTTATCGGGGTCTCACGACCCCTCCGGAGTGAATATCTGGAAATTGCGGTTGTACGTCCCCGACGCGAGCATCTTCCCGTCATGCGACAAGTCGACGGACATGACCTTTCCTCCGTCTGTGGGCAGCGTGCGCAGGAGCTGCCAGTCATCCGCGCTCCAGAGCTTCACGAGCCCGTCGTAACCCCCGCTGACGAAGTACAGCCCAGAGCGATACTTCCACTCCTCGATAACCTTCTCGGCGTCGGTGGGCTTCGCGTCCGGGGAGGCAGAGGCGTCGTCTGTGCCGTTCATGGTGACGTCGGAGGAGAAGCCTGGAGGAAGCTCGTCGCCGTAGAAGAAGCGGATGTCAGAGACGTTGGAAAGGTGGGCAGGGATGGTGTAGAGGGCCTTGAGGGAGCGCATGTCCCATATTCGGATGGTGTCGTCTCCGGACCCCGTAGCAATTTGGTGGCTACGAGGAAAGCACGTCAGATGCAATAAACATAGTGCACGACAGGTAGGCACACTGACCCGTTTGGCGAGAAAGCGATTGCGAAGATGGCTTGGACGTGTCCATCGAGTACCATTGCGGTTCGCCCCGTGCGCAGATCCCATACTCGGCCGATGGCGTCCAATCCACTGTGGATACGAGTCAGGAGGTGGATTATGTGTTGGAAATAGGCGAATTGCTTACCCTGACGCACAAAGCGCACCGTCGTTCTGAAATTCGACTGAAAAGACTTCTTTCGAGTGACCTTCTTGCAAGAGAAGCTCCTTTGACGTCTTAACGTCCCAGAGTCGCCAAGTCGTATCGAAGCTGGCACTCGCGACGTAGTTGCCCGAGGGGTGGAACGCAACGCGTGCAACTCGGTCTGCATGACCTTTCATCGTCGCTAGAGGTGTTTCGCTGAAGTGGTACTGTCCTACTGAGTATGTGACCATCGAAGACAAAGCCCGTTGCGTACCTGTTCAAAGACCACAGATTGACAGTTTGGTCTGCAGCACCACTAACCATGTTGACCACATCTTCACTCTGGCTTAGGGTCGCTTGAGGATGCCATGCAACTCCTCCAACACGGTCGGTATGACCTCGGAAGCTTCGGACAGGTGTACAATTGGGCATATCCCAGAGCTTTACATTACCTGCCCAACTTCCGGTGGCGAGGTATTTGCTGTTAGGCGAGAAACGGACGAGAGAGATGGGTCGCTCGTCGCCAATTTGTGAACCCAGATTTGCGAAGCTCTGCGTAAGAAAGGCACGTTGGCACTCGCATGTTGTAACATAGGGAGGCAGCTTACCTTGACTTCTGCGAAGACCTTCTTCCGTATATCAATAATGCGACCCAACGGCATCTTGCTGTCTAGGCGTTGCTGCGCGACTCTTTTTTGAGCTCTACATGTGATCGCAGAAAGAAATGGACGCAGTAAGCACCTATGTCTGATTCCACCTATCGGAAATCCAACCTAGGAAGAGAGTATTCCGCTAGGAATCTCCTTGCCTCCAGCAATTCGAGGGAGCCGGGAGTATAGAACTCCTCGACCTACGCGTGATATGTAAGTAAGGAAGGTGCTGCACTAAGAGCGACGGGACACACCTCTTCCTCACTCTCCTCTGAGGACTCCTCGTCGACTGCCATTGCCTCGTCCCCACGCGCTGCATTGATTTGGGAGAGGACATAGATGAGACGGTCTCTCCTGTCTGGAGGCTGCGCGCATGTTAGTCAAATCCGCACGTTCATAGCGGTGCGTACTTACTCGTTCGCCAAAGAGCGTTATGGGCTCCCCAATCTCGCGCAGCCTGGCCTTGACTCTGTTGTCGTCGGTCGGAACGGCGAGATTACGCGCCTTCTTCTTGCGCTCGAGTTCATCGAGGATGACCTGGTTTTCGGCCCTTGCTCTCTCTGAGCCTAGGTGGTTGCCATCATCTATGAGTGTGTCGAGCGTGAGTTCGGACATGGTGGAGTGGAAGGCGCGAGGCGGAAGAGCGCGGTACCGTCGGTGCGAGTACAAGTGGCCTCAACTGAGAAGCCCCAACTTTGGCGCGCGGGCGCAGTCGAACAGCGGGCGTCACGTCACCGACTTCAGACGCGAACTCGGGTCTGCCACCTTTCTCTCCCACCACTTCCTCTCCCTCCCCTCTCTTCCATCATGTCGGGCCCGGGCCCCACCAGCAGCACACTCCGCCTTCGAAAAGGCGTAGGTGAAGCGCATCGCGATGTTGCCCCAGACGTGGACGAAGATGACCAGTTAGACGTCCAGAACCCGGTACGTGACACGTGTATACGCTGCGCTTGCATGTCCGACTTGTGCTCATGCGTCCACCATGGCTAGCGCAATCGCAGCTATGTCGAAAGGCTGTTCGAAACCGAGCAAATCAACATTGTGATGATCGTTGCATTGACCACGATTGCCTTTGCTCTCCGTTTCTACAAAATCAACCATCCAGACCAGGTCGTGTAAGTACGCCAAGTATACGTGGACTCATACCGCGTCCATACTCACGTGCAACATATCTCAGTTTCGACGAGGTTCATTTCGGCAAGTTCGCCTCCTATTACATCACAAGACAGTACTACTTCGACGTACACCCTCCATTTGCGAAGCTCCTCTTCGGTCTTGCTGGTTGGTTCGTTGGCTACGATGGCTCCTTCGGCTTCGAGAATATCGGCGACAGCTACACTGAGGCCCATGTTCCTTATGTCGGCATGCGTGCTCTTCCAGCCATTCTGGGTAGTCTCACTGTTCCTGTTGTCTACGCGATCATGAAGGAGTGCGGCTACTCGACCATTGTTGCCGTCTTCTCTGCCTCCATCGTCTTGTTCGGTGCGTGTCATACGTTTGCATCACTTGCTTTTCCCATTTCACACTTTGCTTAATGGTTCTGCAGATAATGCGCACGTTGCCCAGGATCGTCTTATTCTCCTCGATGCTACGCTCATCTTCTTCATGTCCTTGACTATATACTCGTACATCAGATGGAGAAAGCTCCGATACAGGTATGTTTCTTTCTGAACTAGCACGTCTGTTGCTTGATCGTCGGCTCAGGGACTTCTCCTGGGATTGGTGGGTTTGGATTCTTGCAACCGGAACCTTCATGGCCCTTACTTGGGCCTCGAAGGTTAATGGTATCCTGACTGTTGTTGCCGTTGGAATCGCTGTCTTGATCGACCTATGGGACATATTGGATATCAAAAAGGGCCATAGCATGGTGAGCCAAGCTCGTGAAGGCGCTGGAAAGGCTGCATACTCATCTCTTATAGGAATATTTCTGGAGACACTTCATCGCTCGGGCTGCTGCCTTCATTGTGCTCCCCCTCTTCATATACCTCTCCACTTTCTATGTCCATCTTTCCATTTTGACTAATTCCGGCACTGGCGATTCTTTCATGAGCCCTTCATTCCAGGAGACCCTTCGCGGCAACGAGTTATTGCTAAACAGTCAAGGTTAGTCATGATACAAAAATGCTCACCTTGTCGGTTGCTCATATTGCACTCCAGAGCTCCGGTACTTCGACACCATCACGATCAGGCACAAGGATACTCGTGTCTTCTTGCATTCGCACCCAGATCGCTACCCTCTGAAGTACGAAGACGGTCGTATCAGTAGCCAGGGCCAGCAAGTCACCGGCTACGGCCACGACGACTCCAACAACCATTGGCAGATCATCCCGACTAAGGCGCTGCCTGAGACTGGCCGTGGTCGTATCGTCCGCCACGATGATGTCATCCAGCTACTTCATGTCAACACTCAGACACACTTGATGACCCACGACGTTGCGTCCCCGCTCATGCCGACGAACGAGGAGTTCACAACTTGGCCAAAAGACGACCACTCGCGCTACAATGACACCCTCTTCCAGGTTCGCCTTGTCGATGGTTATGAGGGCGAGGAGTGGAAGAGCAAGTCCGGCCACTTCCGCTTGGTCCACGTCCCTACAAAGGTCGCCATGTGGACGCATCCAAAGCAGCTCCCTGACTGGGCGTACAAGCAACAGGAGATCAACGGGAACAAGAACGTGAACGACAAGACCGCTATTTGGTTTGTTGACGACATCGTCGCCGACGAGAGTAAGTCGTAACTTCCCGCGACCGTGTTTCGCGTGTATCCTGACATGAACTGCTCAGCTGGCGAGGATATAAAGGAGCGCATTGGCGACGCCGCTCCAAAGGAACCGAAGTCCTTGAATTTCTTCACCAAGTTCTTGGAGCTGCAGATCCTCATGTTGCAGCACAATGCTGGTCTAACTGCCTCGCATCCCTATGCTAGTGGTCCCATCAACTGGCCATTCCTTATCAGTGGTATCAGCTTCTGGACGCAGTCTGAGGGCCAGAAGCAGATCTACTTCATTGGTAACCTCGTTGGTTGGTGGACTTGCGTCATTGGCATCTCGTTGTACACGGGTATCATGCTTGCGGATATTATCGCGCGGCGTCGTGATATTGAGCCTCTCACTGAACGTAAGCCCATCGTGCTTTTTTGGCTGTGATTGCAAGCTGATGTGTCTGCAGCCGTCCGTCATCGTCTTGTCAACTCGACCGGGTTTTTCATCCTCTTCTGGGCCGTCCACTACTTCCCCTTCTTCATCATGAGCCGCCAGCTGTTCCTCCACCATTATCTTCCCTCGCACCTCATCTCAGCGCTCGTCGCGGGATCTGTTCTGTCTTTCGCCCTCTCGGAAACTATCAATTACCCTATCTCAATATGGGGTCCCCGTCTGCGTTCTAACAAGAGGCCGACCTACGCCGACTTGGGGATGCGTGGCCCGATCTTCGTCGGCGTCTTCACGTTGATCCTCCTCATCTTGTTCATCTACTTGGCGCCCCTGACTTATGGCACGCCGGGGTACGTTTCGTCTCTTCATTACTTGTGTGGTGAGATGGCTAATGTCTGTCTCGTATCAGATTGGATGGCCAGTCTGTCAACCGTCACCGCCTGTTGTCGAGCTGGACCCTCCACTTCGCGGCGAAGCCGACCGACGCTCCGTAGAATGCTTTGTATGGATGGTAGCAGCGTGTTGAGTCTGCGCTAGCGCGGAACGTTGATTGAACTACCTATATACTTTTCACTATACTCAAATCGTCCTGGGACGTGCCGGCTATGTATCTATTATAATGCAAATTGACGTCTCTCGCCCCAGATATCTCTTGGTTGTTGTTGTGATACTGTTTTGAGCCGGAAAGTGACAAGTGATATGCCTGCCTGCCATCGTGTCCCGCCCTTCGTGTTTTGGCAGATCGCAGTATGTTTGACCTTCTGGGGGCATCGCAACATCTGACGCGAACATCATCGTGGTCTACATTCAATAGTATCCGTGATTCTGAGGAACGGTCATGAGCGCTTGGAGCTTTGTCTCGGTGTTGATACTACTGTCATGACCTCTTGTTCGAGCCATGACTCGGGGTCATCATGGGGTTCATAACAGCACTGCAACCGTGTCCTAGCTTTGCGGAGGACTAGTTTCATCCCAACATTCCAGACGTCTTTCAGAAGGTGTGACTACGTCTACCACACCGACTGGGCGCCCAACTGTATCCAACGATCATCCCGTCCAGAAACACACGTCCGTCCTGTAGCGAGTCCTTGATTACCCACTCTACTTTGCCGTGTATTGCTAGGACTTTCACTCAGCGTATCCGCTCGTACATCAGCAGGCAAGAATGCGTGAAGGTTTACAGCATAGGTGCCGGATGAACTCCTTCCCATCCTCGTTTGCTTAGGCTTGGATGTATTGTATTGTACACACAATTCTACGTCTACCTCACTCGTGTTCTTTTCACGACGGGCCGCTGACAGTGTCCATTGGAATTTCAATGTCATTGAGTGATCATCATTCTCAAAAGTGTAGCATATCTGTGTGGTTATCTAGGTGACGCGTACTACGGGTGCAAGTGTTGAGCACGTCAACAAAGTTCAGCCGCCATATGCATATACAGTGGCCCAGTGGAGTGTATCGAATTCTGGAACCAGATGTGTTCGCAACGTGAGCTGCCACGAAAGATACACAATAAGTACAGTAAGTCGATAGGAAAAAGGAGGGCATCTGGAGATCGCCTTCGACCTCGGTGTCGGTGTGTTGTCATGTCGGCATAGTGAAGGCATAGCATACTCTGGATTACGCAGACAGAGTAGTAAGTACTGAGGAAGGCACGGTACAAGTACATTGGAGAAGCATGCTACTGTGGACTTCATGTCATAAGCTACCCATCGTACAGAGGAACGAACGTCAGACAACCTGAGACAAAGCTCGACTGGCCAGCCTTAGCTCCATCTTTGCGGCTGCTCGCCACCCCATCCCCCACCGCCTCCGCGATTACGTGGTCCAGTAGGCGGGGGTCCACTACGGCCTCTCTTCGGCCAGCCTTGGTCTCGCCCACGACCGCGCTCTCCGCCCCCTCGCCCGCGGCCCCCACGGCCTCCACGGCCACGGGGGCCCCGGTCATAGTCATGGCTGTTATTAGGATGGTTCTGATGAGGACTGTGGTCGAACCGAGCATTTCCACGGGGCGGGCTTTGAGAAGTCGGAGGAAGATTGACGGAATACGGAGGGGGCGGCTGAGGGTATACCGGGAGATGGTACGGTGCCTGAGGAGCCCACGCCTGGAGAGCAGCCGTGGGAAGTGCTATGGGCTGCGAAGCTACAGGCACGCCAGGAATAGGGATAGATGAGGGCGGCGATTGCACAGATGCCTTCGAAAGCGCCTGGAGCATGAGTGTAATCTGTTCCGGGGTCAAAGCACTGACATCGGGCGTGGGATTCGGTGGAGGAGCGGATGGAGAAGGGCCAGCGGCAGAGGGAAGGGGATGCGGTTTGGGAGCCACCAGGGTCTGCGGCTGCACCAAGGATGGAATGTTTTGCAGGGCGGCTAGATGCTGAAGTTTAGAGAAGTCAATATTGGGGAGAGCCGAAGCCGTGGTGGAGGGCTGCGGGGCAGGTGCAGCAGCAGAAGCGGCCTGGAGTGGCTGAGGAGGGGGCACGAGCTTGCCCTTCGTCAGCACCCAGATACCAACGAGGTAGTCAGTGGCACGTTCTGTGGGCAGCTGTAGCTGATCCAAAAGCTCCATATACTCCGGAATTGGGTCCGTGGATAGCAACGGAACGACATAGAGCTCGCGTCCGGGAGCGCTCGACTTTGGATTATGACCCCACGGGAAAATCAATCCATGGCGCCTGTAAGTAGTAATGAGCACGCCAGTTGCAACGGAAGCGTTCAGACAAACTTACCCTTTGGATACAAGATGACTCTTGAGTGCGTTGAACCCGGTGGTGTCCATGCTTGGCGCGGCAGAGAAGGCGACGGCAATGAGCTCTTTCGAAGGATTAAGCCGCACTTGCGTAAGATACTGCGCCGACTTCTCCACCTGCACTCGGCCATCAATCCTGAGCTCCTTTGACGGAAAGAGCGTCTGCCACAGCGGGGAATCGCTTCCCAAAATCCGGCCACCCGCCTGACGGGCAGTGACGGCAACTTCTTGAGGGATGGTGGAGTCCAGAGGCATGCTCAACTGTTTAGGAAGTGAGTGGGATTCCTTGGGGGTCAGAGGGCGAATGCACCCACAATTCCGTTCCAAACAGTAGGCTGAGAGTCAAAAGCAGCACGCTGGACCTCGGCAGTAAGCTCAACGGGCTCGGGGACCTTCTCTTCCGGCTGTTCCTGCTCGTTCTCGGTATTGCTGAGGAACATATCGAAGTCCTGGTCGTCAGCTCGACCACCAAGAAGCTCTGCATCGGTCGGTTGGTCAGCGGGTGCTAGGGACGATGGGTCCTCCGAGTCCTGGGGCTGGGCCTCCGCTTGAGGTTGGGATGCTGTCCCAGAGGAGTTGGGAGTCCACAGAGCACTGAGATCGAAGGACGACCGCGAGGGCGTGTCAGGCTGCGAACCTTTCGCCGCGAAGGGGGATATGCCAGTGGTAGGGGACGGGCCGACGGAGGAAGGAGTGGGCTGCGAGGCACCCTCCGACGTGGTCTCCGTGGGCGCGGGTGCGAGTGTGGGCGGAATCTCCGCGAAAGGCGTAGCGAGCGTATCGACGGGGGTCATAGCAATCTCTCCAGATGACTCCTCATCGATATTGATCAGATCAGCGAGGTTCAGCTCGTTTTCCACAGGGCCTCCGGCGAAGTCAGACACGGACGGCACGAACAGCGGGTGCATAGGCGGGCGCATAGACGACGTGGAGGACGCAAGATCCGCCGCCACCGCCTGGGCAGCAGCATGGAGAGGCACCGGGGGCGGGGCACCCCACGCAGGGGCCTGGCCGACAACGGGAGACTCAGGCGGGGCGGAGCCCGTAGACTGGGAGCGCTGGGCCTGCAGGCGGAGGCGCGCGAGCCTCTCTCTCTCAATCCGCTCCTCCTCTTCCTCCTCGCGCTCGCGCTCAACCTCACGCTGACCAGCACCCGTCACATCCTCGATGTCCTGCAGCCCCTTGTGCGTGAGCTTCGCCCGCGGGACGATGGACTTCTTGAGGATGGAGTGCGCCAGCGCCTCCTCCTCGAGCTTTTTGATAGACTGCTTCTCCGACTCGCTCGCGAGGTCAGTGGAGGACATCGTGGACAGCTCTTTCGGTGTAATATGAGACGAAGCTATGCGCATGTGGAGGACAACACGGTCTGCTTTGCTCAAGTTAAACGTAAGCATTCGGAACCGCTCCCTGTCGTGACGAAGTCGAGTGATCAGCGATTCGTTCATCACGGGTGCTGATGCCCACGGAGATAGACATACTTGTATTTCCCCCCGACGACCTGCTTCCCTGACTTGTCCGGCTCAGAATAAAGCTCGTACATGCAATTCTCGAGTTCAACGCCGAACTGGTTGGCCTTCGCCTCCAGCTGTTCCTTCTCCTCCGAGGTCAGCTCTTCGGGCTTCTTGTCGGGCTGCTCGCTGCGTCCAGCAGTATCGTCGCCTTCATCGCGCTGGGCGAGGAAAGGGTAGCGCGTGAAGATCTGCCGGAACAGCTCCTGCAGCTTCGTCAGGCAATACTTGCGCGCAGCGTCTTCCCCAGCGGTGGACTCCGACCGAGGACGTTTCGCCGGCGGCGGCGCAGGCTGGGCTGATGTCGACTTCTTCCTCTTGGCCAGGTGGCTCGGCGTCGGCGAGGACTGCTTGCGAGCAGGCTCCTTGGGGGTCGAGCTCGCCCGACGGATGCGTTTCGAGCTGCCGGCACGATGAGACCCGTCCGAGTCGGATCCGCCGTCAGAGTGGTATGACGAACGGCGAGCGCGGCGCTGGAGGAGGCCTTGGTGAGCTTTGGCAGGGTGTCTCGAGTGTTCAAGACGCACCTTCGAGGCGTTGTCGGCCCGGGGGTTGTACTCTTCCGAGCCCTCGCTGGATGCGTCGGACTCGGGTTCCTCTGCAGCCTTCGCTTCAGCTTCAGCTTCGGCTTCGGCTCTCGCCTTCTGCTTTGCAGCTGTAGCCGCGCTGGACGATGCTCGTGTGACACGGACGTCGTCGCTGCGGACGTCTTGCATTGCGTCTGGCCCTTCCCATTCCCCTGTAACCGACTGCAGTTAGCTTCTCGATCTGTGTATGATTTTGGCCAAAAATGAATGCAAGGTAGGAACAGGAGCCACGAAGTGACGAAATGAACTACAGTACTACGTAAAGGCAATGATATGTCCTCGTCCCCGTCCTTGTCCTCATCGTCGTCACGGGCGTTCGTGTCTGGCTACGCATACATTCAACGAATCTACCCTCACATAGTTGGATCGACCTTCGGATGTTCGGTATTTTCTGCTTTATTGACCACGGTCATACCGAGGACTATGGCAACTAGCTACCTACAGCGGGCGCTTCACCAACGGCGGCTGATCCAACCGCAGCAACTACGAAGACAAGGACGAGGTGCACGGAACGACAGGTGTTGCTGCATCATGCCCACAATCCTTGCTCGTCTTTCGATGGTACGGTATGCGTGAGGACGTTCTGACTGACGGGACTATCATGCAGTGGCTGAGCCAAGAGACGGAGATACTACTGACTATGGTATTGTGATCTAGTACATCGATAACCGCAACGGAAGAGACAACCGGACGAGCGGGGGTAAACAGGCGAGAGCAAAGCAGATACTCACTGATGGTTCTGGCGCCAGTCTTCTCGTGGCATAAAGGGCATACATAATGCTCTGGAGGAAGACCGGATGAGGCCCCGCAGCACGAAAAAAGAGGGTCCGGGTATGACTCACGAATCTCCTCCGCATCGGTCTCGCTCAACTCGACGCAGCGGAAATGGTACCTGTGATACGGTCAGTGAGCAAAGAAAAAGGGCCGAAGGACAGCAGGAAGGGACGCACCAGTCCTTGCAGCTCGAGCAGTGGATCATGGGCGATCCGTCGTCGGGCTTCTTGCATAAGCAGTATATCTTTGCGCCTCTCTTCGTCGCCCTGACCTTCCCAAGCGAGCCGTTCATCCTGAGATTCTCTTTATTGTCGCTGATAACAGAGGTGTCTTGCGTCTGGGGCCCCGTCCTCGTCGCTTGCCGGGTCCTGACGGTGGTCGTTCGGGTTGACATCGTGGGTGGGGACGGGCCAGCGCGTGGGAGGTCTTACTTCTGTCGTGGCACTTTTTGAACTCCGCCGGCTACTTCCTTGTGTCTCAAATAGGAAGCTTGGCTGTACTTCGACTCATCCTGCCATATTGGTATCTCATACTCCAGGCCACGCTTGAACGCGACCCACTGTCAGCGGTCTGCCAAATCCGCACATCAATCTTCTTATCTCTATCTTCGGAGAAATGGCTGCAGCTGTCTTCGGCTCACGGCTTCGTGGAACGACAATGCGCGTATGCAGGGCTTCTGGGTCGACTATCATCCCCTGAGGTCGTTCTTGTGATGCGTGCAGGACTTCGAGAATTGCGATTGCGCGCGATGGCGTGCGTACAAAAGGGGTCTTATCGCAGCCCTCCTGGCCACGCGTGTCTTGCAGGAATGTTCGCACTCCACTCCATCTTGCATCGTGATGGACTGTGGCGGTTGGCACTCTAGCCCCGAGACACACAAGGCAAGGAGATCTGGGTATGGCATGTTGGCTGATCATCTCTCCTGCTCTTCCATGCATTGAGGCGAACGCATGTCTTGCTAGGACGTTGTTGTCAGACCACCTGATCGAGGCGCCGCTGCAACTCGGACGGGATGCATGAGAAGCACTCGATGGTTGCGAGGAGCCTCTGTTTCTGCAATAGCGATGCCATTCCAGCGACCCGCCCCGCGACCTGGAACGCGGCGTGCGTTTCGTGGCGGCTTCGTGGACGCTCAGAAGTTATCGATCCTTCTGTGCGGGCGCGATAGTGAGGGTGATTCCTAGATCCTCAAGATTGAGGCTGCCTTCCTGACGTGCACGTCGAGATCACCCTTTGAGAAGTACCCCTGTTCAAGCAAGGGTGCTGCAGTCCTCTGCCGTGACTCCAAGACGGAACGTACTCAACTATGAGGTACACGCAGAGAACTGTGGCGAGGTTACGTAGACCGCTGTCTAGTGTGTGTCTCGGCCTTCCGTTGATGGGCTTATCGCTGCCTCGTAAGTACTGTCAGCTGGACATGGGCCGTGGTGGTTATACTTGGGTTCTTATTCTCTGTGCCCTACTCGATGTGTCACCAGGAGCAGCTTCAGCACATGTAAGTAGTCCGGAAGCTATCCCGCCGAGCCGGGCGTGCCGCGCCGTTAACCAAACAGGGCGAAGCAGTGGCTATAGCTAGAGCGCCACCGCACCTTTACCATGTCAAGCAAGCTCTCGCGCCCTCGTGCGCTCTTTGACTCTCTACTTGGACCGCCTCTTCGCTTCATATGCACAGGCTGATCGACGGTGGGGTTCATATGCAGGATCTCCACAGCGTGTTCACCGGCACAGGAATATGGATGTTCGTTATCTACGGGCAGCTGTGGGCACATGTGATCCTCCTTCGTTGATGTCACGGCCCGCAAGTTGGTCTGTCTCGCTAGTGTAGACAAGTCTCGGACTGGCATCGGAATGTTGCAACGGCGCCAGGTCCATTGCACACCTCAAGTTACGAAATGCCGGTCAGGCGGGCAACGAAGACGAGCACCATTCTACCCCTATTGCATGCCGATGCGCGTCACAGATTCAGGTGTGCATTGCTTGTACTTAGCGTAATTGCACCGCGTCGAATCGCCACCGACGATTGTGTGTAGTACGACCCCCTCGCTGAGGTTGGAGGTCCTCGATCGCTAAGAGCGTCAGAGGCCCGAGTAAAGCACAATGCACACTGTCTCAGCAGGTGACAGCAGCGAGCAAATTGGCGCACCGGTTCAAGCGCGAAAAGGGTCCGAGGGTGGCTCCAGCCGGTGCTCCTCATGCAATGGAGATCGGACTAAAAGCCACTCATTATGTAGCTGTGCCGGCGGGTTCCTTACTCTCTCTCGATTGTGATTTTGCGATTTTGCGATATGTACCTGTGCCTTTAGAGTGGAGCTGTGTCGGACAAGGACGCTTCGAGGGGGTGAGAGGTGCGAGCACACGGAGCCAGCGAACGCGGGTAGGTTCAGTCACATAAGCTTATTGGCCGAGAAGGCCGTCATGCGTGGAGCTACATGGGCAGACATGTGGACGTCGGATTTGCAGTGACGTCTCGCGCGGACATGGGATTCCGGTGAAGGCTGGGCTGGCGGCCACGAAGGGAGTGCGATAACGAGTGGGATCTGCGGTGGTCGAGTAACGCCCTGGACGCTATGTAGAGTAGCGCCGAGGCGCTTGGGATCAGCGCATTCGGAGCGCTAGCAGCGGGACGTCTGTCCAAGACTCGGAGCCCATCAGCAATTCCTGACGTTGATCCCGAACGAATCGGTCGTCAGAAACGCAAGATTTTCACGATTCGTCGAGATTCAAGGGCGAAGAGTCTGTGTTCGTCTGGGCGTGTATGTCCGAAAGGCACGCCCACGATTGTGGTCGAATAGAGGACGTCCGAGGAGATGTAGCGCCGATGTAGGTCATACTTAGGAGGTGTTGTTGGCGTCTGCGGCTGTTTGATCGACGACGTGAGCGCGTATCGCGAGGACGGAGACGCGATGTCTGATGCTCGATCGCGCACGTGATCGTTCCATATGGTTAGTGCGGCATCCCTCGGCGCGTCAGCGGCGCACGACCGCAACCCACAGCTCGGGGGCGACCTTACCCAGTCCGTCGGCCAGCGACGGAGGGCTGTGATGTCCAGGTATGCAATCCTCGGCAGAATTGCACCCAGAAGATGCACGTCTGCGGGTTTCGAGCAGAGTCTGTGACCCGGGACTCCCACCCCGTGGACTTCTCGCTGATGTCCAAGTGATGTGAGCCGCCGTTGGCCGGGCGAAGGACACGACGGAAAATCGTCGTCCGAGCGCCGAAACGCAGCGTGGGCGGCCTTTGTGAGGTCGGATGCTCGTCATAGACCAGGGTGGACTGTCGTCATATGCTTCGCGGTGGCCATTCATGCGCAGCGGACGATACGGCAACGGGGACGGGTCCTGTGAGTGCAATACCAGAGTTGTCATGAGCCTCGTCGCACTCCTGTGGCCAGATGGCCCGTCTCAGATACGCTGATGGGTGATATGCATCAACTCGACTCGAGTATCGCGGCGCTTGCGGAGCCTAGCGTTCATTCGTAGCCTTCCATTCTTTGAGCGCAGGGGCCACTGGAGTATGCTATATTGATATGCAGAGCGTGCCCAGCCATGGTCGGCGCCGGACAGCTGATAGAAGGAGACAGAGTGCGCCCGGGCGGCTACGGCGATGGGACGTGCTTCTTATATCGGCAAAAACGGGCGCCCAGGAGCAAGTGCCGGACTGGGCTTCGCAGTCGACCCGTGTTCCACCTCCCTCTGCCGCCAACGACGACCAGCGACCCGCTCGTTTTCGACGCTCGTTGTCGTTGTTCTCTCCTCACTCCACGCCGTCCACGCCGTCCAGAGAGCTCTTCACAACCCGCCCTGCGTCCCGTTCTCAGCGTATATGGCGCGTTCTCACAGCGCTCTCCCTGCTGTCCGACCCACATCACTCTGAACTAGCTCCAGCCTGCAGCCGACATTGTCTCCCTATCGCCACAACCTCTACCGCACCCTTGCTTGATCCTTCTGTCACCTTTTTCCGATTCAGAGCGCGTTCGGGTCCGCTGACTTGCATGTCTATTCCTGTGGTCCGTCCCAGCCCCACTCTTGACTCTCACTTCCCTTCCGAACACGGTCTTCTCCTGCGTATCTGAATACTAGAACTGTGCTCCGTGGCATTCTGGGTACGATAATCAGTCCCCCGCTATCCGTCCCTTCACCCGTTCGCCCGTGCCCGTTCCCATGCTCACGCCCTTTCCGTCACATTCAGAACTGCCGGAGTCGATTGCTACTCCCTTCCGGTCGTCTTATTTGAGTGAGTGCCGTAAGCACCTTCCTCTTGCGCCGTGCAACTCACGCGGTGCACGCGTTGCAGCACGGTTGTTAGCGTCGGCGAAACATCCTCTTCGACAACCACGACGCACCTGTTCATATGGCCGCCGCCGTTGCCAAACTCAACGTCACGATTTCCAAGCCGCTCCCTATGGTTTCCCAAAAGCACGTAGATCCCCCAGCCCCTTCCACTTCTCGGCAACCCCCGCCATCGGAGCACCAACCGAAGACATTCAGTCGGCTACGTTCCTCTTTGGAGCAGAGTTTGCGGACCGCGACCAAGTCAAAGGCCAAGGGTCCCGCGCCCGTCGACGAGTCGGGAGTGCTCTCCCATGGTGCAGGCAAGGGCAAGGGAAGAGCATCCGAGGACGATGGCCCTAAGGAGAAGGAGAAAGCCAGATCGCGGATGCTATCTAAAGTTTCGTTCCGCCGGCCGGGCAGAGATGTATCTTCGCCCTCACCCGTGCCACCTGTGCCTCCTCTGTCCGTCGAAGAAAGAGGCGACGCTGCGCGGGGGAACGGGGCTCGGGCTCAGGACAAAGTTCGAGTCGCTGGCCATACGAGCTTCTTGACGCCCTCGTTGCGACAGGCCTCCATGTCTTCCCCCGCCTTGCACCTGTCGGCGCAGTCCGTTTCCTCCCCCTTCACCCAGCCCTTCGCGCTCCCCAGCGGGTCCACCTCCAATGTTGCAGCTCTCGTATCGCCACCTAGAGACCGTGCTCGAAAGTCCAGCGTTCAGCCCGCCGTAAGTACCAAGGACATCAGCGGCCCAGCTCCTCTGGTTCCCAAACGAGATACCCGCGCCAACGGCACGTCCTCACCATCCCCCAGGGATCACGAGCAGCGACCATCCAAGAGTCGACCGGCCCCCCTCACGCTCGCTTCATCTAACAACGTTCCTTCACCACCCCAGTCTCGCGACCGTGCTCGCTCACCACCTCCGGAGACCCCGACGCGCAAGTCCAGGGACACGACGAGATCACCTGATCTATCACCCCCGGGCTCGCCGTCGCCTCGAGGGATCGGCGTGAGCTCGAGAAGGGCAGCGGCAAGCGCGAGCCATCTCCCTCTCGGCCTCGGATCCCCCCCGTCCACCCCACACACGCCCCGTGCGACCAGTCCGATCCAGCCCCGTTCGTCGTCCCGCACGTCCACGCGCACACCGACACGGGTGATTCCCTCCGCGTCCTCGTCATCACATCTCCCGCTCGCATCGACGTCCTCTGCCGCCTCCGGTCGACGGCCCTCCTTCGACGCCCGTCGACCATCAATAGATGCCCGTAGACCCTCCTTGGACGCTCGCCCCAGCAACATCTCGCCATCGCCGTCCAGCTCTAGAGCGGGCTCGCCAATAGCCCCTGCCGCCCGCACTCGCGCCGTCTCCCCGACGCAGCGCAACTACTCGCCCGGCTACCAGAACCGCCTGTACAATGCCTCCACGACGTCGCTCGCCGCCTCTGCGCCTTCGAATCCGGAACACAGGGAATCGATCCGGGCGGCGACGTCGTTCCTGTGCAAGGAGATGCTCAAACCACCGTCGCAGGTGAACAAGTCCAGCTTGGACCCGAAGGAGTACGATGAGGTCGAGGCCCGGTTGCGGGCGCTGGCGCGCTTAGAACGCATCTGGACGCGGACGGGGGCCATGGGGAGCACGACGCAGGTCAACTTGGCGGGGCAGGGCAGCGGCGTCGCGTCGGGGAGCGATGAGAAGGAGAGGCGGCTGTTCGCGGAGGCGTTGCGGGATGGTTATGTTCTGTGCCAGTGCGTCACGTCGGTTGCTTCACAAACGCTTGTTTGACTGACCGAGGGCCCGCGGTCCGACAGATGCCTGAACAAGCTCTTCCCGGGCACGGTCGCGCGGGTCGACCGGCGCGAGGACGGGTTCGTGCGCACGTCGAACGTCACGAAGTTCCTCGCGGGGTCATCGTCGGTCGGACTTGGGGCGGACGAGCTCTTTCACCGCGATGACCTCATCGAGGCCACGGGCGAGTCGCTCTCAAGGGTCGCCAAGTGCGTTCTCGCGCTGTCGCGGCTCGCGGAATTCCCGGGGGTGGACAAGTCGAAGATCATGCAGGGGCAGGCTGGAGGGCGTGCGGCGAGCAGCCCTTATGGGCAGAACGGCCGCGCGGCCGCGTCCACGCCCAACCTCAGCATGTCGCAGCTCCAGCGCTCGACGTCGCCTGTTGGCCCCGGCTCGCCTGGCGTGCGGAAGAGGTGGAGTCCGCACCAGCATTTGCCCACGGTCCGTTCCGATAGCCCTAACGAGGAGTCGAGCGACGGCCAGACGGTGAACAACGACGACGTCTTCGGCAGCACCCCCAACACCAACGAGTCGCGGTCCAGCCCCCGAGACAGGGATGAGATGCGGCCGTCTGTCCCTCCACGCTCCCCCCTGCGCGTCCGACCCGTCGTCGAGCGGATATCTATAGCTGACTCGACCCGTGCGTCCATGGGCGACTCGGTCATCGGCTCCCTCGCGGAGTCCGTCGAGCTCCCGGTCCCTGTGGGGATGCGTCAGTCCCAGGCGTCAAGCAACCTCACCGACACGACCATGTTCTCCAGCCTCCTCGAGCCGCCGCGGAGCCCGGGGAGCCAGAACAAGTTCGGGACGATCCGCACCGTGACGACCGATGCGACGTCCTTTGTGGCCTCGGACGCGCCGTCCATCACGCGCACCGAGGGCAGCTCCATCGCGCCGTCGTTCAAGGAGGAGGGCCGGAAGCGCGCCGTCGACTCGCCCATCCGGGCCTCCCGCGAGCGGCGGCCGAGCGAGACGGCCATCGTCGACCTGTCGAGGGTCGTGGAGGAGACGGAGGACGGCGCGACGAGCAGGACGCGGTCGGACAGGACGGAGTCGGACAAGGCTCGGTCCCCGGCGAGAGCCGTGCCTATCAAGCTCGGGAAGGGGAAGTGGCCCGACGACTTCATCGGCTTGGACGCGTTCCAGGCGCCGAAGTCGTCCGTTTTGGACGAGGACGAGGACGACGACTCGTTCGGCGTGTCGGTCCACACGCCCCTTTCCGTCTCGCCGCCACGCAGCAAGCTCGCGTTTTCGGCGCGGCCGGCGAACGAGAGCGTCGAGTCCCTGCCGCAGTTCCCGCGGCGGCCGACGCACCGCGCGCGGCACAGCGTGGACACGCCCGGGTTGTTGCCCAAGGACCAGCTGCTGCGGCGCGACTCGTCCCCGGACGCGAGCGGCTCGCCGCCGCGCCGGATCGTCCTGAGGCGCAGCAGCTCGAAGGCGCCGAGTAACCGCAATGGCATCTACATCCCGCGCAATGAGGGCTCTGCTTCGCCTGAGGACGCGAGCAGCGACGTCGCCGTGCCGTTCCCCCGCACGGTGTCGGGCGAGCACTCGACGCCCCCCGGGGCTGGCTTCGTGTTCCCGTCCGCGTCGCCCGACGGGTCGAAGACGGACCTGCTGAACGGCGGCGCGGCGCCCGACCGCCCTCGGCTCCTGCGGGGCCGGTTCCAGAGCGAGGTCGACGCGGCGGGCTCGCGCAGGAAGCCGCGGCCGAACTCGTTCGACGAGTACGGGGCGAAGCCGGCGAGGCGGTCGAGGTTCGAGAGCATGGTCAACCTGGGGGTCGCGTCGAGCAACGCCAGTGCGAGCGACCTTATGTCCCGCGATTCCTACGATGGGAGCGCGGTTCGGCAGACGTTGATCGTCCGGGAGGACGGCAAGGCACCGACCCAATTCGTACGTCGTGCTCCTATCTCTGTGAGGGCGTTTGAAGGATGGAAGGAAGGCTGACGGCTTGTGACCTGTAGCAACTGGGCAATTGCATCGGACGTGGGCAGTTCGGCGCCGTGTACCGAGCGCTCAACCTGAACACGGGCCAGATGGTCGCTGTGAAGCGGATACGCCTGGAGGGCCTGAAGGAGGACGAGATCGCGCAGCTCATGAAGGAGGTGGACCTGGTGAAGAGTCTGTCGCACCCCAGTATCGTCAAGTACGAGGGGATGGCACGCGACGACGACACGCTCAACATCGTTCTTGAGTAAGTTTCTTGACGAGCGCTTTGCGGTGACAGGCCTCTTACGTGTTGGTAGGTACGCCGAGAACGGGTCCCTGGGTCAGACACTGAAGGCGTTTGGGAAACTGAATGAGCGACTCGTCGCCAATTATGTCGTCAAGATTTTGGAAGGGCTGCACTACCTCCATCAGAACGACGTCGTCCACTGCGACCTAAAGGCGGCGAACATCCTGACGACGAAGACCGGCAACGTCAAGCTGTCCGACTTTGGTGTCTCGCTCAATCTCCGCGCCATGGAGCGTGAGATGAAGGACGTCGCGGGCACCCCGAACTGGATGGCACCCGAGGTCATCGAGCTCAAGGGCGCGTCTACGAAGTCCGACATCTGGTCGCTTGCTTGCACAGTCATCGAGCTGCTGACGGGACGGCCTCCGTACGCGGATATCGCGAACAGCATGTCTGGTGAGTGCAAGTCGATCACGTTCTTTGGTGCGCATCCTGACACAGTAGCGTGTTCGTGCAGTCATGTTCCGCATCGTGGAGGACGCCTCGCCGCCGTTGCCGGAGGAATGCTCCGAGAGCTTGCAGGACTTCTTGCGAATGTGCTTCCACAAGGATCCTACGAAGCGCCCGAGCGCGGAACAGCTATGCGATCACGAGTGGCTCAAGAAACACTCGGCTGCTCACAAGGTGAGCCCTTTCTCGTAATTGACGTACTATCGCCAGGAGCTCATGATCTTCTAGCATTTGCAGGAGCTGCGGCCGCAAGACAGCATCCCGTTCTTGCGCCGCGTCAGCGCTGACATGCAGAAATCGAAGTCCATCCACTTCCTTGCTGACATCGGGCAGCAGGTCTCAGATCCGGTGGCTATTGACCGTCGGACCTCCCTCGATCAACCGTCGTCTCCCATTCGGCCGAGGCTGTCGAACGGTCAGGACGCCATCTCTCCCCGAGAGCATTCCTTCGTGAAGACGACGTTTGGGAAACGTACGTAATTGTGCCTGAACGGCCCACTCGGAATCTAACCTCGATATTAGCGGTCATTTGCAGAGTATGCCTCCAGAGCGTCAAGAAGAGTGCTGTGCTTTGCGAACAGTGCAGCCTCATCGCTCACGCGAGATGTGCCCCCAACGCTCCGCCTACTTGCGACCTACGTTCTCAGCTGCTCCTTTACGCGCAGTACGCGGAGAGCGGGAATCCTGTGAACCCTTATTCTCCTATGGAAATTCTCGCGGCAGCAGCACAGGGCGGTCCCCCTACAAGCCCAACCAGCCACACGTCCGATGACGGTTATTCGCGGCGTACGAGCATTGAATCCGTTCAGACGCCGCCCAATCTCTCTGGCGTGCATGGCCACGTACACCCTCCTACAGCATTCAAAGTCTTCTCCGCCTTCAAGCGATCCCGGTCCTCGTTAACGATTGATCAAGACCATCAGGTACAGTCCTCGCCCGCTTCGTCGTCTCAACCAACCCGACAAGTTACCCACAAGAAGTCGGTTCTTCGTCGCAAGAACACTGAGGTTTCTGAACGCCCGCGCTCAATCTCGAGTAATACGAGTACCACGCCCAACTCTGCCAGCATGCGTAGCGCCGTCACCGCCGCCGAGAGTGTCTCATCGAGTCACCGTCGCAGTCAGATATCAGCCGACTTGTCGGGGAGGTTGTCGAGAATGACCTCGTTCTCGGCTGTCTCGGCTGCAGAGACCGAGCGCGAAGAGCCCAGGGTCGTCGGAGAGATGCCTAGAGGCCATCGGGACAAGCGGCGCGATAGAGAAAGTGGCGGGTGCAGTGTCCAGTAAGCACTGTGCACGCTCTTTGAGACTTGTACCACCCTTTCATTCCCCCTGCTCCTTTCTAACACTTTCTTGTCATTGCCTACGCTCGTCCCCTCTCATTTGAATCATTCACGGCATGATATCCATGTAGTATGTACAGCAGGATCCCTGATACCTCTCCACGCACCGCATCCTCTGCTTCTCAGGACTATCCAGGTGAACTCTTTTTATTATTGCATATCATGATAGTTCCTATTACGCGCCCTTAATCGTATGCCCATCCGTCCTCACTCCATACACATTGACATTCCCGAATCCCGTTGCTGGTAGTGATCTTGATCGTTGCTGTGTGCTACATACGTCTCGCAATGAAGTCGTCATGTACCCTGGTAGGCGAACTGCTCAGAGCCACCAGGGAAAGCCGGCACGATGGTGGTTAGATGTGTTGTGGATTTTGGCTGGACGTTGTATCCGGCAGCCCGGTGCTATGACGTGCGTGCCAGCTTGAGGACGTGGTCGCGATGCGGCAGCTTTTGCTATCTACGACCATATGTCCCATGCTATAGTTCCCGATCTGGCCGAAGCGTCTGTCAGTGTGAGTTTCGCAAATACTCGCCTTCTCCCTAGCACCCTCATGACCCTGCTTCGCTACCGATGCGTGTGCTGCGCGTTTGATAGGTGGGGTGTGACCCGATTACACTCTGCTCGATCTCAATATCTGCGTTCAAGGCCCTTGCGGGAGCCCATGAGAGATCATCACTCGGTTTGCGATTTTGACCAGCATGGTTGATTGTGTTTGTCTCGTTAACAGCTCCACATGCACATGGCGTGAGTACTTCGCCCTCATGTCTGGCATTTAGGCAGCCTAGCTGACGAGGCGCACTTTTTCGCCCTCGAGATGGTGTTCTATCCTCAGGGTGGGCTCATATCTTGCCGCTTCCCCAGGAACGGGAAGCAGGCTAGTGCCGTGTTACGAGACCGCTGAATCGCGGACGCACGCCTCCGCTTGTGGTCATCCCGAGCCACCCCAAATCATCTATCAGTGTTCACAGTACTAGGCCCGCGATCCAGCCATATCAGCGTCTTCACTTGACGACCTCCCGATCTCTCTGCTTCGCGTTCGAGTGGACCGCATGGTGTCCCGCGCACATCCTTTGTGTCCCTCATGGTCCACGGACTCACGAAGATGTGTCGCGAATGAATGCCGACAGGCGGGCGGTTTGCGGGAGGATTCGACCTGCCCATAAAAGCCCCGGGCGAACAGAGACACAAGCCCAAGGGATCAGCTCCTCGACCTTGGGCTCTCAGCACCGCTCTATTGGACAGCCGATGTTATACAACGCGTACAAGATGTTCGGTCTCTTCGTTCTCTCGTCGCTCCTCCTCTCCAAGAGCGTGCTCTCAGCCCCTACCGCGGAGGTTGAGCTCCAGACGCGTGCTGCTGCCACTGTCCCGGCAGCACCCCGCTTCGTCATCTATAGCGACAAGTGGGTGTCTGGCGAGACCGGTCCTCCCTCGGTCGACCAGTTGACGGTATGAATTTTTCGTCATGAAATTTTCACAATGCTGATATGAGCTCGTAGGGCTACAACGTTTTGTGAGCTGAGCTAGAGCTTATGCGGACGGTTGGAGTTGCTAATTCGTAGACAGTGCTCTGTCATTTTTGTTGACAAGCGGTGCTGCTGACCAAGCTCTCGAGTGGGAGGAAATCACCGATGACGACCGCAGTAGCTTCAAGTCGCAGTATTCTGCTGCCGGGATCAGTCTCATTGTCTCTGCATTCGGTGCTACCGATGCGCCCACGTCGTCCGGTGCCGATGCTGTCACGACGGCGAACAACGTTGCCGCGTGGGTGAAGCAATACCAGCTCGACGGCGTAGACGTGGACTACGAGGTACTATTATCGTTATCGGATCACCAATTTTGGGATTTGAGAGCTTATATTTCCGGCGGAATACAGGACTTCGACGCCATGGACAAGGGTGACGGCAGCGCTGAGAGCTGGCTCGCCACCTTCAGCACACAGATTCGTACCCAGCTGCCCAAGGGCCAATACATTCTGAGCCACGCGCCGGTTGCGCCTTGGTATGCCGAGTGTAGCTATCATCTATGTATGATGTTCGTTGACGATCTTTCCGCAGGTTCTCTGTCAGCAGCACTTTTGCTGGTGGTGCCTACTTGAAGGTTGACCAGACTGTTGGTGATGCAATTGACTGGGTGAGTGTCTCGACGAGTACGCTTATGCGTCAAGTAGCGCCTAACGAAACCTGTAGTACAACATTCAGGTACGCACTCGTCTAAATGTTCGTCGCCCATTCAGTCAGGATTAATGGAATTCCGCTGGCTATCTTTAGTTCTACAACCGTGAGTGCTATATTTGCAATCGGGCGATAGCTCATACTCACTCTCGCTTTTGTAGAGGGCACCGACGAGTATACCACATGCGACGGCCTTCTCAACACTTCTGGTGGCTCGTGGCCTAACTCTTCCTTGTTCGAGATCGCCGCTCAGGGCGTCGATTTGCAAAAGCTGGTCATTGGAAAGCCCGCTCAGTCTGCGGGCGACGCCAATAACGGCTTCATTGATCCAACAACTCTCGCGGGCTGCCTTGCTCAGGCTAAGGCCAAAGGCTGGGGTGCGTTTTCTCCCCGTTCTCACGTGCAGACAGGCTTTTTGACGCTTCCCTGTTCTGCCCAGGCGCGGGTGTCATGGTCTGGGAGGTTCGTCAATTTCGCTCAATCATGCACTTGAAAATCTTTATTGACGCTCTTCTTCTGCTCCCCCATAGTTCCCTGACGCCGCTGCTAGTTGGATTGAGACCGTGCGTTCCCAGGCGTTCCCCGAGTAGATTCCTATATGGTCGGGGTTCTCCATTTCGCACTCGTTTACTGGTACATCTCACTCTCCTTCATTTGGTGAGATGGGTGATTCATACTTCTGCGGAAGCGATTTATATTTTTACATTATACCCCACGCATGTATCGGTAGCATGTAGGGAATGAGTATGCCGAAGCCGTGCTGCGTCGTTCTTCCGCCCTCGAGTTCGAGCCCGAATGCCCTGCGGGTGCATTAGTATGAGGCTTCGGATACTGGACAATAGCGGCTTGATACCGTCGCGGACTCTCCGAGCTGATAAGCATCTGCCCTAGGGGGGGCTTCGAAGCCCCGAGGATGCGAAGTGCAAGCGCCTGCGTGACTGCACTGCATTCTGTGGCTTTATCGAGAAGGCGTTCCGGATCGGGTTTCGCTCTGTCTCTTGACCATGACCGTCCACATGCATGCTCTTGTCTTCGCACGATAAACGTCTCGGTTTGATTGCGCATCCTGCAAGGTGTACACTAAGGCCTATGCAGCCCCAGTACCATGGTGGCTATCCGACATAGGCTACGCCGCCCTCGATAGCCGCCATACCGAACGCATGGACACCTCGCCCACATGCACTGATGCGGACCTACTATAGCGCGGAGAACCCAAATCTGCATGCTGTCAGACTTCTTCTATGTACTCAGATGCGCTCGGAGCCTCGGGAGCGCAACAAGCCGTACATTTACTTCCGATGCCGTCTGGCATATCGCGAGCGGGGTCGTAGTGCGCTCCACCTCCTCCTCTACTCGAACAGTCAGGTGCCTGGCAGAAAACATATATATCAGATCCAAATGTTAGTTGCTCTGTTGCGTACATATCGCAACTGCTCAAGGGCGCAGCTATCACGATACACGATAGTAAGTCGATGGGAAACAGTGCAATTCTACTGAGCGATACGCTGACAATTTCGCCCGATAGCTCTATCGCGAAGTGATGGCAAAGATGATCTCGTGCCAGAGAAGTTGCAGAGCTCAACGAGATGATCGCTTTTCAAGACCTCTTGGGATATGCTCCTGACATGACCTCACGTTTAGGACCAACTTGGTCCAGGTCGCACATACTACGGGCCTGCTCGGATTCGACGGCACAAGCTGACTGTCGGCTACACATGCCTCGCAAGCGTTCGCCCGCGCATCCGTTCCTGAAGACGCTATTGAAGGCCGGATGACTCATCTCCATCCTAGTGCTTCGCTATGGCCCACGCGATGCACAGAACACCTGGTTATCTGTTCACTTGGCGGCAAGGCTAGATGCACGCGGACACTAGCTTTGTTAAGATCGTGCTGGGAATTGAGTGCGCTGCTCCCTGTTGCAGTCTCGATCTCGGTGTCTGATTTGCCTCATCCAGCCTGCGTCGACTTTGACCATTGGTCCGTGGACGGAAAATGCCCGTGTGTGGCTGGTAGCTTAGCTTGACGTGCGGCTGACGACCATATGGGACTCACTTGGACAACGTATGGTCGTCCGGAACACTCGCATCTTCTCCGGACCTCTGCAGCTATATAAAACGCTCGCCAGCCGAGTGTAATAGACGGAGAGAACTCGCAGCATAACACGCAGTGAGCCTCGCGCCATCGGACTCGCACTCGGACATGTTCGCCTTCGTGTTCCGCCGCCTCTCGGCCTTTGTGGCGTTCTATCTCACAATCCAGCTCAGCGCTGTCATTGCAGCGCCACTCGAGCAGCGTGACCTCGAGGCTCGTGCCACTCCCGCGGCGCCTCACTTTGTGGTCTACGCAGACCAAAGCCAGTCAGGCGTCACCGGTCCCCCAGCGGTCTCCAATGTGAATGTGCGTGGGCGGTGTCACCCACATCACCATTCAGTTGTTTGCTCATGAATCCACTTCGGGATAGGGCTGGAACGTTTTGTAAGCTCGTGCACGACACTGGCCGCTGTGTGATGTGGGTGCTGACGAGAAGTTTAGTATACTGTCATTCTGGTTGTTAGAAGGCGCGTGGGACAAGGCGGAGGAGTGGACTCAACTGTCCGCTAGCGACCGAGCTACGATAAAGTCGCAGTACAATGCAGCCGGTATCAAGCTCTTGGTCGCCGCCTTTGGGTCGACCGATGTTCCGACATCAACCGGAGCAGATCCGGTCACAACTGCGAATAACCTCGCGAGCTGGGTCAAGACGTATGGTTTGGACGGCGTGGATGTTGACTATGAGGTTTGTTCACGTGTTCTTCGTGTCATAGGAACGCATGGAGCTGACATTTCACGCCACGCCCATAGGACTTTAACGCTATGGACGGTGGCACCGCCGAGGCTTGGCTAATCTCTTTCACCACGCAACTTCGTTCTCAGCTGCCTGCCGGCCAGTACATCATCACGCATGCTCGTGGGTACCGCTATAATTACTCCATGCCGACGAAGCACTGATATGAGCTGTGTTCCGTAGCCGTTGCTCCTTGGTAAGTGTCCGAGCCTCTGGATAGTTCGAAGTCGCTCGGCTGATCGGAGCCGATTAGGTTCACGCCCTCCCACTACCCCGGCGGAGGGTACCTCAAAGTGAACTCGCAGGTCGGAAGCTTGATCGACTGGGTACGCGTTGCCACTCGATGCCTGGGAATACCAGTGTGCTGACTATCCTCGTATAGTACAATGTGCAATTCTACAACCGTGAGACTGGGTCTCCTCAGCTTTCGCTGATCTTGCCTAATCAGTCGACTGCATCTCACCCGTAGAGGGCGCTACGGAGTACACAACTTGCGCGGGCTTGCTGACCGCCTCGTCCTCGACATGGCCGCAAACCGCCCTATTCCAGATCATCGCATCCGGTGTCTCTGCTAGCAAGCTTGTCGTTGGCAAGCCTGCGACGACTGGGGATGCGAACAATGGCTATATTGACCCGTCGACGCTTGCGGGGTGTATCTCCCAGGCGAAGAACCAGGGGTGGAGTAAGTTTATTTGCCCTTCTCGGCGAACTCGGCTGAGGTACTGACTGCATATTCGCAGACGGCGGCGTTATGAGTTGGCAGGTGAGTTTCTTGAAAGAACGGCAGTGGATGGAAGAGGATGGCTGACGCGACGTGCCCGCAGTACCCACATGCCAGCTCGTCGTGGATCACGACTGTGCGTTCGCAGTCCTGGCCTGTCTAAAGGGCAGATGTACGAGGTGGGGCTGCTACTGGGAGAGAGCATTCCATTATGAGCTGTGCTTGCGATGCATCGGCAACTGATCTGGTCTTTCTGTTATATGTCGTATCGTTTCGGGGTTTGGTTGTGCATACAGCTGTAGCTTCTCAATTGAGCTGTGCAATCTCACGATATACTCATAGCTGTATTTTGTATTTGTAGACATGAATCAACGAGTAACATATATGACACCTCATGTGGCTGCGAGTTCACATACCAGACAGTCGTACGGGGCACGCCAATTATCACATCATAACGAGGAACACATGCCACGACACGAAACACATTCAAGGACGTTCCTTCACACAATGACCGTTATATTGGCTTCGCGTGAATCAATCGAACAATGGGGTGGGTTTATCAGTCAAATGCAAACTGTTCGTCATTGGATACTCAAGAAACAGAACCTGCTGGATACTACGCTGACGACTCTCCGTCTCATAGACGTACAAGAGATGAACCGATGCTATGAGGATCTGCTAGGGGGCTCTGGAATCATGAAACCGATCTGGAATATAAGGGAAGGCGATTGAGGAATGCTGGGCCGAGACTTGAGTCGCATCGGCCAGTTGAATGTTGGGAATGTCGTGGCTGCGGGTGTCAAACGGACTTCGGGATGGCTCACCGGTGAGGGAGTCGCCAGTTAGAGGGCAAGGACAGGGTGCATGCTATACGAACAGCTTTCATGCAGGGTGTGGTTCGCGAGACGTTCGGGATCTGCTTGGAAGACGTCCTCGCTGGCTTCGGAGCTATAGGAGCTATCCATGTCGCTCTCGCTAGCATCGTAGTAGAGGTCAAGACCTGAGTTGGGATCGGGTAGGTTGGCTGCAGAGGAAGCGGAAGACGAGGCTGAGACTGAACTCATGCTGCTCCGATTACTGCGCGGGTCCTTGAGGCTGGTGATTGAAAATGAGGTGGTGAGGGCGTCGAGGAGGTCGGAATAACGCTTGCTGATTGTGGACTTCATTTCGCTGGCGTCCATGTCCCAGGCGGTGTCGGCGTCAGAAGCGAGAGAAACGTTGAAGGTGGTATCGCCGTGACTAGCGATGTTGTAGGAAGGGGAGGCAGAGTACAGCGGCCCCTGTGCCTCCGCAAGCTCCGCAAGCTCCGCCGAGCTGTGCGCGGATGACACACCCAGCTCTGAGGAGACGGGCAACGCAGAGGTGGTCACGTCGAAACCGAGGCCTTTGGGCGAGTCGGAAACGAGCTTCTCGTCCGTACCGTAAGTTGGACTTGCCAAGTCTCGGCCGCTGAGGAAGATCTCGCTGATGCCACTGACGCAGGATGGGAAGGAGCCTGACGCCAGCAAGACTCCCGCGGGCGCGAGAACTACCGCGTCCACCGGAACTGAGCGCATCTCCAGGGACTTGAGTGTCGGGAAGGAATCGTATCTGAGGCTGCCGGCGATGCTGGTCGTGGGTGGTGTCTGGACCTCCCAGGAGGTCGTGTTCGAGGGGGTGGAGGCAGCGCTAGTCAGACTAGGAGTGGATGCTACAGATGCTGATAAGGGCTCAGATGATGTACGGAAGTGTTCCAGGGATGCTGAAGAGGATACTTGAAGAGCGGGGGAGAGCTCTTTGATGTTCGAGGAGGGGAGCTCGGGGGAGGTGGTAGTTGCCTCCGGAGTCAGCGTCAGCCGACCATCAGCTAGAGCTAATGCCCGGGGATCTGAAGACGGCTCTTCGACGGCCACAGTAGGCTCAGGAGGACCATGGAGGATGACGTCGTTGCAGAGGCCTGAATCGTTCGGCGTACCTAGAGAAATCCCATACTCCCGAAGCAATGATAGCGTCTGCCGGGCTCTCGCTTTAGCCTTAGCCTTGGCGAGAGCGGAGCTGCGTCGAGGAATTGTGGTGTACCGGTCTTGCTCTGGGGTCTCGTAGGCGGTGCCGTGTCTTGAAGTAGCCTTGGCATCTTCTGAGGAACCCAGCATCGAATCATCCGACATCGACACTTTGTCCGGATTCGTATCGAGGGCAGGAATCCTGATAGAAGTCGCACAGAGAGAGGTGGGGGTAAGTTCGCACGGCTCCTTAGAGCTCGTGATAGAAGCTGTAGTAGAGTCCTGGGGTTTCTCTGTGGAGGTGCTGCATACAGAGAGTTGAGGTTGAGCCTCGACGTCGACGACAGTAGAGCTGCTCGGGCAAGCTTGGCGGCGGGAGACCAAGGCAGCAGCGGTGACGGCGCATCCAGTAACGAATGCCAAGACGGTGAAACAGATGAGCGCGAGGGTAAGGGGAGAGAGAACGATGATGGCCATGTTGTTCAGGTTGGAAGACGAATGTAACCGGTGTTGTATCCTTAGGACTCGACGATAAGGAAGGATGCTGATTAGTTCCTTACACAAGTAGGTCACAGGAGGAGGCAAGATGTTGTGATGTCAGTACGTCGCGCATGAGGATCTGATATACATGTGCGAGGGGCTGACGGCCAGCCACGCCTACCAGCCACGCCTGCCAGCCACGATCAAGGCTGGGAGACACCGTAACGACATTCATGTCGCCATCTGTACTAATAAGTAGTCACATAAAGCCCACCGCATACCGCATTGGTGAAAGCAGTAGTACTCACTTGTCCTTGTCCTAGGGCCGTCACCTAGTAGACGCATACAGCATGGCGTCCGAGCCGTGCCGATGCATTGCAATCCAGCCTGTCCGAGGCTCTGATTTCGTCGGCTACTCTACACCTACCAATCTCTGAGTGATTTCAAGAAGTCGGCTGAGCTTCGGTGTACAATAGAGATTGGCACGCGCCAATGCCCATAAGTGTCATGCGAGCGAGAACTTGGAGCGAAGGAGACGTTGGGCGCTTGAAATTCCTTTCACGGCAGAAATGACGCAACGTTCCCACGCCTGCTGTCGGGCAGTCTCGGGAGGCTGGAAGCAAGGACAAAGCCCACGATACGGTACAGTCGAAACCCCCAGAACCCATAACCCTCTGGATAAGCCTCGAAGTATGGGTTATTGGAGGTTATGGGATAGGAGGAGTTTAGCGCCTAATACGCGCCCGGGATATGGTGCGTGGGCGTCAGAAGGGCGCTCGTCTATCAATGCCGGGATCGTTTCGTTATGTCGAGCCCATCCAGAAACGTCGGGATGTATGAAGCAATACATGAGTAATTCGGAAGCTTTCGTTGAAGCAGAACATGCCACGATAAGGAGCTCAAGCCCGTCCAATGCTTAACCCTTCTGATTCATGGGTTATGCCGGCCCAAAGAGGTAAGGGTTATGGGTCATTGCAGGATTATGGGTGATCCTCCCTATACTAGAATGCCCCGAACCTTATGGGTTATAAGGGGTTATGGATTATGAGAGGTATGGGTTATGAGGGTTTCCACTGTACGAACTTCGTTCTTGATACAGCGACGCCCGCCTGACGTTACCTTCTCTTAGGCAAGTTTCGGATGTAGAGTACACCCTGATGTACGTTATATCCGGCCACAGTATGTAGCAACGCTCCTCGACCGTCGCGCAGAGGATTGCAGGGAACCAGCGATGTCTAATTCATATACAGAATAAAATTACATGATGCAGCAGATCCAAAGACGGAGACAGAGACTGATGCGGAAGATGCAGAGGACAGCACGGTGCGGAGCATACGAACCTACTCAAAGCATGGAAGGAACCCAAAGTACAGATCAGACAGTGGTTCCAAAGGCTCGGGGGATGAAGGAACAGCAGCAGAGAGGATATGCGAAGAGGGGCAGGGTAAGAAGGGCAGATAGGTGAGAAAGAACAAAAAAGAGAAGAGATGCTAAGATGACGTGCATGTATGTTACGTGCAGCACAAGAGACACATGACGGAGAGCGGGATAACGAGTGAAAGGAACGTGAACAAGTCGGGTGGCTTGCGGGCGATGAGGTGATAAGAGTGGAACGGCTGGGGTTCTATGGTTTCAAAGAAGAAGAAGGTGGAGCCATGAGATGAGAGGTGAGCGCAGAGGAACCTGATAGTGGAAACCAGACGGAGCAAGGTCAACTCGGGAGGCGCTCGCCCCACACGAGCCGTTGTCGATGAGCACGGACGGCGCCACGAAGGGTGATGTATGCGATCCACATGCATGCACAGAAGACCAGAGCGAAGATAGTGCGCTGCGAACAGGCCGCTCAGTGCCAAGTCTTCATGGGTGGCTTGGGGACGGAACTCTGACTTACGACAAGGACCTTCCACCGCTTGCTGACAGGGGCCTGCTCTGTAAATATGATGGTACGGAGTCGCTGGGACACAGGGGTGTTGAGCCATTCAAGGGATGCCATGAGTTGTTGTGCCTGGGACCCCCGACGTCAGCGTAGGCGCTCGCGTAGCTGAAGCCGAAGGGGCTAACCTTGTCTCTTCCCCGATCGTAGACTTTGCGTATGTCGCGGATCTGGTGTCCTACTTCCGGAAGCTGTTCCTCAAGCTCAACAAGAACGGCGAGATCTTCTTCGAGCGAATCGGCGATGTGGGGCACTGTGTGAGTCAACGAGAAATCTGCTCGACCGCGCGTGTGCTGTAATAGTGTAAGCGTGCTGAACGGAACCAGTGATGGGGATAGCAAGGTACCTCGAGACCGGTGAAGACTTCTTGCAGCAGGTTCTCGATTGCACGGGAGTTACTGAGGTCGAGGGAGAGCTTGCTCTGTTATATAATGCCAGTGGTGGAGTTAGCTTCGGATGTAGAGAGTGCATATGATTGTGGAGGACCGCCGGAGTTTGATATAGAGCTCCATTCGCAGGATGTACGGCATGATAGTCTAATTAGGAGTCTCTAAATGCTGCGCGTTCGAACTCTCATGGCAGCCACAGCCCTATGGGAGAGACTACGCATGTGATTGCAGATGTTCTACAGGTGCCGAGAGTTTACGTGACGTCTCCATGCAGGACGAATGCAGGTTGCCCCAGGCGCCAGGTGCGGCAAGGTGGACCAGTGGGGCGGGTTATCGGAGGGCATGACTAACCTCGAGGTCCTTGATCTGTCGTTCATAGAGGGACGCACGCTTGGAAGCAGACTCAAGCGCTGAGCAGAGGTTCCTGAAGACAAGGTACATGGTATCAGGCTAGCCTACTAGCACCAAAGGGTAGCACGTACCGCGGCTCCCAGATAGGAACATCCTCTCTCTCTCGCAGGCTGCTGAGGTCACTGCTCTCATGGAGAGAGCGGGAAGGGGGATCGTCGTAGGTGGAAATGGACGACATGATGCGTGTGCGGGGCAGTCACCGTACGGCTAGCGCTAGGTAGGTGTAGGAAAAGTAATAGGTGAAAGAGGAGAGTAAGAGAAAGGTGGAAGAAAGGGGAAGAAACGAGAAGGGAGGCGAAGAGGAAGGCGGGGAGGAGGGACGGGAGGAGGGGGCGGTAGACATGGGCTTGCTTTTAGAGCAAAGGCCACAGACGCCCGATTCATTCATTAACGAGCATGTACGTAAATCGAGATCCACCCTCGTGGGCCTCACACGTGCGCCTAAAGCCTATCCCTCCTGCCGAGTCGATCGCATGTGGCCACACCGTCTCCGACCCCGTTCATGACATCCAAAGCACCTACCCGCGACCAACTCCTCGAGTCTGCTCAAGCTCTCTGCCATGCCTTCGCGTCCAAGTCCGACATAGACACCCTCCTCTCCCACTTCTCATCCACCCATCAGATTTCTGCTTTCGAGCACGGCCTGCCTCTCCTCGCGCCCTTCCTCGGCCGCCACTTCCACGGTCGGGCCGGCGCCACATCCGTTCCTACCTACTTCCAGCTCCTCCAGCAGTACCTCACCTACGACGACATGTCCTTCGGCACCTGGGTCGTCGACGCCGATGCCCAACGCGTCTCCGTCAAGGGTCGCGCAAAGTTCACCTGGACAGAGGGCGACGGCAAGGGCCAGTCCTGGGACGAGCAGTTCGCCTACATCCTCGACTTCGACCAGGACGCCAAGGTCACCGATTACCAGGTTTGGGCCGACTCGGGCGCGGCGTACCTGGCACGCCGCGGCGAGCTCAAGCAGCTGATCGAGGGCAGCGAGGTGCGTGTCTCTCCCTCGTCTGGGTCAACTGTTTGTATCTTCTCCCCAGAGCGCTAATGTTAAGGAATTCTCCCCTGGCCAGACCCAAGCGTCCGTCAAGGCCGACGATCAGAGTGATCAGACAGTAGTCGAATGAGCATGGCGTGAGTTCTAACGTAGCGTATGAAGTCGACTCGGATCTGTACTTGTAGCTATGGTTGCCAATGGGCTACAGAGCGTAATTGAGTTACCGGCCTCACGGTCAGTCGCCGGAGCAACGTGCACCAGATTCGATCGACTTCGTGCCCGGAGCCGCTGATATGCGCGATCGGACCGTTCCCACACCTGATGAGACTTTATGCAAATGTCGTTCTCAGGAGAACGTGTCTGGTGCATGGCATGCCTGACACATCAAGGCTTTCTCAACCTTCGTTGACACCTGCGAGAGCAAAATCCTCTTCACCTGGGTCTTCTTTGATGTCCCGTCTGCGTTAGCAGAAAATAACATGTATATTTGACCGCTCATCAGTTGCGCTAACCATTTAGAAGCTAGCGCCATCCTCCTTAAAGGACGTCCGGTACGAGCCAGTGGCTGCTTCTCCGAACTTCTTCCGCCGGACTCCCATATTTTTTCTGAACGCCCAGGCGGTAAGATTCACTTCAATGTGTCGAACTTGTGGCCCACAGCGCTCCGTTCACCTGCAGGCCCTCGGACCAAGCTCTTGTCGTTTCTCACGATACTGCCAGGAAGCTGAGAGTCCGAGCAAATGCTTGGAACGTTGCCGAATGGGGGCAAGTAAAAGGTCCTCTCCACACAATGATCGCGAGCCCGAACTGTTGGAGTTTGCCGTCCGGCCATCGCCGAGTGACCAAATACATACAAATGGCACATCGGTACTGCCAGCTCATCATGTACCTACCTGCTCTTTAGTCCGTATGGCGACGAGCCTCTTCGGTTTGTGTTTGAGGCCTGGGTGGGGCTTTGTTCTGTCTGGGCCTGGAGAGCCCTGAGTGCCAGTTTGGTGCCCTAAACCTCTTGTCTATGCGTCTCTCTCTCTCGCTCTTCCTTAACTCTATCATTTGCTCTCTGCACTTGCTACATCAGTAAAAACGAATTTCTACAGAGCCGCATGCCACGGCGATGTAGGCTACGTCAGCTCTATAGCACAGGGCGCTAGGTATGTAGACATCTGTAGCGCTCAGTAGTCAGCTCGGTTTTTGGGACTGCCTGTTGTGATCGGCAACCTGTCACAGCCAACGAGCTGTGCCACCAGATAAACAAAGACAAAGCTTACTGGTGATGGGGTTGGTGCTAAGGGGCGAAGCAACTCCAGGTGACACAGCAAGAGATGGTGTAAAGAAGTAGATTCCCTAGACTAGAAGGGGCAGTGAGAGGTAGGGCTGCTAGCTACCTACAGAGGAGATGGGTGATCGACGAGAAGATCAAGTCTGAGGTTCCCTGCCTCAGACCCCCTACTATTTATACAATTACAACGGTGCACAGACCAGGTACCTATTTGTCCCTGCTTGGTCAGAGTCTGCTGACTCGTGTCCTGTCTCCTGACCTGTCACATGGTGTCCTCATGACT